AAGAAACAAGAAAATTCAACGTACACAATCTCATCGATGTGAATATTATTATTCTAAGAATAAAAACAACTTATAATGGGACGCGTCATCTATCACGAACATTTAACGTGAGATTATATTATTATTGTAGATGCTTTATTAACCGCGTTAAAAATACTTCCGTGATATAAGTTAAGATATTATTTAATTTTATGCTTAACTCGTCGGACGAGGGCCATAGCATTCCATTGGAGGTTGTACCCTCGATTTTTTTTTGAATTTTGATTGCTCATTTTTGAACTAACCTAATTGTTACTATAATCGTTAAAGTCAATAGTAAACTAAATCAAGTAGTCTGTACTTTCGTTGAAATATAAGAATAAATAAATCGCAATGAAGAAACATCGAACATGCAGGCGTACTCGATCAAATGTATCGCGAACTAAAATGAGAGAATCAAGAGATTCAGATTTTCTTAGAGGAAAGCGATTAGAAATAAATATCGTTATAACAACAAATGTTACATTTTTTGTTATAAAATCCTATCAAAATAAAGAAATTAATCATTTTCTCTAAAAAAAAATTTTTAATTATTTTCATTAACGTATCCCTTCTTTAATTTAGAAAGTGGTTATCAGTGCCTCAAGTAAATAAATAGTTTAACTGGGACCTTTCAGGAAACAATTAATGTAATTTATGTTTAGACTTTAGACTGTACATTATGAAAAAAGCCTTTTCTTTGGTAACGTTGGTCCATAAATTTTAAGCTCATGGGATAACACAACATAGGCATCAAAAGAAGCCTAATTCATTAGTGCTTTTTGTCCCCAACCAAAATAATTTCAACCTAAAATTTCCTTTCGATGCTCCAACAAGGACAATTCCTTGCAGTTAGCCGCGAAACTAAAACGAGTTTAGACAGTCCATCGGCTGGTCAGATCTGTTGAACGGATTAAGTGTTAGGCTACAACATGGCATAATTGGGTTTGGATTTTTGAAGTATATCGTAATGAACTATAATAGTATAATATACTTAAACAATTCACATTGCAAACGATAAATTATACTAAGAACAATATAATTTACTCCGTTCGTCCCAAAAAAATAGTCCACATTGAGTTATATTTGTACTAAAAACAGTACAAAACTCAAAATTTTAATGTGGATTATTTTTTTGGGACGGAGATAGTATAATTTAAACATAGATTATTTTATTAATTTTTCAGGACAAAAAAAATTTTAGACTTGCGGCGAAAATCATTGTAAAAAAACGAAGAAAAAATATTTAACGTAGACCATTTGGATGATTAATTCCTTTCTCTTTTCCTAATGGTTCAAACTGAGCAACAATTCATGCATCTTACTCATTGTTTATACTTAAACGAGAGGGGACAAAACCTCGATTAGATTAATTACATGAAAGACAAAGAAAAAGAGAGTATTCTAACACTTTTTATTAAAATAAACCAAAAGTGTAAATGAACCTAGGATTGATCTTAGTACAGACTTTTTAGCTTATCTAAGATCAGTTGGCAGCCAGACTCCAAATAATTTTTATCAGTAAAAAGAAAAAAAAAAAAGAAATGAAAATGAAAGAGCCATGTTAAAATTGATGCTTAATCCACGTGATTAGCAATAACTTGTCGGGAGGTTATAATTGAGTTAGTTGGTGGTGGTGATCTGACTAGATGGTGATGATAGGTTTGACGGCCATCGACTATCTGTCGGGACCATTATTTTATTCATTCGCGGGGGCATCTGTTTGGACAGCCCCAAGTTTTTGGAAATTTTTGTTTAGTTCTCTATTGTTTTTTTAATCTTAAAGTACCATTAAATTTAATTGTCATTTAGTATAGTAATCACAATTTGTCAAACTAACTAAACTAATTAATCTTGTTTATTACTCAGTACTCAAGCGGTTTTGCCCTATTTTATATATTTGCTTGCGAAAACCGTGGGCGGTTTTGGTTTTCTTTTTCCAGTAAATCTAGATAGGAGATTGTTATCGCGATATTTTAAATTAAATTTTAGCGAGTATAGTGCATGAAGGACTGTTGAGATCGATATGAGAGCTATTGTTAAATTAAATTTTGTTATGGACTATTTAACTTTCTTGATTGTAACAAATATAAATAAGATCTATTTATCTGAATTTGCATCCACCAAGAGTCCAATAGTAGTTTTTTCATGATATTGTAGAGATTCCATATCCGGAGAACATTGTCTTATAATTCTGAAGCCTTACCATAACTCTTTTTGTTCAAAAAAAATAAAAATAAAAATTTAGCGAGTGTAATTATAACAAAATATGAAGAAAAAAAATGACTTTCGAATTTCCCCATAGGCTATGGCTATGGCGCTATGCTATGGATGCCTTTTGATGGACTACAAGGATTTCAGGCTTCCAAACTTCATTAATTTACGGTTACTTTTAATGTGTTAGTTCAGTATATAACATTTTTTTTTAAGGTTCGTAATATTTCTTTTTTCGTTTGCGGGAGGGGGTGCAATTTTCATGCATTTACATAATTTAAATGAAGTTACAATATCGTTTCATATAATGCAACCACTAACAGTTCTATTTAATTTTTTATTTTTTTAAAAATAAACCTTGTTTCAACTATCCCAATTACAAAGAGTAGCAAAAATGACTGGTGGATTGAGTAAAAGTTGAAAAGGTTAGAATCCGTTGTAGAAGCTTTTAGTGCTAATTTAGAGCATGAATGCTGAATTACTACAACAAAATTTATATTGTTTTTCAAACGTTATATTGATACCAGATTATACATAGTGGTATATTTATTTTGGGACAAAATAACAAGTATAATGTTTTAAGCATTTCACAACCTTTGGCAGTTTAGTTACGTTGATTTTAACCCCAAAATTTAAGTCCTTAAGCCTAGAGCACTCCTTTTAGCTCCAGAAATTGTCCACAATATTGGTCCCAACACTTCTGGCGAGCAACCACTTGGCACGGAAGACTTGGAGGCTCGATAAACAACTGCATTCTTTTTTTTGTTTTTTTGGTGATTAATAGTTGCCTCCGGTGGCGAACTAATAGGCCACCGCTGATGATCAGAGATGTATTGAAAAGCAATTGGGCCAGAGTTCTTAAGAGATACAAGAGCTCAACAAATAATTTGATAAAGATCCGTGGATCCTTGCAGCAACATATGCTCCTTCTGCATCAAAAAGAAAAAAAGAAAAAAAAAAGAAAAAAGAGAGTTCACAATAGTTTGATTTCAAAATTTAAGGCGAACTACTTTTTTTGGGATAAAATTGAAGTACAAGAATCGTTCACTATCACTAATCAATAAGGAGCGCAATGTACATAGGTTTAAATTAAAAATGAACGGTTAATGTGCTTTATAATTAAGCAAATGGCTCATCTGGATGGGGTGGTAAATGGTAATCCAAGTTGTCCTGTCATTGAGTTTTATAATGTATTTTTAAGGGTATTTTTACTGGTAATCCAAGTGGTAAATGGTAACCCTTAAAATGTATTTTTAAGGGTTTTTCTTCAATCGAAAAAATATACTCGGTGAAATTTAGGACAAATCAAAATATCTTATAATAAGGACCGGATGGAGTATATAATTATGATAATTATACATGGAAAAAATGTAACAAAAAATAATCATCGTACCAAACGGATCTTATCAGTGGTATCAATTGAACCCGTTTAGTATTTCGTGCTTTTCCAAAAGATCCGGAGAAACCTCCCATCAACAAGATTTCTCTAACCCTCCCTTCCCAATAGAAAGAATGTGAAATCAATCATTTTTCTTTGGTAGCCATCGAGATATATTAGATCTAATTACAGAAGAATACTTTGTAATTGGTATGAACAACTCATTTCTTGGTCTTTGACCCCGTCAACAAGAAAGCCACCATTATAGTCTTTGAAACTGTTTACATAAAATTAGGTTACCGTGTCAGAAATTTCAAAGCTATAGGTCTATAATAACTATGTAACAGTGAAGATGAAAATTTCGGCCTCAAAAAAAAAAAAAAAAAAAAGAGAGAGAGAAAATGAGAGCCTTCAAAGGAATTTTGAGACGATAGTCCTCAATCCTCAAGAAATTCCACCATAGCATGTTGGCAAAATGGGCTTATATTGTGATCTGGATCAGATTGTAAAGCCTGTATCTTAAAGCCCAGTATCGCGAGATCGAAAAAAAAAACTAGAGACACGTGTACATTACAGATTTATTGATCCAGCTCGAAACAGAATCTACGAAATCCCGCTTCCAATCTTCCAAATCATCAAACTCATAAACTGGGGCGGTGAAACTTTACACGTGGCATATCCCAACAGTGGTATAGGTAAGCTGCAAAATCTTCCACGTGACTCAAATCAGATTGGCCCGCTTGTGAACTAGACCACTTTCACTTGTTGACTTGGCTGTTTTTACCTTTTTACCATCTGTCTGCGATTTAGTAGTTTACATGTTTCATTAAAATAATAAAATTGCATTCGCACCGTCCCAAAAAAGTTACTTTGGTTCATTAAAACAATTCAACAAAATGAATTACTTTTTTTAGTTAGATAATATAATTTTTTTTTCTTTTTTTTTCCTGTACAAAAATAATATTTTTTTTAATATAACATTCAGCGTCTATAAGTTATGGGACTACAAATATTATGAATATATATATTGATTAAAACCATATTGTTATTGAAGAATGATGTAGTTAAACAAAATATGCCAATCATTTCCCTTTTGAGGATTATTTTTGGGTAATGAAACACCAATATCACTACTGGTTGAAAAAAAAATGGTTGAACATAATGTATGCAACCTCTTCACGTTGACTTTGAGGACGTGGACTTTAGCGGGTAAAGGAATTTGACTTTGCACAAAGAAATTGGAAGGGACGTACGATTAATTATGAAGGGCACGAGCTTAACTCTCCACCTGTATTTTCCCTTTTTGTTTGCCCAATGCCAAATCTCATTGACTTTGCTAACCCTTCAACTACGTACTACCACTTAGTACTATGATCCAGCAAACATAATTGATTGCTTCTGTATGAGCTGTTCACTTGATTCATCAAACACATCTTCTTGTTAGTTCTTATCTCACGATCATATACATCCCAGCATGCACTACAAAAGCCCTATATATTTAATTATAGCCTTCAACCCAAAACAAATTAAAGATACCAAAACACACATTTCGAGCGTCATATCTCTCTTATATACTATCATTTTGTTTTCATATCTCTTCTAAATAAAAATGTCTGGAAATCATGCTTCATCAACCAGGGTTTTGATAGCCGAGTTTGTTGTCGTCCTCCTCCTCCTATTTTCTCCTCATTTCATACCAATATTATTAGTCATGTGCAGGCCGATCCCGGCTACAAACGATGATGGAAATCTTAGTACTAATACTACTATTGGATTTCGTCCCAATAAGAATCGCCAAGTCGGTCATGGCGGTCAAGAAGGCTCGCAGCAATCGGGCGATCATGGTACTAATAATAATGGCTTGGAGAATTGCTTGCCTAAAGGGTTTCGGCCCAAGTCTGCTCCCAGTCGATACATTAACTTTGTGCCTTTCACTTCCACTTTGTGTTCCACTGGTCCCAAGGAGAAGAAGAATGAACCATGATCGATGAAGAAGTAGTACGTACTATGCTTCAAAATGTGATGCTTTATGGTATATTTTAGTGCCTTTTATATTGCATCAGTATGTATATAGGTATTCCCTCTGATGTGGGGTGAAATACTCATGTAATTACTAGTTACCACCTATATATATATATATATATATATATATATATCCCTTTAGCATACATCTACTTTTTGTTTTCTCTATTCTTTTCTTCTCTGGGAAAAGAAAATTTCCATATATTCTTTAGATATTTATCATGCTATGTCTCAAAGATAATATAATGTACTTTAAACCGTTACAGAAATAATTTCTTTATGTAATTACAAGGGTAAAGTATAACTAACTTCCAAATTCCTATTTGATGTTGATGTTGATGTAAGTCTCAAAGACGATCTTGTTGGAACTCAAGTTGGGTTAATTAAGTGATTTTCCTAAGCACAGTTGTTTTTTTAGGAGTACTTGCTAGTGATTGGTTTGGTCCTTCTTCAGGCCTTTTAATTTTCTACTTAATTTCACAAGATACAGACATTCGTACGACCTATGCATGTGAATGAGTATTAATTGATTCGCGAACATTCACAGGATAAATGAGCACGCAGAGAGAACACAGTTTGCTAACCACCACCGTAGATGATTTCAAAACATACTCCCTTGATCATATTTTGGGACGGAGTGTTTTAGTTTTACTCTAACGAATTCACTTAATATTTGAGAGCTAATTTTTTTATTTTTTTATTTCGATATATTATGTACTCGGCGTTCTAAAATTATTGTTCCGACTAACTTAGATTTGAGTTGAGTAAGTCTTTTTTTTAAAAAAAAATCAAAATTCTTCTAAAAAATATTTTAATCGTATCTCAATGCCCGAATTCGAACTAAACTGATCTAATTAATTCTTTTACTATTTGGACCTAATGATTGTTGATTGAGCTAATCTTCTAAAATAACAGCACTAAGTGTGTGATGTCCAAAATCATAAATTTATTGGCTCGATTTGATGAAGTACGAGAAGGAACTTTCCTCGAATCGTTGTATAGCATCAATGAGAGAACAAAAAGAACAGAGAATAAACTGACTAGGAGAGTTTGAGGGCGGTACTGATCTGATCGGTCACACCATTTTCCGGTTGCAGCTGTGCTTGGGAGTGGGGATATGTGAAGGGCTAATGGGCTTATGGCTCATGCATATACAGTATATATATATATATATATATATATATATATATATATATATATGTGTGTTTCTTTTCCTTCGGCCCCCAATAGTGGTCCACATAACACCAAAGTTGCCTTTACAGGCACGAAAATAACGAACTAGCTAGCTTGCAAAGCCAGCTATTGACTCATGCACGGTTTTACTTGTTTATTCCAATTGCCATTTAAGATCAAAACTGTTATCCTTCCAGTTGCCACTTGAGAGACACAAAGGAGAAGGGGAAAAAGAGTAATACATACCTCATATGTCTATTATATAGGGTACAAGTTAGAAACACTAAATCTAGTTTAAATTTGACTGTTACCGGACGAGTACGAGCCCATATGTGGTATATTTTTATAGTTGAAAAAATATAGTTAAACATTATAGGTTAATAAATGATCCCTTCTCTATTCTATTTATAGGTTATAAAATAATCCCAATGATCACGTATTAAATTTCTTGTCAAAATTGCGTATCTATTCACATTATTAGTGAATTCGAAGTGGCCACATTAATTCATACTTCTTCACAAACCTCAACTTTCATGTCATGCCCACTTTGTATGGCCGTAGCATCACTTAAATGCCTAGGCTTGGAATTATTAATCAAATATTCCTTGAGGCCGAAAGAAGAAAAGATTTGAGAATCAAAATTGACTAAGAATGTCGGATTTTCCCACCAAAAAACTAAAACAGTTAATGTCACTATCCCAGCCTCCAATACTTCTTAAACGGTCAATTTTATATTGCAGATCTGCTAAATTAAGAAAATTATAGGGTCTAATATACTATTACGTAAAACTTCAGTGGTCCAAAATAAAAAAGTATACCCCTCCTTCTCACAACGAAAAAACATATTCCTTCCTCATTCTCTTCGTTCGTCTGCGTTTCGGTTGAGCTGATCAATTAGCTAAATTATTACTCTTTCCGTCTGAATATTTACGGCAAATCTGTCGAAGAAGAAGGAGAAGAGTACTAAAATCTATATACTCTCTAGTCCATGGGTTGTTCGGCTTCTTTGCCAGGTTTTAAATCTTCTTTTTGAGGAATTTTTTTTTTTTTTTTGATCGGCTCTTTGTTATTGATTAGGTTACATACCTACGATAAACCTCAGTACCTTTTTCTCTACCTGTTGATCTGAAATTATTGTTTGGTTACTTTGTTAGAGCTGATTTGATTCGTGCCTTTTTTGCCATTATGCTTGTCCTGGTACGGTGGCTTGACTTTCACAGTTCTTTGTTGTTCTGGGTTTCATTTGGGTTCTGATTGAAGAAACTTGTTTTATATTGTTGGGTTTGATTCGCCTTTCTGCTTGGTTTTCCTGAAACTATGCTCTTTTTGTTGTTTGGCTTGCTTTTATTTTATTTTATTTTATTTGTGTGGGATTTATTGGCCAGCTCTTGATCCCCTTTTCAATTGGGGCAGATAGGAGTTCGGGTCGATTGGGCGGACTGAATCCAGATAACAGTGGTGGGAATGATGCTAAGAACCTCCGAGTGAAGGTAAAACTTATGCACTTGGCTTCAACTCCCGTGTTTATTAATGTCTTACATTCTGTTCTTCCGTTCATCAGTATAATTCTGGATTTTATATCTACTCTGAAATGTGATGGAGACCGGCTTAATTATTTATGGATCATGTAGTAAAGTAAAAGTATAAGGTTGCTTAAGCTTAAAATCCAGTTGTAAAGTAATATTGGTAATTGAGCTTTTCAAATGCTCTTGGTTTCTTAGCTGGAGCTTATATGTATTGATGGTGAAGATAGGAACTTAAAAAGAAATTTGATTTCATGTAGAATATGTGGAGTAACAAGGTAGTAAAACTAGCAATGCAAGTGTAGTTTCAGAGTTATCTGGGTCTTAACTGGATTCAGAAGGCAACAACCGGGTTAGAGTTGACTCAATCCTTGATGAGTCTTGACATGTGGAAGAAGGCATACATTTTTTTTTTTCCTTAAGGGCTGTTGTGAAGGAGTTCATGGTTGAACCATTGTTTATTTTGAATTCTATTTTCTTTCTGTTATATCTCGTTGCATGTTCCAAATGGTGGCCTGTACTAACCCTCGTTTATGGGATGAATATCTACATCTCTCTTATTAGCATCTGATTTCCTCAACCGTCTGAGCTGCTTGGGGTAGTTATATGGATGCTATATGAACCTGTATTACATTCTGTAACCTTTATAAGTGGATTTGCAAATTATTTACTCTTTTATATTTGCAGTTGGTGCTGTTAGGTGATTCTGGAGTTGGCAAAAGCTGCATTGTTCTTCGTTTTGTCCGTGGCCAGTTTGATCCAACATCTAAGGTGAACTTATATCTTTGATGATTTTGATAGATTCTTTGTTTCACTTCCTTGCTGTTTAAAATTGATCGGATGATCATATATGAACTCTTTCTATATCTGATACCGATATGTCCATAAAAACTTTACTAAAGGATGTCACTCTTCTTTTCTCTTTTGATTATCAGGTAACTATTGGAGCTTCGTTCTTGTCTCAGACAATAGCCCTGCAGGATTCCACGACAGTTAAGTATGAAATCTGGGATACTGCTGGTCAAGAGAGGTTTGTATGGTTTCACTATGCGGGACCCTTTTTTGTTGCTTCTTTTTTGTAGTTAGTAGGCCTCGCATTGGAATGACGGTTCATCATTGGGTGGTTACATGTTAGTTTTCTGTATTTAGGTATGCAGCACTAGCTCCCTTATATTATAGAGGTGCAGCTGTTGCAGTTGTGGTATATGACATCACCAGTCCTGAATCTTTTGCCAAAGCACAATATTGGGTCAAGGTATATAAGATTCAACTTGGAAAGTTGTATTTACTGCTCAAAGCATTGTGTGTTTCTTCTTACTGATTTTGGTTCGTAATCATCTTTGTTTAGAGCATTATGATGTCAGAAAGTTTTTCATTCGTTCTGCCTAATTATACTCCTTGCCTTTTTTTGTAATTGTATAGCCTTTGTTCTATCTCTTTTCATGCACTTGAATGTGGAGTGCCTCCACAAGCTGTGATCCATTTTGTCATTTCAACGCTTATTATTCTATGTATGTACCCACAACCTGATATGCGCTTTATATAGACCTGTTTTTCTTTGAGTGAAAGAACCAAGGAGAGTTAGATGTTCATCCTTAAACATTCAAATATGATTTATGCCTGTGTGGATTGTACAAGTATTGATCTTTGAATCTTCCTTAAGTTCTAGACTTCCAGGCATGCTATAACTCTGTTGGTACATTGTTAAATGAAATGTGGGTCTATGAATGCTTAAAGTCAGATGATGGACTTCTGAAGAATCAAGGATCTTGGTGGTCGAATCTTAGTGGTTTTTATTTGTTTATTTATTTTTTGCAACTGCTGAAAGATCATTAGTAATTTATAGCGTCATTTGAATGTTGGCCTGAATCCAACTTGCACTGGCACCTTCGATCTAACTAGTCCTATCAATGTGAATGTGTTTTTTTCCTTATTTTTTAAAGCACTTATGCAATGAAATCCTGGAACTTGTGATTGCAAAATTCATTATGATCTTTAGCTTAAAGTGATAATATTTCTGAAGTATCCTCTTGTAAAGCCTGTGTACAACCAAGAAAGGAATGGATATTGATTCCTCTTATTCGTCCTTTCCTACATCTTATAAGCACACTGACTTTAGTCATGATTACTTTTCTTTGCCTGGAGATGATGTGGTCAATTTGTTTCCTAAAAGTGGATATTTTTCATTCAGGAACTGCAAAAACATGGAAGCCCTGGAATAATCATGGCTTTGGTAGGGAACAAAGCAGATCTCCAGGAAAAACGAGAAGTATCTGTTCAAGTAAGAATTGATGTTTCCTGATACCTCTGATTTCCAACAGTCCAATTCCTATTTCTATTCTGATTTGCATTAATAACTTTGAAGGACGGAGCGGAATATGCGGAGAAGAATGGGATGTTCTTCATTGAGACATCTGCCAAGACAGCAGACAATATCAACCAGTTATTTGAGGTATCGTTTCTTATAGCTGATAACATAGAATGGGTTAGCTGACAAGGCCCTGTCAACAACAGAGAAGCTGCTTTCCATTGTTCTGTCCAAAGTTTTACACGTCTGATCTATTCATCTTGTTCAATTTGGCAGGAAATCGCGAAGAGACTCCCACGGCCCTCCCTTCCTGATATGAATGCATCCTAAAAACACGAAATTGTGTAACGCAGCAAGCTGCGTCTGTCTGTAATATTATGTATATCTGGTCGCACCCATTTGCACTAATAAATCTGTGATTACAGTTATCAATTTGTGCTGAAAAACAAGGTTTGTCTCTTTCTTCGCCCCCTTATTTTTCCCTCTTTTTATAGTACCATTGGAATCAAACCGAAAGCATTGGGTCAGTACTCAGTAGTAATATTACTATACTACATGATAGATGAAACCAGAGAAGCTAACAATTCCAAATGGCTGATGCACACCTAGTTGATTTATTCCATGGCCGGAACTTTGAAGTCCAGTGTCTAGGGTTCTTTAACATTAAAATTGGCTGCAGAGACCAAGAAAGTTGCCAGCCTCGTCCTTGATTAGCTTGATTTAGGTGCAGTAGTTGGTAGATTTAGGATATTATCCAGTTTGAATGAGTTGCAGCTTGAATGTGAAAATGCCACCCTGCAAATATGGTGTTTTAGCAGAAAGCTAGGATTTGAAGGATCCGAGAAGGTAGGGGGTGAGTCATCATCGTCCATGTCAGACAATCTTGTTGGGATTTGAGTTTCCATGTCTGACATGGGATGAACTAGTCCTTTGGCCGGCTGAGAATTTGGATGACATGAGTTTTCTGAATCCTTTTAAAAATATCAGAATCACAGCATGTAATAAGCCAACTGTCGAGAGAGAGAGAGAGAGAGAGAGAGGGAATAGTCTTTTTTTGCTGGTTTTTGCGTGTGCCAGGAGGACGACTCCTCCCCGACAAACTGTTGACTTTGTCTTTTCTTCTCTTTACAAAAATCAATTTCATTGACTTCGAAAAATAGCAATATTTTTTAAGTGAAGATTTTGCTGTATTACTGTTGAACCACCAGAACCAGTCACACGCAAGGATATGTCATCAATGATCCAGTTAAACATTAGTAGAAAGATACATTCTACTTTATTATATGTGAAAAGAGTTTAATACTCCCTCCGTCCCATAATTATTGTCCAATTTGGGTTTTTCATTTTTAGTTCAAATTGTATTAAAAGTGAAGTCTCAAACTAAACAATACTTTTGGGGACAGAGAGAGTATCTAACTTAGTAAACTAGTATTTTTTTTTTTCGGTCCTTGAAAATTCATCATATATTACTCAATGGAATTCAACATTCAAAACGATTGACTGAATTGTGAGAATAATAAATACTAGTTGCCATAAGCACCTAGGAAAAAAATGATGGTTCTAAGTAAACTGATCAAATCATGTGGTATAGCTATTAGTAAACCATTGAGAAAATTTCATGCATTAAAACCCACCTGTTCGTTCTTTAGCCACAAGAATATACATCATCAATCCATTGTATTATGCCAATAGCGTAACTGCCCCCGACATTAAATATTTTTACTTTATTATTTTTTTTTTTTGCTTATTCCAATTGATAGTGTTTTGTGTGTAACAATTGCAGTTTCTTTTTCTTCCAGCTTTAACTTTTCTCTAGAACCACTGACTCCAAATTTTGTAATGACAGATTCAGTCATCAAAAACTGGTATAAATTATTAGTGTGTGTGTGTGTGTGTATCTGGTACTTAAAAGCTAGATAGACTAATTTCTTAAAAACGAAAGGAATTTCCGGCAATCTTTGAAAAATTCTCCCAAGTTGTAATTGCATGTTTGGACTATTTCGTACTAGTTCCAACTAAATAACATTTTCCCCATGTGGTTTCTCTTCCACAATTTTACCTTTTCAATGGTTTTCCCATTTTAGAAATAACAATTCAAACAAATATGAGGTGAATTAATTTGTTGGAACTTGGAAGATGGTGTATGGGAAGTTCAACTAATCCAACCCTTCTCCTCCTTCCTAACTCACTATCCTCCATTTATCAACTTAACATGTCTATGAACTAACCCTCGTTGGCTTAAGTAGTAAAGAGTCACGGTTCTCTTAAAAAGACTTTTCTAGTTCGAATCTTGTGAATAGAAAAAATCAATGTATTTTTAATTAAATATTAAATTGTTAAAACTCGGCCGTTATTAGTGGCTTCCCAGATCACCAAGGCACTTCCCATGCCGTTTTAGGATTTATTAATTGGTAAAAAAGGGAAAAAAAAAAAAAACTCAAAGAAAACAAAAGAACTGTAAATTGAAAACACTCCGAAAAATCATTTATTAAAAAAATAATCTAGTGGATGAAATAAGATTAAACTCGCAAAATTCATAACTTATTCATTTGTCTGGTAATAACGAATCACCGATGCCAATCTATTTTTAGACCGGAAAAGTAATAAAAAAGAAAAAAAGAAAAAAAGTAGTTACTAGTGCAGTAATAAAGAACACTAGAATCAACTGTAACAGTTAAAATCCTTACCGCGGCTGTCTGAAACTTCCTATCTTTCATTTCTTTATTGTTATTTCTTCTTCACTGTTCAACTCGGTGTTGTTCGTCGATTCTGTAGTTTCTGCGCGTCAAACCTCCTGGTTCCTATAAATTCAGCCCCCCTTTTGATCATTTGGGTCGTTGAAGAATCGTTTCCAGATTTTTTTTTAATTTTTTGGTTCTTTGATTGTTATATTTCTTTTCCCTTTTGGCAAAGGTCAAAACTTTCACAGGAGAAGAGAACCAAATCCAGCTCCTCTGCTCACCCATCAATCTTCTGTCAATTTTATTTTTTGTTTCTTCTGCCCGATTTGAGCTCCGGACTTAAATGGGTTCGAGGGAATATACACAAGAGCCGATACTGAATCAGCTGGGGGAATCAATCCGCGCAATTTCTGGGTTGCCCGAGTGCAGAACGGTTGCGAAAAAGATGTACAGCAATTTGGTTCGGAGAATTAAGCTTCTGAGTCCTCTGTTTGAGGAATTGAAGGATGGTGATGAAGACTTGCTTCAGGACGGGATTGTTAAAGGCCTTGAGCTATTGACTGTTGCTCTTCACTCGGCTTTTGAGCTTCTTAAATCAATCCATGAAGGCAGCAAGATATTACAGGTATATTTGATTAGCTTTTTTCTCCTTGATTTTGACCTCCATTTTGGCATGAGTGTCATAATTGGTTGTAGTCATTTTCATTGATTGAGAAGGAAAAACCATGTTTTCTAATTCAACTGAATCTTTTCTGTGTAGTGATCATGATCTTGTGCATATGATTTGCTTGGGTTTCTTTCAAATTTATTGAAGTTTTCTTCTGCATTTCCCCTCTTTTCTCACATGTACAACTTCACGGGCTTCGTCTTTGTATTTTTAGTCTTATGTTTAGGCAGGCATATGTATAAGATTGAGCCAAAACTATTTCTTGTTAAGGTGTGTGTCTAAGAAATTATCTATAACTGTTGTTCATGGGTTTTAGAATCTGCTGGCCTTGAGAATTATGTGCTTAGCTGCACATTTAGTCCACTAATAAGATGAATAAATCCAGGAAAACGGGTTTCTTCTGTTGAAGAAGTGTTTTTATTGTAAATCTTTGATGCAAAAGGTCCCCTAAAATATATCTTTAAGTCCCTCAATTCTACAGGCTCTACAGTTGGAACAAATTTCTATCAAGTTTCATCAAGTAACGGAACAGATCGAAGAAGCCCTTTGCCAGGTTTCCTACACTACACTTGATATCACGGATGAAGTAAAAGAACAGGTATTCACCACCTCCCTTATGCTCAATAATGCTTATCACATTGCAAAATATTACCACCATATGTGGTTCTCATGTTATTCTTTTCTGACAACTGTTAGTGTGTTTTATTATCACTAGATTGAACTTGTTCACACACAATTCAAACGAGCAAAAGGAAGACCTGATTCACCCGATTTACAACTTGAAATGGATTTAGCTATCGCAATGAAGGAAAGAAATCCGGATCCTTCAATCTTAAGGAGCCTTTCAGAGAAGTTATATCTTAGAACACTGCATGATTTAAAGAGAGAATCTCTTTCTATCCATGAAATGGTTATTGCACATGGTGGATTTCCTGAAGAGCGGTTCGAGACAATGTCATATCTCCTAAAAAAGATAAAGGACTGTGTGATAACAGAGAACCCAGAATTTGATGCCCCTGAAAGTGACAAGAGCCTCGTGAAGCACCGAACACCTGTCATCCCAGATGATTTTCGATGCCCAATATCCCTTGAGCTAATGAAAGATCCCGTTATTGTATCCACTGGACAGGTTCGTACCCGGTTAATTGCAGAAAATTGGTCACTTTTTTCCCGTATAATAGCATTTTGTTTTCTAATTCTATATCTAACTCTCTTTGCAGACTTATGAAAGATCTTGTATACAAAAATGGCTTGACGCAGGGCACAAAACATGCCCGAAGACTCAGCAGACTTTGTTGCATACGGCCTTAACACCTAACTATGTTTTGAAGAGTCTAATTGCTCTCTGGTGTGAAAGCAATGGCGTTGAGCTGCCTAAGAGTCAAGGAAGCAGTCGGCATAAAAGATCAGGAGCTGGTGGTTCAGAGTGTGATCGAGCAGCTATTAACGTCTTGTTACAGAAGCTAACAAATAGTAACCCGGAGGAACAACGAGCAGCCGCTGGTGAACTTCGCTTGTTGGCAAAAAGAAATGCTGACAACAGAGTGTGTATTGCTGAGGCTGGTGCGATCCCCTTACTTGTGGAACTCCTATCCTCGCCTGATTCTAGAACACAGGAACATGCCGTGACTGCACTTCTCAATCTTTCTATCAATGAGGCAAACAAGGGAACTATTGTAAGTGCTGGTGCTATTCCTGATATTGTTGACGTGCTTAAAAATGGAAGCATGGAAGCAAGAGAAAATGCTGCAGCAACACTTTTTAGTTTATCTGTTGTGGATGAGAATAAGGTGATAATAGGAGCAGCTGGGGCTATCCCAGCACTTATTGATTTGCTCTGTCATGGTACGCCAAGAGGGAAAAAAGATGCAGCTACAGCTATATTCAACCTTTCCATCTATCAAGGGAACAAGGTGCGAGCAGTTAGGTCAGGGATTGTTCCTCCATTGGTGAGATTGCTCAAGGATCCTGGTGGTGGAATGGTAGATGAAGCTCTTGCAATATTGGCCATACTTGCCAGCCATCCAGAGGGAAAAATAGCAATTGGTCAAGCTGACCCTGTCCCGGTGTTGGTGGAGGTTATCCGAACTAGCTCTCCTCGCAATCGAGAAAATGCGGCAGCTATCTTGTGGTCATTGTGCACAGGGGATGTCCAATGCCTGAAACTGGCGAAAGGTCTTGGCGCGGAAGAGGTCTTGAAAGAATTGTCAGAGAATGGGACTGATAGGGCTAAAAGAAAAGCAAGCAGTGTGCTGGAACTCCTCCAAAGAATACAAGTCGTTGATTCATGACAATGAGATGATCTTTGTCTGAAGAAAATATATGGGATGAACATGCATTTCTTCACACGAGGATTTTCCATTTTTGTTGCGTAAATTAATCACGGTTCCTTAGATGATTGATTGTAAGAAGAACATCAGTGTACAAATATGTAGATGAGCAGTTTTACGTGATCCTATAGTCAATGTCCAATGGAGGGTAGGGTTTCTGTTGATCCGGGTGTAAAATTATGGAACCCTGGACGCTCCAAAAAGTTAAAATTCCTAATGAGTGTTGCATTTACTAAATTTACTATAGAAGATGTGAAATTAATTTAACTGGTTTATGTAATTCTAATACTATGTTAATTGTCAATGACCAAACCAGTGTAACCCCTCTTAATTTAATGCACTAAATATTCCCTTAAATCTAAAAAAAAGAAAAAATTCGGTTACATTATCGTCGGCATTTGATATTGTTACTTTATTTCGGTTTAAAGGGAATGTGATAATTGTGAATATAGATGATGTTATTCAAATCATTGATGATGTACATTAAAATTAAGCGAAATGATAAAGAGTCCTTTAAATAAGCAAAAATTAGTTAGAATCTAATCCTTTGGTGAAGCAGATCCATTTCAGGTATTGAATAACATTAACGGAAAAAACAAAAATAAAAAGAAAGTACAAACGATCATAATCAGATCGCAAAACAATGAGAGCTGAGTTATAATTTACGAGATGAAGCAGCAATTCAAACATATACATACAGCTTTCTCAAGCGAACAAGCAAAAAGCCATTCAAACCCTGAATTTACAAATCAACCCAATTTCTCTGCAAACGGTTCGATTAATGTGTTCCCGTTGATAACATTTGTGGTTCCTATAATCAAATCATATGCCATTCCCTCCTACAAAAAGAAAAAGGAAGTGGACAGACAATTAGTGATACTTATATAAGATTATAATGAGATCACGTCAGAAGGACCCACACAAGTGATTAACGCAAGCGGAGTTCATCATGAATATGCATTAGTGAAAAACCAGGTAGTAAATTCTCTCCCCCACCACACTGCAAATGTGAAGGTTTTACAAGGCCGTAGTCTTCTGTATCTGCTGTTCAGCCAGTAAAGACCACACAAGCAGTCTAGTAACTGGAGAGTTTCCAGACCATACAAGCAGTCCAGTAACTGGAGAGTTTCCAGTTATAAGATTCTTAAGTTACTAACAAAGTACTAACGTATAAGCACCTGAATTCATAACCTTCAGGTTCAGCATTATGAGAATGATAAACAGGTACTCCTTAGTAAAAATGCAAAGATCAGCTTTCTAAACTGAATTTCATGAGCAACAAATGATCCTGGCATAAGCACTCACATCATCTCATAATTTTGTGGGCACATAGGTTTGGTACAACCTGAAATTGCAATTAATGTTCATACCTGCCCACTGAGAAAACGAAGAGCAGAAATCTCTGCAAATGTTACGCCTCCAACGAAAACCACAAGGACCAAAGACCGCCTTCCATCACCAACTCTGAAATAATAGCAGGGTGTCACAAAGGACTCTTGGTTTCAATATGAGTTTTGTTAAGTTCTTCATTGAAAACCCCTATTTAGCTCAAACAGAGTATAATTTCCACATAAATTCGCAGCAAAAGCAGGCATCCTTCCAAGTTCAATCAAAGAGTCCATAAAACACGGCAACCCCTTCTATAAATCCAATTTAGTTTCTCACAAATAAAAAGAAAAGAAAGACGGCAATATATTAAAAAGTCAACTCTCTCGAAGATCCATCATTACTGGCATACTTTTCTTGATTGTCAACAAGAATCAAAATTTAGCACGAATCATGAGTAAAAATAATTTAATCCACCCAGTATCAAAAGCACCTTTTTCCCTCATGAAGAGAAAGTTCAAGCTACAATTACTTTCCAGCATAATAGAACAACTCCCGAAATAATAAGTCCATGAGCAAATATAAAATCGGAAGACCAAAATCTTTCTAATAGTATCAGGCATTGGTTAACTACACGAACAGGAAATACAAAAACATAGTCAGGTACCAAAACTGGAAGTTCAACATACTTGTCTGGAGACCCAACCGGACTGTCAAATGAACTGCTGGCATACCCACTCTGTAAAAAATACACAAAATGACGATTAGGGGTGATTTTCTACATTGTAAAGAATTTGGAGTCAAGCAGCAAGAAAAACAGACATAAAAAGTAACGGCGAACATTAAACAATGTACTGACTCTTTTTGATTCTGTGTGTGGTCCTGGGAGCAACTTCAATATCTCTTCTATGGGGCGCCTGCAGATCAATGTTGGACAGACCGACTTCATAATTATAGACCATATCACACTCAAGGGAAAAAAAGAAAACAAATGAGAATTTACAATGAGACAAAAGCGGTAATAATGATAAGTTCAATTCAGCAGAAGAAATAGAAAGTTTCGCATCAACAGCAGGGTTTCAACTTTCAACCTCTAACTTCAAAGACCAATGTTGTTCAAGCAACAACCAAAGAAAAGTCCTGGTTTCAATCATCAAACAGAATGAAAAACCAGAGCTAAATTTTTTGGATTGTAATGTCTTCTAACCATCATTTTGATGGAATAGACATAGGAGACCAAAGAGATCATAAATGTGAAGTCCAAGACTAGTAGGAGTTTTTTAAAAAGAAAAAGAATGGACTTTTTGTAGGAAGAGGACAAAAAAAGATTATTTGGACAAATGTAAGGTAGCATCAGTATCGCAAACTGGAATTTTTATTCAAATCCTCTTACCACTTCAGTTATATCAAAACTGATATGATTAACCCTATATCCTATTAAGCACTTTTTGTAGTCATTACCTTGAGAATATTATTGAGTCTATGAGAATGAGCTTTCTGCAACTCTACAAGCAGAACACGTACCTAAATATCATGAATCCTCAAGGAAAATCTTTATATTAAGCAAGAGACAGTCCTGCCTGTTCAGAACAAACCTCTGAAAACAACAGTTATCTTTTTCTTTCTTATTTAAACATATTAAGCTCATTCTTAGCATCTGTATCCCAAACTGGGATTTTTATTTAAATTCTCTAACCACTTCAGTTGCATCAAAACTGATGCGATTAACACTACATCCTATAAAAGCACCTATCGTGGTCATTATCTTGACAATATTATTGAGTCTATAAGAATGAGCTTTCTGCAATTCCACAAGCAAAAATATATCTAAATATCAAGAATCATACTCATGGAAAATTTTTATATGAACAAACAGACAGTCCTAGCTATTCAGAACAAACCTCTGGAAACAACAGTATCTTTCTCTTTCTTATTTAAACATTTAAAGGATAGGTCTGAATCAGATGAAAAGATGAGACAGGATATAATGCTTGTTGCTCTTCTATCTTTCAGGAGCTCAAAGATCTAGAAGACACTATATCATTATGAGTCTCCCTCCCACGGCAGAATCAAGAAACAATCTCAAGATCGGCAAATAACTGCACAATTGGAATCATAAAACTGGCTAGTTAATGCATTAAAGAGTAATCTTACCATCCAGATCGAATAGCGTGCTGAACAAGACGAATGCTCAGAGGGGCATATCCAGAGAACACATATGAAATGTCGCTGGGGCTGTCAAACCAAGAACAAATGAAGTGAGCAACCATAAACAGTAAGTCAGAAGCACGTAAGATAACCATACACTCTACATTGGTTCATCTGAAAGAAATATTGAATCATCTTCTCAGGAGATCATTTAGTTTCTTCCACATTGCAAGTAACCCATAGAATGCAAATGATCCGTAAGAAGTAAAGAATTCACAGAGTGGCACTCTGAAAATAAATCAACTATTCCCAGTTAAATTCTAATTTATTTCCCTCCAATAACAAGGTTTTGGAGAAATGGGGAATAATTAGCCTGCACGCACAACTGTATTTTATATAGGATTACCCAATTGACTCCTATACCCAAGTAATGCTGAAAAGTGGTTGAAAGAATCTTACTTAGCAGTATCCATATCCTCAACCACAAGTTGCAGCGCACGCTTGATTGTCGTCCAGTTGCTTTTGTTCTCCTGAAATCACCATTTAAGAGTTACAAACTTGACAAGCAGAAATACCAAATACAAGTAATTAAAGGGAAACTATCAATTGCAGTAGTCAGACCTGCTTCTTGAAAAAGCCAGCTTTTTCCAGATTATTCAGAGTTGCCATGTGCTCAAAACCATAGCTATGAAGCACCTCTCTTCTGAACCCCAAAAAAACAGCAGCCAGAAGATCTTTGTAAGTAATTAGAAGTAACAATTCATTAAGTGCAGATACGTGAAAAGAAATAAAAACAACCAAACACATTAAAGCCTTCTACCAGCAACTTGCCTCAATTGGTCAAATATCTTTTTTGGCAGTCCTGCATTTGTAATGGAAAACATGATGATTAAGCGCAGAACATTAACAAAGGGCTCCTGCTTGTGTATCATCTCCTCAATGTACTGGAGGCATCTGCATTAATTCAATAGTCAGTTAGGTAACCAAGTAAAATGAACCCTAGAACTTGGTAGCTCTGATTGAAAAAGAAAAGTAACATAAATATCCACTTGATAAAGATAATTAATAGATGTTCATATTTCTGGTTCACGGCAAGTGCATGATGAGAGGAAACAATTCCGAATTGACAAAATTCTATCCAGCAAATAATATAATACAATAGAAGTGAATACTACTCCTGTTTCTCACTAACAAATTTGCAAGAAAGATCTATAATTGTCTGACCCATCATAGTTCTCAGCCTCAATAATCGTCTGCTCCATCTGAAGACGTTCATGAAATGCATGTTTTGAGGTGTATGTTTGCAAATGCTGAGCAAGATTTATGTGCCTCTGAAAATATAGTTGGTATCATTAAGTTAGTGGATTATCATAGAGAACCAAGTGACCACTTCATGCAGTTAATCCGAAAAGGTACTTACTGTAATTTCTGGTAATGAGTTCAGCTTTTTAACAAAGTCCTTCAGCTCCGACACTGTTTGGTTCTGCATGTAGAGAACCAAATTAGAAAATATTCCAAGTGAGCAGAAGAATTTTTTATTTTTATTTTTTGAAAAACAAAGAAAGAACAAAAGAAATGTTTTTCCTAATTGACACTGCACATGACAAAGAGCCCGGCGAACTCATGAAGGAAAATCAACCAATCATTTTAAGAAGTCTAAACCACATCGTGTACATCACATAAAGGCAGTTGAAAAATAAGAAAAAAAAGTTAAGTTCCCTTCCAAGTCCATCTGACATATACTCAGTTTTTACTGAATGAAAGAGTTGATTAACTGGCATATCTCGCCACCATAAGAGGATGTTGTATTGGAAAAGGTACATAATGTCGCCAACACTCAAATTTCATCTCAAAAAGTTTGCTCGCGAACCGTGATTGAGGAGTCTAATGATATGAATTTGCTAGACAATACAAAGTACTTTACATTTTGTATTTAAGGAAGCAGCTACTGCATTCTTGGGCAGATAAAATCAATATGGTCTAATGAAGATTTCAAATGGGAGAGTGAAACAAGGGTCCCCACTTACAGGCATTTCTGTATATTCTTGCTTCATGGCTGTTGCTTTTTGACGTAACACCTGAAAGTGTTTACAAGAATAAATTATTATTGAAAAACACAACACGGACGATGAAAATGATCTGCATCCAGAAAATGACAACAAATATCCAACTACAATAACATCATAATAAACAGATTAACCTGGATAACGTATTCAAAGTTTAGATCCCGTATCTCCTTGTATAGTTTGTCACTGAAGCAAAACAGACAGAATATAAATAAGTGGTATTGACACAAAAATCATCCACATCGCAGCCAGAGCGAAAGAAAGAAAAATTTGGGAAAAGTTGAATTTTTTTACATACAATTTAGGCTAGCAATCCAATACAAATAACAAAAAAGATCTAAGCCAATATGCAAATAAAATGGGGCACAAATCATTAAGTTTGTTGAGTGTATCCTAGTAGAAGTAAAATCCAAGACAGACGAGAACATATATTTTATGGAAGGAGACGAGAAGAACAAAAAAAAAAGTATAAATAAACATTCATGTAGCAATCATCAGAGGAAAATTAGAATGTGGGAATATGAGGAATTTATTTTGGCGGTGTAAAAGCAAATCACATTCTAGTAAAAAACAAGCAAGACATCAAGATTGAAGATGCCATCAATTTTAGAAACTACACATATTATAGTAAAACCACCTGGAATTAAGGGGAACCTTCATCTTTTTCCCTTCTTGCTGAGCACTCATGATAGATGAGTCTATTTCCACAGCACCATTCTTGATACCAAGGAACTGTAAACAAACATCAGAAATGTTAAGAAATACATACTATCAGCAACTTAGACGATTAGTGTAATTGATTGCTTTCCAAAGTAAAAATTAAAGAACAGGAACTTTCCCTATAAACTGATTCTCGAAGCGTAAATGGGATGTAGTTTTATGTCTATAGTCTTAGACGTTAATCTTCAGGTGAACTGTACCTCATCTAGTAGCCCCTCGTATGTCAATTGAGCACACATGGGAGTGATCATGTCTACCTGCAGCATTAAATAACTGTCAGCCATCAGAAGGATAGATTTACATCAGCATCAACACACTGACCTATGCTTAGGCCTCAAGAGAAACAACTGAAACACAGCTAGTACTAAACATTGAATCACCAGCAAGTGTTTCTCATTTAGCCTTCAAAGCCAAGATAAATGATCTACTGTACACAACTTGATTAATGTGTGAAGCTCTAAAAGGAAAATCTGCTATGTAAAGCTAGGTAGGTCCATTATGCGTGATGTGTAGTTGTACACATAGAAATCTGAGGATGGAATTTCTGGTGACAACAACTTGACACCAACACTCATTGAACAGTGTTCTAGTGTTTTCATTACCATAAGTTGAATAGTTCTGTATTTCATCAAATCCAATTTATTACACATTTCAAGAAGAGAGAACAAGCTGCCGTTTAGAAAGCTCATACATCTCTCCCCTGGCGTACAAAAACTATCTGATTAAAGATACAAATTTTTGAATAAACATTGGGTAGATACCTCTCTGTCAAGAAGGATGACTGTATTGATCTCTGGCATGCCAATCTGCAGCATTTAACCATTAATTGGCAATAGAAAACAAAGCATAAACTCAAACACAGATGCATAGATGCAAGTAGCTACATACGTACCTCCGAAGTGTTAACAGGTTCTTCAATTTGCAAGCGGTTTAAGATGTCTGCAACACGTGTTGATGCTTTGCCTTTAGCCCTTACGTTTGGTATCAGTCCAAAAGCAAACTGTATTCATCAATAAAGCAAAGGTATGAGCAAACAAGAAAAGACTGCAGATGTTTTCTATACTGATATAATCAACTGTTGTATGTACGTATAACAAATCAACCTCAAGTTTGTGGAGAGCTTTAGCAATATGCCATAGGGAGGTTGGATCTCCATCAACCAGAGTTTCCTATTACGTGAAATTTAAACATCATTAAAATCATAGACGTAGGGTATAGTTGATGAAAACGAGATAGGGACAAAGACTTACTTTGTAAGCAAGGTCGAGTTCAAATGATATCACGTCCTCATCTAGTGGCAAAAGATACAACGGGTACTCACCTATGGTCAATAAGTCATGAACTTTCTCTTCTTCCAATATCTAAAGAAAATGATGAAGATTGCAACCAGTTTCAATAAAAAGTCATACACAGACACCATCCTGAGACTTTTAAAACAGCAGAGCGAAATTGACAATAAAACCGTACTTTCTCACACACAACAGTTCGCCGTGGAGTGAAGTAAACAAAATACTCCCTCTGAAGCCCCTTTGAACTATCATCATGTATCTGTGAGGAAATCAATCCCATCAACTCAAGTCGGCTGGGGACAAGAAAAACCAGTTTGGTGCAATCAGTTTGAACTGGTTCAGCAGTAAGATATCGCAATTCAGCGCCGTGATCCTGTTTTACCAGAGAAACAAGGAAACAGAACAAACTTCAGAAACAGTTCATTTCTGAAAAAGCTAAGCAACGTACTTTTATCAGGTAGTCGCACTGCCCGTCTCCTATATTTGCAGATACAGTTTAACGAAAATAGGAAGTATCCAAATTCAAGAGCAATCTACGCTAACATAAGCTGGAAGCTTATAATTACATAAAACTTTTGTCACAAGCTATTAATTCTGGACACATGCCTTTGAGCAAGTAGAAACTTAATGTCCAACCACAAATATGTTAAAACAAAGGCCGCCAGCACAGGTAAAGTTGCAAAAAAAAAAAGTCTGAGATATAAGAGAATTGCCTTGAGGAGTGAGCTCTTGATGATCAAGGAAAGAGAGCCGCTGAGCTTAGGTTCGATAACCAAACACTTCTTCCCTCGAATCTACAAACAAAGCACAAACTAATTAATGCCGTTTACTTCCAGAAGGAACTTGAATTACGCACAAAATCAACGGAAAAGAAGAGTTCACTCACATTCTTCAAAATGTTGATAAGTTCTTTCGCAGACTGATCTCTACTCCAAAAGAAGAAAACGGAGAAAACATTAACATACGTATGGTACTGGAAAACAAAGCGTAAGAGCTGAACGGAAAATCAAACAAACCGGAAAGAATTGAGATTGATGGGAGCATTATCCAAATTGGGGAGCTGAGCCATTCCTCCCCCTCCCTCTCCGTCTCCTCCTCCTCCTCCTCGTCGTGATCTTGCAAGAGCTTAGGGGGACGACGACAATGGAGGTTTTTGGGGCTGTTGGAATGGACTTTGGTCAGTATGATGTCATGCCCGATTTGGGCAGTTACTCTTTGCTAATAAGTAAGCTGCGCGAATCAATCGGAAAAGGACAATCAAAACACAATAACAATTGTCATAATAGTATTATTATATATATATATATATATATATATATCATTCGTTTTATTATATATAAAATAAAAAAAAACATTTCTGTAATTGTTGTCTAAATAAATTTCGGGCACGTAATCTTTCTTCTTTTCGTTGGTTATTATTTATATATTCCTTCCAATTTATTTAATTGATATAAGGCACATATTTTTAATGGAATTACAAAATATATATAGGAGGCAGTATTGTTTAAGAAAAACCAAATAAACAAAGAGACTTCCCCATTTTCATTCCTATACACTTCAATGCTTTGTTCTTGTTCTGTTCCTTTTCACTTTATAAGCAGAACTTGTGAAGTTTCTGAGGGTTTTTTCAGAGACTGAAATTTTCTCAACATTGGAATATCGGCCATTCTGTGAAAACTTTAAATGTACCTTGGATGTATTCTCTCAGTTCAAATAATTGTTTATTTTATTGTATCAGTTCAAAACATTTTCTAATAATTATGGAAATACAACGAACGTGAAAATATATTTTTAAGGTTTTTTTTTCCAATTAAAAATATATCATAGGTGAAACTTAAAACAAAATCAAAATATCTTATAATAAGGACCGGAAGGAGTAGTATTTTCGTCTTGCTATTGATGCATAGGGTGATTTGCAAAGTTAAAATGAAATCAAACATTGGAGTAGCAAAACAAAAAAAATTGAGTGAGTGATGAAAGATTTCTGAAATGTTGTCTCAATTTTTCTATGAAATTCCAAACCCACGTTCATTTACAAGTTCAGGCACCAATTCGGAACTGTACAATTAGTGTCCTCCTCAGAAGTATAGAATTCTGAATTTTTGCCTCAATTTCAGAACCAATGCCAATCTCCAACTTTGTACCGAGTCCTCCAATCTACAGGACTGTCATTTCACTTGTATAGGTTGTTATATTCCAATGGTTAAAGGTCAGTTTTGACGCTTCAAATGTCCTTAAAACTCAGAAGTTCCTCTGGGCTCTGACAATGGCTCCTAACACCAGAGGAATGTAATTTTGGAACTGAGAACCTAATTTAACTTAATTACTGATGCCGAAACTGAGACATCAAACTGACAAAGAAATGTTTAGTGACGGCCATGCATACATATTTTCCTAAAGAATTTCACATTTCAAACCATATCAACAGCATCGCGATAGGTAACATTTGAGTTGATCGTCTTCTTGGCTAAATTGCGAATGTCATCTCTGGAAGATTCAACTGCTATGCGACTCAGTTCTTTCAATCCCCCGCTGGATACAAAATCCTCAGCATTGTACACTGAACAAAGTCAATATCAGAAACAGTAAAAACGAAAACAAAAACAAATTAAATCATATGCAATCAACATTTCAAGTAAATCATATAATCCTGAATGAACACATTAAAAGAGTAACCAAAAAGTATGCAAAGAGTAGTGTACTCTAAACTATTAATGCAGGAAATAGACTGATGATTACAAGAGGAGGTAAACTTTTAGTTATGTAGTATCTCTCCTTTCCCTGCTAAAGGTAAAGATCAAAAGAATAGAGAAGAGTTACACCATGGAACGTATCCCTCAGAAGTTACACTTCTCAAGAGTGAACACTTCAGCTTTCAGTAAACACGTCTTTCTTCTGCGTTTTATAATTGGACTATGAAATGCGTACATATTTGAAGATGTTTCTCGACAAAATGCCAATGTTTTTATTTTGACCCAAATTTCCCTCCACTTTGTGTTTATCTGGGATCAAGGTGTCTATGTTCGTCTCTCTTGTCGAATAAGAACTAATTTGTTCAACAGAGATCAACGCTTTAGGGGCAAAATTATGCAAACTATCTCATGCTTCTTGATAAATACATCTGCACAATACAAAGATATGAAAAGCAATAGTTACCATTTTGTGCCAAATGACAAATAGCCAGTTCTATGTGGCGCCGGGTTGAACTAGAAGTAGTGCTAGAGTTGGCAATTAACCATGTCAGAGCATTATCATTCAGCAATGCAGAACGCCCACTCCGATTTCCTGTGATAAAAAGAGCTTGCTATGCATGTTAACTTGAATATATGATTGCTGAGTACACTGCAAGATAAAAGCTAATTATCAAACCTTGAAGAATTGCTCGAGATTCACACTTAGCAAAGTTAGCCATTCCTCTGGCTACCTGAGCTATAACATCACTATTCCCACATCTAGCCATTTGGACAAGTGCTTTGATTGCCCCATCTTCTCTCAAGATACCATGTAAATCCTCTGCCACCAAGGAATACCAGAAGAGTAGCATAAAGGAGTTAATACATATAGACACACACACGTATACAAAAATGACTGCATGAATTGCCATCACATAGAATAAATTCTGATAACTGTAGTGTACTGAGCAGATTACATCAAAAAAATTCTTTTCTTTCATTTGAAAGTCAGAAACGTAATGAGGGGATTTCATATATACTCGGATCAAATGGCCAACCCCATAGTGGGATAGGCCTGTCTTTTCGGTTGTTGTACTTGCATCAACAAATGCATAATTTCTACTTTCCTTGGATAGTAGAAAGATAAGAAGCAATCAAATATGTGATTCATTTCAAGGCAAAACCATGTTACTCACCATTGCCGCACAAATTTGCAATAGCTCCTGCTACCATTCGTAAAGCTTGTGGATCATCAGTTTCGTTAGCTGTATTTGCAAGTAGCCTAATACCTCCTTTACTTGCTATGGTGCCTTGATTTGATTCTGAAGAACAAATGATGCTGGGTTATTTATATCTTACAAAAGTACATTCCATGTACTCACAAAATTGGAGAAAAACTTCCTCACGAAAATGAGCACGTTCTGCTTGGAAGAGGCATGTTCTCATGAAAAGGTCCACTAACTAGCCGTGTGTCCCAAGTGTTGAAGTGTAAGAAATTACCAACTCTTAAGTACAGAAGTGTAATGCATGAGAATCTAATTTAAGTAAATGTACCATTCATAGCTAGATTGGCAATGGCACCAGAAGCCACCCTGAGAATGGTTTTATTTTTTGATGATTCCAACAGCACAAGCAGTGCTTCCAATCCCCCTTCGCGTACAATCTTCTCCTGATTGCTGTCTGCAATGAGTAGCATTTATAAGAGAAAATACACATAAGCTTGCTCATTTGCATGCTTTGAATCTTATATACGGATATATGCATACCATGAACTCGTGTTCCCTTATTTCAAAATGAGCAATATCTATGCACTTCTCTAATAGGTTTCACATACAGGACACCAAGAGACATATACGTCAAACACTCAATATCCTAATTTCAAGAAATCACAAATTCGGAACATCTCCTAGTGCACCACAGGACGTGTAGTAATATAACCATTCTCCTCTGTCAAATGAAGTTGTCAAATGTCATAATCAAAACACTCAAGGACTAAAGAGTCCTGGAAGTTGGCAGCCAAACAAAGAATATGCTCGAAAGGGTTTACACTCTTATAACACCAATCGGTTTTCTTATACATACCTTCTGCAGCAAGATTAGCAACCACTTTTGCAGCATGGATTTGCACATTCAACTCTTCAGATGTGAGCAAGGACAATATCTTTTTGAGACCAACTGCAAGTCAACAGAGTGGAAGCTGGTGAATCTCTTTTTCAAGAAAGACCAAAAGGATTCAGTCAAATTAAAGCTAGCCTAGTCTATACAGAAGAACAAACTTACCTTCTTCGCATATCTTTGCAATGCCACTCCTTTGACCAAACGAAGAAGATCCACTGGAAAATCTCTCTCTTTTGTAAGACCTTTTCTCCTGCAAGTCATGAAATCATCAATAACCTATAAATTTTAGGGACCATAAAGAGATATAACCACTAACCTCAAAGCCATCTTCACTTTCAGGAACAACTTTCTTAATATTGACCAGTTCAATTTCGGCAGCCTTCCTTCGTTCTTCCTCAGTGGTTATTGATTGCCTCATGGAATTGATTTTACTCTCTAGTCTCTCCTAAAAGTGCATTGGATAGGACACATCAGCGTCAAAGACACTAATTAATCTGGATGGTGAATATTTTGCTTTTCTATTTATTTATTTATTGTCTCGTTGATTGATCAGATCATCCCTTTGAGCACATTTTTAATCCCTTGATCACTTTTTCCGGCCTACATTACTAAATATATCTTATTTTTCTTAAATATGTGAAACGTAGCCACTGTGCTGACAGACTTTTGAGAAACAAGGGCATTAAAATGTAAATCAAATAGATTCACTGTTGCCAATGACACCTTATCGAATAGCAGATCATTTCGCTCTGTCTCTAATAAATGCAATTCATTCATCATAGCCTCATGCAATTGATGCATTTCACGTAACTTTGACTCAAGCCCCACAATGTCTTTTTGTGCCTGCATCTACAAGACATAGCAGAAAGGAGAATAACAAGAGAAAATTTAGAGCTTAATGGTGTCATAAGGGAAATCAGTAATTTTAACTGTTTTTCAGGTGAAAAATTAAATCAAGTACAATAGTAAAAATTAAATAAAGTACAATAGCTAATCATGTTGCATAAATTTTGCTTGTGTTTTTCCAGTAAGGAAAGTTCGATCTAGGAATGTACATCAACAAGTACACTTCGGAACTGTGTGATATACAAAGGCAAAGAGGATGCAAGGGTATATGAAGAGTTCCATCAAAGAACTACCTGGACTAAACTTTGTTGATCACTCAAGAGGTTTCGGACTGAGTTCAACTGCTCTTCTGCATCAGTAAATCGAGAGTGTTCATCAGCTACCTGCTTGGATAATTTAGCAATTTTTCCCTCGTACATCTGAGTGGACTCTGCAAGTGCCTTCTGATATCTAGAATTTTCCATCTCAACTTTCTAGTAAAAAGGAAGAAACAAGATCACATTTTCCTCTCTGTTAGATGGCGAATGAAATAATAAATGAATTGTAAAGTATCAAAAAAATAATAATAATAATTCAAGAGCTATTCCTCATATGCCGATAGGAAAGAACTGGGAATTAACCTGCATTGACATTTGCAGATCAGCTAAATTCTTCTTCATTTCTTCCACACGCCCTTCAGCATTTTCAGCCCGTGCATAGGCATCTTCTGACTGTTTCATGGCATCAACTATTTTCTGCTCATACATATTTGTGGTATCTGCAAGCACTTTCTGATATGCAGAATTTTCTTGCTGCTGTTGCTACTAACAGACAAAACAAAAACATTAGTCTATCTTTTGCCCGAAAAACCAATAACATATCAAGGTAGAAGCAAGGTGATTAAAATATTGCTGCTGGCAGTATGGCGCAGAAAGTAAACTCACAGCTAGAAATGGACACTATAGATCTATAAATGATGACCTTATACCATGAAAAATAAACACTTTGATACTTATATTTAGATTTGTATGGGGATTGAATTATACCTGATACTCATGATACCAGTATCAACACATAAAAAACACAGCAGGCTTTGCTTCCATTACTTTAACTAAAAAATTATTTCTTCTTAATATTATGTATTTCTAAAGCTCAGACAGGTAAGTCGTCTAAAGCAAAATAATACCTTTGTGAGTTTTAAATTCATTGCCATATGAGCAACCTGATCTCGCATTGAATCATTATCATCTTTTGCCCGACTTAATTCAGCCAGTGTATCTTTCAACTTATTTTCCAACTGAGCATTCTCCATTTCTATAAACTGCACCAAGAGTGGTAAACTAAGAAGATTCAGCCAAAACTGGAAGAGAAACATCAGCAATGAAGAAAGCCTTAAGGGAAAACAAACCAGTATTAACCACTCTGAATGGTTAACCTATTCATACCTCTACATCCTTCAAACTTATTTCAAGGCGTGCAATCTCATCCTGCATCAAGTCATTATGCTCTTTCAACTTATCAAGTTCCATTAAAAGATCTTCCATCTTGGACTCGAGACAGGCATTCTCCTTCTCCAAACACTGCAATTAGTATACGTATTTAGGTTCGTAACAATAACTTTCCTGATGTGAATCGGTGAGTGCTCCATAACTAGTCAACGATTTGCTTTCACAAATGGAACTTAAAGCAAACACAAGAGGGAAAACAAATACCTCACACCTGGAAACTAATCTCTTTTCAACATCTGCAAATGATGTTTGATATTCCCTAAGCTTGGTTTCCATTTCAGTTTTGTAAATCTCTCTCAACTTTTCCAGTTTATCCACTTCCGCAGTAAGATGTTCAACTTGAGTCTCAAGCTTGCGACATAAGCTTTCATAATCAAATTCTTCTTTTAGCTTTACTGCATTTACTATTTTCATTGCCTGCGGAAGATAGTTACCAGCAAATTATTCTTTGTGCAAATATACAGTGAAAAACAGTAAGTTTAAGTGATTATAATAAAGGAGCAAAACCAATCACTGGTGCAGCAGCAATCTGCCATCCAAATAAAAACTACAGAATGTATTTCAAGAGAATTTTGAACAGCACCATTAGTATTGTCGTTATCAACAGTGATGCCAGATTCCGTTTGATTTTGGATAGAACTCATATACAGAGTATTGTGTTTTCGTGTGTCAATTGTGAATATCTTAAGTAACTCATGAAGAGCTTAGAAATGTTATGAACATTAATGCAAAGGAGTTTTTCCTTACCCTTTGTCCAAACATCACAGTGCTTGATGTCTCTGCATGATGCTGAGAAGATGGCCCAATTGTTATTATAAGTGAAGTCCTTGCTGACCCTGACGATCAAACTCAAAGTAAATAGAAGCAGAGCATATTGAATAAGGAAAGTAAGTAGGTTAGATGCCCACTATCATAAAGTAGGAAGTTGAATGTTGACAAACATTACACAAAGATAACAGATCGCTTCAAGTAACTTCCACAAGTTACATCAATATCATCTTCTAGGTAAATTAGTGTCTTGACCAATGAATTTTCAAAAACTACATTTCCTACTCATAACTCCAGCAGGCTCAAGAAAGGAGGATTTATCAGAGTCTATGAAGGGGAAAAAAATCTGCACACAGCCTTGAAGTTTGAATGAAAGAAGCTTGTACTTTCTAGCATAAAATATCGGCGGCTTGGATATGTGGAGATAAATTAAAGTGGTACTGGCATGTTACGCATCCAATATAATTGCTCTTCCTAGCTACTTATATCCTTCAATTTCCTTAACCGAGTATTAACGATCTTCAATAAACTCAAAGGAAAATATCAACAGATAATGACATCAAGGATGCCGACTTCCCAAAACAGAAATAACAAATAACCAGATTATACCTCCAAAAGAATCCCTCAGCAATCTGGTTAGTTTGGAATCTCTAGTGGGAATATGAGGACTATTTTCAGCCAATGCATTAATACATTTTCCCAAAGAAGTGAGTGAGAGATTTATAAATTTAGCCTCTTCCACCATGTGACCTTCACTCCCTGCAACAAGTAAAACCATATCATAAGATAAACCCTAAACCTACAACAATCAGATAAGAGAAGTTTACTATTTGTATCAAGCAATATCCCTGGTTAGAAAAGGAACTATAACTTGAACTAGTCACATTAAATTTGGAAGCAAACGAAGATGAGTACAAGTGCTACATGGATTGCGTAATCAAACAAAAGTAGCAAACCAGATTTGTCAAGGCGTTCCGACCCAGCAAGGTCAACGATCAATAGCTTGCTTTTCCGAATGGTGGGTACATTGAGGCCTGGTGCTCCAGCTTTTTTATCTCTTTTTCCTGAAGAGATATCACTTACTTCTTCTTCATGTATGAATCTACGTACATAAACCTGCACGAGGAACGTGACAAGCTCAGTAGGTGAATGAGACAATTGCAAATCCCTGGCTAAAACCAATAAATTGTGGAGAATGGCACAGATGAAAACAAGGCACCTATGTTGACAGGAAAAAAACTGTTTCATGTATACCATGAGAATCGCATGACTACGTGATGATTCTGTATTCAATTTGGTGTTTGCTGCATGCCGATTTGATTCTCCTATTTGCAACAGTTGTAGAAATTGATCAAGATTCTGAATCTTTACGACAGAGGCACCAGGAACTAGGATTTCTCCACTCTTTGCATCCTCAATAATTGGAATGTTAGTATTTTCTGGTGCAAGCAAATCTTGTATAGATTCCATATAAAGCTGCATAACAAAGTTTTGAGGAAGTGATTGCAGCAGGCTGTAGAAAGTGTTTGAAGACCAACGCAGATATAAAAATGGCAGGATTCCAAGTTGACATAAAATTAAATATCTATAAGATTAATCTAAAATCAGGATGACAAATTTTTTCTCTTAAAGCATCAAAAGTTCCATATGAAATCCACTTTACACACGCAAAAACCAGCATGTCCATAAAGAGGTTTACCATCGACAAAAACTTTTACCTGCAGGTATGAGATCTCAACAGAATCAGATGAGTGAGATGTATTTGCAATTATGTCCTCTAAAGCTCTGACCATGATACCGCGCTCCGAGACGTCATCTTTCCCCAGTCTACCGAGGGTATAGGTCTTTCCAGTACCTGTTTGACCATAGGCCATCACAGTCCCATTATATCCTTCCAACACGCTCTGCAAAGGTGATTGGAGAATTCTGTGTCTTATGAACATCTCATCTTACACCATATAAAATAGTTTTGTGGATATTTAATCAGGAGATAAATAAATTTCACTTCTGTTCGAGCTTACCTCGACTACAGGTTTAGCGACCACCTCGTAAATACGCTTTTGAGAAGCACTTGCAGCAAAAACTTCATCGAACCTATAATACTCGGCACTCCAATTGTGCTTCCTCAACTTTAATTTTTTGAGCTGCGTAATGAATGACAGTTAAAACTTTTAAATGGACAATCTTATATAAAAGCACTTAATTGAGCTACAAATGTTCAAAAAATTGAATACTTGAGCAGAGAGACTAGACAAGCAGTGGCGCACAGCATCATGTCCAATGCAGTCATTACATAGTCATAGAAGCAACTTTTGGGCACCGATTAGGCACAAAATACAGCACAAGCAACAGTTACAATTGCGCATTTCGCGTAATAATCACCTCAGGTTGTACTTCAACACAATCAGGATAATCGGCCTCTGACAGATCCTCAGCATTTCTCGGTCGAAGTCTGACAGCAACTCTCACTCTTCCTGGTTCTGCAGATATAATGAGAGCCTTAAATATTGTACCAGGCAAAACTAAAAGTGAATGAAAAAACAGTGTAATTGATAGCAGGGATAATCGTTCCTCTAACTCTTAAACCCCAAACATAAGCAAAAGAACAACAAAAAAAAAAAAAAAGGAAACAAAAAGGTATCTGAAGAAAAAAAAAAAAAATTTCGTTTGCGTCCCTTGCACATTGCATTGTAAAGGGCTAAGCCCCTATCCTACACATCTACTGGAGAAATAAGGCAAGAAACAAAAGCTAATGTTAGTCTAGCTTCTACAAATTCAGTTCTGAGAATCTTCCATTATAAATTGCTCAACATGCCACAGAAAAAGAAAACGGAGAAACCTGGATCATCGACGTAAGGAGACGAGGGCGAAGGCGAAGGCGAAGGGGAGCGATTACGAGAAGCTGGAACATTGAAGGAGTTACTAAGAGAGCGCGACCTTCTCGAATTGCCATTGTTGGAAGATGATAACGGAACTCGGGTTCGCACAGATTGAGAAAATGCCTGTTCCTGCTGAAGTTTCCCTCCTCCTCCGCCGCCGCCGCCGCCATTGGTGGCGCCGTTGGCCGTGATTCTTGTAGCCGAATTCGTACCACCATTACTCACACCAGAAGAAGTAGATGCAGAGGAGAAAGAAGACGAAGAAAGTGGAGGCCTACTGTGGGATGAAGACGGCCTTGCAGTTGCATTTGCACCACCTCCTGAGCTTCCACCGCCTCCTCCTCCGACGACGACAGCTGCTGAACTGGAATTATTAGGCACCACCATTTGTGTTTGATATTTTTTTTGATTCCGAGATTCTCTCTCTCTCTCTCACACAGTCACACACTAAAAACCCCACAACACTGAACCCGGAAAGGCGTGTGTATAATCATTGAGTGGCATTGATTTTGGGAGTTTCAAAAGCCAAAAGGTTAAAAACAGTACTGCGTTTAATTTATTTAATTGGTTGGGAAAGATAGGTCTGGACAGAATGGAAGGGAGAAGAAAGATCGAGTCGTGTCGTTGAGGCCGGCACGATTGAGGGAAATGCAAAATCCAAATCTTGTTTCTTTTCTGGTAAAAATGCAATCTTGGGAAAGTTGTCCTTTATTTAATATATATATAATGTTCCCGCGTAATCCAGTTATTTAATTTTGAGCTGATTACAGATTGTCAATAGAAACTGTCATTTTCCTTTTTGGGATCTTTTTACTTGACCAGATAGATCCATAATACTGCATTTCCCTGTGTTTGGAAGTTAGTTATTCCCTCAGATCATGTTTAAAATCCTCTATGATAAGGAGCATCAACTCCGTCTCAAGTTAATAATTTGTTTGTTATATTTATTATACTCCTTCTCTCTCAGGAAAAAAATAATTTACGTTATATATATATTGTATTAGTTCAATTTACAAATTATAACGTGAAACATTTTTTGGGAATAGAACGAGTCGAAGTTAATAAAGTAGTATTTGTAAGCTCGGCCGGTTTTTTGCACGACTCATTCCTTCTCTCCTGTCTCTTTATTTTAAGGCTGGATAGGGTCAGATAATAGATCTTCAAGACCTCAACTGAAGACAAGAATTTGAAGCTTAATACATTGGTCTTAAGGTTACACATCTCCATTATGTTACTGAAGAGTGAAGACAAAAATGTTAAAAGAAAATTCAAAATGTCATGAACCATGTTTCATGACTAAAATGGTATTTTTTCCAGCTTTAATCCATCGGGCCATACCACTATAACTGCAAATTTAATAGTGATGGTTTAGATTGGATGATGATGATGATCTACGAAGTCGTGCGTGCAATGGGAAACTTTCATGCAATAGCGCCTACAAAGTCCGTTATAATATCAACTTTATGTCCTTGTTCTAATGGCAACAAGCCCAGCAACTTTATATGTCCCATGATTTGACATTTGCTGACTAATTTATGGTGAGAAAAGGGTCCCCCTCCGTAAAATGAAATGCAATTTAGACAATCTTTTGATCTTTCAAGTTTCAACTTTCGTCTTTCAAATTTGTGTGGGAGAAAGTCATTTTTAAGGAGAGTTCGTCTTAAGTGATCGTGGGACTAATACGAAGTTTGCAAGTATCCATTTTGAGTTACTTTTTGGTTAATTCATTCGCAGCCAGCCAGTGTGCACCCGTGTTATTTCCTCTCCCAAAATCATTCTTCAACATGGATATTAGTTTTAATTTAAATTATATATTATAATTGAAAATTCAAACTGGACAATAATTTTGAGACATTGCCTTAAATTTTATTTTATTTTTTCTTTCACATACAATTCAGTGTCAATCATCCATAACGACTAGATGCTTGTCCTGGGCCGATGTCCGGGAGCGTCTGTGTCTTAAAATTATTAAATAAAAAAATTATAATTGAAAAAGTATATTTCAGAGTAATAATATGTATAATATAATATTATAACACGTATCACGATAACGTAAAATTTTGTACGTGTAAGTAAATAACAATTTTATATATATATATATATATATATATATATATATATACACAATTCTAATTGTAAAAAAAAAATCTTTTGTTTTTTTACCCGCGGGTCATGTCCGTTGGCTAATAACAAATTACAATACTATTGAGATAATATCTCTTGAACTAACGAACAAACATTCGATGATAGAATACTTTGATACAATATCATGATTTTCATAATAGAGAGTTATCATGATTTTCTTGGTTTTCTTGTTGTTAGTTTTTATTTTAAGGATTGGTGCTTTCTTGATTGAACCAATTGTCTGCTGGAGCAAAAATATTAAGGGGTTCGCTTTCATTTTCGTTGAGTCAATTGTATTACATTGAGCCAAAATACTTGATTGAGGTATTATATATTTGATGATTGAACCAATTGTATGTTGGAGTCAATTTTCATTTAAGCAGTTTGTATTTACGGAGATTGAGGAGGTGTTACTCGCGGTAATATTTCACATAATTTAAGGAGATTTTTTACATTTGATTTTATCAACTCAAGTTTCTTGTTTTAAGGGATTAGTATACAGCTATAATTAAGGGATTAGTATGAAGCTATAATTAAGGTATTTATTTATTTATGCTATCTTTTTTTTCTAAATCGTTAGAGTGCCACATGTCAAAAATGATTTTGTATTGAAAATGACTTTTGACAGAAAAATTTTCATTGTGATATTTACACATCAGGAGCTTATATGCTGCATTAATTAAGTACTAGATGCTTGGCCCGGGCACCCGCCTGTCAAATTAAGCGCCCGCCTGTTAATTTAAGTCGACTCAATTATTATAAAATAAATAATCAGAAAAGGAATAATGCTTTTATAATATATATAGAGATATATATAATAGAAGACCATGAAATAGTACGGGGTTTAAAGTATATTTAATAAAATTAGGAGAAAAAATAAAAAAATTTCGGTCCGGGGCAAATGGTTGCCTGACTTGTAAGTAAAACTTACAAATCTTTCAATCTATTTTAGTAGTAAAAATTACATGATTGGACAAAATAAAAAGATAATATAAGTTTGAAAAAAGAACCAAAAGTACTAATTTCAGTCTACTTGTAAACATTCTTTGGGTAATAGATTAGCTAAGAAAAAAAGATCATCAACTTGTTTCTTATCATCCCATCTCCGCATGGCTTTAACCAAGAACTTTGATCACGAATAACTCTGCAACTTAGAAAAACTACAACATTTGCATATCTCTGCTTGGTCAAAAACCTTTTAACTTCACCAAAGGAAGCCGAATGTTGGAGAGCCAAAAGATTTTGTTATATTTAAGCTACAAATGTAAAACACAAATAAGCAGAGGATAGTAGAAATTTGGCGGTGAAGGTCATCCAAGTCAAATGATCTTTCTTTTCTCAGTCAATTTTAGAACTTAAAGTTGTTTAATCTAGCCTAATTTGTGGTTGACTGGTACGCACTCAGATCTTGAATGAGTGCATTGAAACTGGAATAGGAAGAATCACCTTCTTCCACAGCTTTCTTTGCAGCCACTTTTAATGCCTTAGATCATCCCCTGATTTGAATAACTTCTTCACTCACCATAATCCGCTCCACTACCTTAGGAATGTCTTCTTCTTTGATAACATTTTTTGTATATGCCCCAGTTTTTTGCTCCAACACCAACACCAATCTTCACAACATCATTCAACAGTTTTTCATTCATAAATTGCTCCGCAAACATGGGCCAAGTCACCAATGGCACCCTAGAACACACTCTCTCCATCGTTGAATTCCATCCGCAATGAGTTACAAATGTACCAATGGCTTCATGTTCAAGTATCAAAAGCTGGGGAGCCCAGCCTTTTATAACTAATCCCTTCCCTTTGATTCGTTTCTGAAATCCTTCAGGAAACCATTTCTCGCTGTCTTCTTCATCCACGCATTTTCTGACAACCCAAATGAAATTTTGGCCAGACGCCTCAAGACCCTTTGCAATTTCATGCAATTGAGCCTCGGTGAAATCAGACATACTTCCAAAACATACATACACAACCGAATTGCGCTTTTTGGAGTTTAACCATTTCAGGCACTCAAATTCATCAATGGATGACTTCTTCCCTCTTTGAGCTATCACTTCCATTCTAATAGGGTTAATACAAAGGTAAAAAATCAAAAAGGTAAAAATTTTTTACTGATGCATATGGCACAGGAAAAACACATGCAGACCTTATTGTCTGTGATCAAAATGAGATCAAAATTGAAAAACTAATGCCTAAATTCAAAGGAATGATCTTGTGCAACAGAGAATCTTTTCCTTCCTTATTCCCTCATAGGAACAAACAAATATGAAAGAATTAAAACACAAAATCTGAAAGGACGATACCATTAAAAGAAAAGCGTAAAATTCAGTCCATACCAGAAAAAATACCAATGATATAAATCCGGAATACACCTCCAAAAAACCTGAATGCCCAAACAAAAGCTGAAAGTAAGAAGTCAAATTAAAGGAACAGAGATGGGTGATTGCTTTACCTCCTTCCCTTCTTCCAAGAAAAGCGCAGAACCACAATCCCCATGAAATTCAAAAAATCAGCACTAAATAAAAAAGAGACTTTCAATTGTCAAAATACGAACTCTGAAATTTTACAGGAATTACCTGAAAACTTATTTGAGTCGTCGGACTTTTTTATTCATGCCAAAAAATAATCTACTACAACGTGCCAGTCAAGTCGGCTTCCGTCTGGATCTCAACGAAATCATAATCGAGTTGCAACGCTTTCATATCCTCCTTGTTCAACCCCTCCATCACACATATCCCCAAGCTCCCGCCAGTTGCATCTTCAATTCCATTAACACAGCATCCTTCTAACACTTTAGAAGAAATACAATAAATAATAGTAACAAAAAAAAAAAGAAAAAGGTTAAATTTTTCCCAAGATTTCATTGAATAAACGAAGGTAAACCAAAATGCTCCAAAAGAAAAAAAAATTACGGAAGTATAAACAGATCTGATGAGTCGATCTCCGCTCTCTACAACTGCGATGTTCAGAATCAACTTCAATACCTTCATCTCCCTTATTGAATTACTCAATTTTTTTTCTCAGAAGACTGTTTCACAAAAACAAAAAACTGAGCAAACATTAAATTCATGATTATAATCCTATGATTGAAAAAGAAACTATGTTTCAAAGAAAAAAGCGACGGAAGGGGAAAAAAAAAAAAGAAGTTTAGGTGGTGGCTAACATTTTGCAGCCAAAAAAAAAAAAAAAAAAACCTTTCCTGTTGCTGTTGTTGTCTGCTGTTTCTGTCGAAAATTTCTTATTTGGCATGAAAAAATTCCGGCAAAAGGATCGAATCTACTCCAAAACGGGGGTTGAGTATGTCAAAAGTATAGATCTGAATGCAAACCCGATGATTCCACAATTTTCGAGGAACAATGGAGGCCTTTTCTGGTGTTTTGTGGTGCTACACTTTAATGGAATCTTCATCATCGTTGCTGAGGTGGGTTTATGTAGTCAAATAGACTAGAAAAGGAATATCTTTAGATAAAAATAATAAAAATAAGAAAAAATGCTAATTTATTTAGTCCACGACGATGAATTGTTGTAAATTTGGTTAACACAATTTTTATTCCTTTTTAGTAACTTTTATTGTTACGTTGCCGATGACTAAACTATATAAGCAATCATTGAATTTCATGACCAAGATAAATTCGTATATTTTTAACAATGTATTTTTTAATTATTTTTAAACCTCAAAAATGAAATACAAAAGTTAAATTTTTTCTTGAAATATAGTAATTATATTAGTGCCAATATATACAAGTCAGAGTGTACAAGAAGAAAATTGTTAAAAAGAATAAATTAAAATAAATTAAAAATTTTCAAAAATTAGACACCATATGTAATCTATGATGCAATTTATTTTAAATGATTATCAAAAATTTAATGCATTAAAAATTACTATACTCAACAAAATGACTTAGAAAATTTCGTCATTAACCCCAAAGATTCTATTAATTTTGAGAGATTTTGTTATCCAGCATCAATTTTTTTGTTCATGATCTTCATTATTTTGTTATTTTCTTAAAAAAAAGGCACAATAAAAATGGGTATTTATCGTCACCTCCAACTTCCAACACCACTATAATCACCTTTGGCCGTCTTAACGGTCATGTAGATGCATTAATTTTCCTCCTTCTGCATAGTTTATCGATTTAAATGATAGTCCTTGAATTTAAAGTTAATAATTAACTGAGTTTAATGAAAGAAAAATGTTTTTAGTAAGTGAAATAACATTACCCTCTAAATCAACACTCACCAAAATGTAAAAGGATATTTTCTGGGTAAAGAATTTTGAAGAATGGAACAGTAAAAAGAAATTTCGATAGCAACCTGCTAAAAAAGATAAGTATATCTCCGCAATGATTTCTTTTTCGGCTGTCATAGAGATTAAGTGGGCAAGGGACAAATGGTGCAGGTAGAGGGAGGACCATTACTTCTTTAAGAATGAAGAAGGAAAAAAATCGAAAAGATACGTAAAGTATTTTGTAATTTTTGTGAAATTGAAAAAAGTGATGGCGACAGAAATGCGGGTAGTGATGGAGGGAGAATTTTGTACTGTTAGTGGAGGTATATTTTATGTTTATGGTGATGGTTTGGAATTCTCACAGATTTAGGAAGTGGTGATGGTAATTTTTAAGGGAGAAGAGGAATGGGGCGGTGGTGGGGCGACGGCGGAAAACAAATAGAGGAAGGTGGAGGAAGAAAATGAAGAGGTTTAGGGTGGGAGCACATAAAAAAAAAAAGGCTTCAGGTGGGAGTAATGGATTAGATTAGAAGATAAATTTTGTAATAGGGACGTTATAATAATTAAATGTTAAGATAAGCGTATGTTACTGAATAATAAAACATTAAGAATAAAATGTTAAAATTTCGTCAACAAAATTTTTACCAATAAAAAACTGTAGAAAGTAACGGAATATCAGTGGAAATGTTAAATCTAACAAAATTATTAACTGGATTAAATTGGCAAAAAATTGAAATTTATATGATGAATTTGGTTTCCCTAAAATCTTTTGGGTCAAATTAGCTAGACATTTGAAGTTTTGGAAAAAAATTGACCATTTTCTCAATTAGTTTTGGAAATTATAGAATGTTATTAACCACATGGTTACATCTTATACCCTCAATTTTGATTGGTCGAAGACAAAACGAGACAGTTCCGTAAAAATAGCCAACGGGACTCTAGATTTTCCCATATATATATACTAGTGATGTCTGGTCGCGCAACGCGCGACTCTGGCCCAGTCTATCTGTAAATCTTAGAAATGTTTATATTTGAAAAAAATAAAATTTTGTATTTGGAGCGATATATTTTAGAAATGTTTGAAGGATTTAGAAATGTTTTATAAGTGTGATCATAGAAATAATTGTATTTCACAAAAAAAAAGAAATTGTATTTCTTCATGTAAGTTATAGAAATATTTTATAAGTGTTACTTATTAAATATAAATAGCCTTAATCGAATATATGTATTGAAGTAAATGTTAGATAAAATATAAAAGCATCCTAATAAATTTAAATATTAGTAAGATGATTTATTGATGTTCGATCGTGCCAAATCAATACTTAATTTTGGAGATTTTTAATAGCTTTGTAATAAGCTTCATCCGCAGGGTATACGCTTAAAACAAAATTGACACTTTGTAACAAAAACCTAATTGATTAATTTAACTTAAAAAAACCACTCTAAATGAATGAAACATAAAGAAAAATTTTTTTTTAAAAAAAACGTGTAACGTAAAGTGCAAAGGGAGATTTAGTAATCTAGTTATGGTTTAGACAAAAGGGCAATTTAGTACTTTCTATATGCCACGTGGCAATCATATGAGGTATTTGAAAGTGAGGTTTTTGTTTCTTATATAGTAGGATATATATATATATATATATATATATATATATATATACTATAGATGACTAATTTATACTGAGTTAGATATAAGCATCTCAATGAATGGAATAACTGGTAAGGTTGTTCCAAGAGCGGTAAGAAATCCCAAATTTAAAATGTACCGAGGCATATACGACTTGTCTCATCATGTACACCTCTGCATGTAATGGACAGCACGTGAGCTTCAACATGGGTTGCCGTCCCAGCAATTGAGACTGTACAACGTTACTTTTCTCGAACATCAGCTAGCTCATCGTCTGTCTTTTTTTTTGGACCATGTCAAATCCAGGGAATGTAGCTTTCACATCCAGATTCTTTGACAGAAACCCTTTTGCAATTTTCTGCATAGATTAATCCTGATTTTTACACTTTATGACAATAATGATGTCGTAAACAAATATCAGAACCCCAGAAGAAAACACACGCTGAAGAAATGTACATTAATCTTTGAATTGACCCCCCGTGATCCATCATTCAATCATGAGCTGTATGTACTACAAAATTGATGAAAAACAAATAGTGGAGATTGATTATTTAACATTATAGCCCCTCCTGTTGCATACTTACAATGTGTACATCATATTCATCCAACTATACTCTGTGTTAATTAGGGTATACTTGTTAGCATACACCACCCCCATAAGGTCCCAACACTCCTCCATCTTGGAAGGAAAAACCCCAGATGAGATAATGACCTCAGGCGAAGTTCTGTACGGGAACTACTACACTCATCTAATCCAGCCACCCATCATTGCAAGGGTGAATTTGGTGAGTAGACATTACCATTGTCTCCAAACACCTTCTCAAGCGAACTCAAATCTCAGTGAGGAAGTGCCTCCAGAAAACTGAACCCTTGTACAATCACAAAAAGCAAGTTCAGCTTTTCCAACCCAGAGCTCGGAGATTTGCTGGTTTTAGTTGAATATGCTTCCCAAGCCTGTCACAACAGAATCGATATAACTGTCAGGGAACTTAGATGAAGAACACCAGCGAAGACATTTTCACATATCCACCATAAAGTAGGAGCACAACAGAGAGGAGAGTTTTAAGAATAGTGAAGAGACAATTTCATAAAACTTTTTACTGGAAACGGAAAAATCCTAAGCCAGGTTATTTCATTGCATTACATGAAGAAGCATTGTTCATGCAAAACTTTGGTTCATAGAGAAGTGAAGGAATGAATTATAAAGGAGAAAAATAACTGACAGAATAAGTATTTCCAGCAAACAATAAATGGTTGCCAAAAAACTTACGCAAGATCTGTTGGAAGCCTGAAACCACCAATACGTACACGCTTCAATGCATGAACCTGAGAGAAGGGATTGAACTGATGAATGCTCAACTTCGTCAAAATGAAATCTAAACACAACCAAGTCACATTTGCTTAAACAAAATGTCCACTAATTTTCTCCAACAAAATGCAGAAATTCTGAAAACTAGATAAAAAGCAAAAGCAGCAATCCAATCTCTACTAATCGAGAAACCCTAACAACTGTCAACGCAAATACTTAACCTAGAAATGGGAGGCTAGAATAATAAGAAAACCCATGAAGGGTAATATCTCTATCATCCACGATGATGAACAGAAGTGTATATAGACAGAGCGACATGTATTCCAGACCAACACTACCTCAAGCCCAGCACTTTTCACAAGTTCTCGTACTTCATGGTTTCTTCCCTCATGAACCTGAAAGGACAAGGAAATGAATCAGTCAGTGCCAGCCATGTTTCTCTTGCACAAGTATATCCAGGATAAAGATTTTGATCTCATGTGGAGCCTGGCTCCGGCCCGAAGGGAAAAAGGAAAGAAAGTCGTGATTTATTTTGTCACGGTGGTTAGAGACCAAGAAATTGAATGGGAGAAAGGAAATGCACAGGTTTCTGCTTCTCTGTACAAACCAATATACACAACAAAACTAAGATTTTTATTTCCTTGGTGCGTATACTGAGTTCCACCCTTCTTTTTGTTATGAAATTTCCTGTAGTGCGGAGAGCTGGGAGAAGGTAACATTGTTGAATGAACATCAACCCTCAAGAAGACAAACTTTTCATAGCCAACAGAAATTACCCAGGACAGACACTTTAGTGTGTTGGAGAGATTTGAAAAGAGATAAGATACAAAAGAAACACAAACTCGTATCTCCCTCAATGGTTTAAATGAGTCTACTCTTTGAAGAATAGAGTGAAAATTACCACAATCCGAATTCGTGGCCTCGGTATATCTGGCTGTTGGGGCAGCAGCTCTACAACTTCAGGCACGCAACGAACACCATCAACTATAGTTCCCTCACTAATGGTGATCAAGTGCTGCTTATGGACAGAACCATCAACAGTTGCAATATATCTACAATGATGGGTCCAATGTTAGTGTCTCGAGGGAATAATACAAAATACATGTTAAACAGAATTTAGTTTCCATACCGAAGTAGTTCACTGAGAGGTAGAATAAAACTCTAAACATTGGAAATTTCCAAGTCTAGCAATACGAAACAACTATCCACACTTATAAAAAGTAACTTCAGCTACTATAATAAAAAGTAAAGTCTCTAACTATTGTGAAAAGCAATAGCAGAAGACTTAATTCTACCAGTGTGGTTACATAAAACTATTCAGGGAAAGCAGAGATTGAAATAGCAACACTTTCACAAAAACAGTAGATAAAGCTATCTAAGAAACTTACTCCTTTGTCAGATTAGATGAAGGGTGAGAGATCTTCTGAGCAAAATCCCCTGAAACAGATGCAATTTATTAAAGGCTCCAGCAACTTCAAGAATAATTACATATACATAAACGATGGTGATGACAATTGTCCAATTCTCCACAGAACATACCATCATTAGTCACGATGATTAATCCGGTTGTGGCAACATCAAGACGACCAACAGTAAATAGTCTTGGTTTTGGTAGCCCTGGGTTCATTCTATCCTGGGAAAACAGAAAAACTACTATGAGAGAAAGTTTGAAAGCTTATAATGAAAGAGGGGAAATAAACTGAGAGAGATTTTATTCACTATCACATACAAGGACAAGTATAAAAAGAAGGGCATAATTAGTAACACCATACCCAACTCTTCATGAAATCATTAAACAAAGACAACACAGATTTTGTATCATTCTCCCCAGCTGAGCAAATGTACCTAGAAAATGACATAATATTATTCAGCAAAATAGAAAAATATTCAAAAAAAAAAAAAAACTCTAGAGCCTTAAATGCCGCATAACTAAGACATAAAAAAATTTCAAACCCTTTTGGCTTGTTCAAGGCAAAGTAGACTTTAGGAGGCAGTCTCCTCGGCAAGCGGCTGCCATTGACAAATATGACATCCCTCAGAGGATCGACTCTGGTCTGAATGATCAGCAGAAGCAAAAGGAAGTCAAATTCTAAAGTCATCAAACATGAAAACTACAGAAGAATTACTCAATCTACAGCTGCAGACACAGATTTGATCGTCTGTGAAGATCTGCCTTGCAGGAAAAAAGAATTGAAGATTCCGAACCTGAGGAGTTTTGCATACTGAACCATTGACCGTCACTTTGCCTCCAAAAATAAGCTCATCGCTGCTCCGCCTAGAGGCCACTATCAAAACAAGCTATGCTCATGAGCACATATTCTCACATATTTTATTCTCACCCGTGGTTAATAAGAAAGGAAAGCAGGGAACCTGATAATGATTTTGGAAATGCTATGAACAGATAACTAATCCATTCAAATAAATGAACTAAAAAGTTCAGTGTGACTGCTAACTGACCAAAATTATGACACTACCGTACTTGAATACGTGATAAAATTCCATGGAATCAACCAGTAAAGAATGTTTCTAAATCTTTACCTCCGGCAGCAGCTAGGACCTTGTTTAGACGCTGAGGTGGATCCCGGAAATTCTCATTATAAAAACGGCGAGCCGCTTTCGAGAGTTTTGGCTTGACAGAGGAAGCCACCTGCTTCGCTTCGGAAATTTTGCTTTTTTCTTTCACTTTCTCTTTCTTCTTCTTCTTACTCCCGGTCTCTGCAATGGCCATTGCATTCAGTAAACGCGCCGGAGGAGTGGACTGTAGAGTGAGATTACCGTTCTCGTCACGGACAATCCATGGGATGTAGAGTTGGTCAGGCAATTCACCCGACGAATCATGGTCCGAATTCGGAGACGGAGCTTCAACAGGTTCGGGTTTGGGCTTTGGCTTTGGCTTGGGAGGGGCGAAGGTGATGTTGAATTCAGTGGCGGAGGAAGACAGTGAGGAAGTGATAACGGTGCGGAAATGGCGGTGCGTGCTTCTCGTAAGAGTAATAGCTGGTCTCGAGAGGTGAATGGTAGTAAAAGCGGAGGTTGCCGCAGCCACCGCCGCCGCTAGCGCCGCCATAATTAGGCTGTGCAGGTGGTGGAGATCAGAGGAGGGGAGGTGGAAGTGGGTTTAATGAGTCCGGGGGTTTTAGATAAAGAGGAGGGAGACTTTCTATCATTTATAATTTTATATATTTAGCGAAGAGTCCTCAAAATTCACAAAAATGATGTCTTTTACCTTCCAACATTCCAATTGATGCATAATCTTGCTTACAGAATTGTTCTCTTAATAACAACCCCAATAATTTCATCAATCCAAATGGTTGTGTTAATAATCCTACTTTCATTAGAAATCCCAATGATTCCCAGTTCTTGAAATGAAGGGGATGGAATTGGATTTGCTGTTCAGCTTTTTTTAGTTTTAGAACGATAATAAAAGTATAATTCAGAATGAAAGTATACTACAGAAAGGAAAAAAAAAGAAAGAAAAGAAGAGATCTTCCTTCAGACGATAATCGTTCACAGTACAGACAAAAGGATCAAAGTGAAACTATGATTGGCATCAAACTATCAACTTTATAAAATTATTTACGTGATGTCTAAAGGATCAAAAGATCTGGGGACCAAGTTCTCAACTTCTCATGAAACCATTTTGAAGCAGCTCTATAAGTTTTTAACTACATTGTATAAGTCTCAGTCATCAAGCATGTTCTTATTTATTTGTTTGCTTTGATCATATCCTCCACCAAAAGTGGGCAAAACCACGACTTCCTCAAAAAGGATAAAACGGGGCTGCAAAACATAGTAGCATTTCTATCTCTTCCGGGATCCATATCTTGCATAATCCTGATGGAAGAAGAAACAAGAGTTGAGATCAGCATCTCCAACGAACAATGCAATTTCGAGAGGGTCAATGGGTAAAAAACACTCACTAGCTGTGCTTCCCATCATGGAACTGAGCATTCTTAGATGACTTGAAGGTTTCTAAAAATTCTTTCCCCTTCTTTAGTTCTTCTTTCTGCCTTGACTTGTCCCATTTGTGCTCCGCAGCCAGGATCTCAATTACTCTGGGCAGTGCCCGATTTGCAGCATCAGTATCCAGGAAAGCCAGTCTACATCTTCGGGCAATGAAATCCACAGCCGATTCACAGTATTCTTGACGAGCGCAATAAGCAACTTCAGCTTCTAAAAAGGGATATCCATGGGCAAGCCGCTTGCCAAGATTCTCGTTCTACAAGAAGAAACATAACATCCACCGATAACTAAATAGAACCATTTCAAAGACACGTGATATTTACAAATAACTAACAAAAAGAACCATTGAACCGCATACATAATGCACAGCCAAAATCAATGCCAAACAAGCAACAAAAGATGAGCAGAAGGCAGAGAGCAACCTGAGCTATACCAGCAACATGTACAGCACGAGTACCATACGCATGAGATAAATGCTTAGCTGCATTAGTATCCATCACACCAGGAACAACTTTGCCAGTGTATGTCCGTTTCATTCGTACATACTGTTGAGCAAGCACAGTAAAGGATGCTGGTTCCCATCCTTCAGCACCCATAAGCTGTATGTTGTAAGTTAAGCATTTATTGGTGGGGTTCAACTTCCCAGACTTTATAGCCGCATCAAGAGCGTCTTCTGCCATGCTGAAATAAGTAGCAGAAACAAAATATTGAGTAACAAAAATCAAAACAATGATAAATCTATCATGATCTCATGCAACAGTGCTAAGGTGCTAAAAAAGCAGGAGAAAATAATATTTTACTAACATCACATCTCAATAGCTTGCACTCATTCCAAAGTCATCACAGGGAATAGCCCAAGTTAGATTTAATGTAGTGTCAACTGTCAAGAGGGAGAAGAAAAGTACCTCCTATAAGTAGTCCATTTACCCCCAGTTATCGTAACCAGACCAGGGTAGTCCTCAGATACAACATGGTCTCGTGAAATGCTCTCGGTGTTCTTTGCTTTAGGATCCATTGCTAATGGGCGAATACCACTCCAAGCAGAGAGCACATCGGACCGCCGAACCTAAAGAAGTCAATTTATTTTTAGTGTAAGAAATCAGTAAGCCCTAAGAGACGAGTTGAAATCACCCATGGACAACTAGGTAAACTACAATCAAGCTCTACCCCCGCCCCACAAACAAAAAGGAGAAAAACATAAAAATGCAAACCTTAACATTAAGATAATCACAAATTGCATCCAATATAAACTGAATCTCATCCTCATGAGGCTCCGGTAGCATAGTGATAGCAGTGTTGGAATCTGTAGTACCAGCAACTGTTCTCCCCAGCCATGGTAGCATAAATATAACACGGCCATCTTTGGTTTTTGGAACTATGAGGCCCATTCCTTCTGGTGAATAGTAATCGGGCAGGATAATATGAACACCACTACTAGGACAGATAATGGGTTTCAGATCCTTGTCAGCCATTTTCCGTAAAGAATCACAAAATGGTCCAGCAGCATTCACAACAACCTTTGCATATGTTTCAAACTCCTGGCCTGTACACTTCAACAAGAAGTAAGATCTCAAAGATAGGTCAATAACATCAAATAGACCCCATGAAATCCCAAATGTATTGATCTGTAGGTACTCTGATAAAATGAGAATATCAGTTCAGGAGGGAAAAAATAATAATAACTAACAACGCAAAGTATGACTCAGGTCAATTTCACGAGAACCTTCATACTATAGCAAGAAAATAAAGGTTTCCTAGCTGCGTTGTGATGCTCAATGTACCTGATAAGTTATCTCGTATGCGGGCGCCTATTATACGCCCACTAGCCTCATCTTTTATGAAAGAAACTACTTCGGCATGATTAAGGACAGCAGCACCAGCTAATGCAGCAGAGCATGCAACTGCAACATTAAGTCTTGAGTCATTCATTTGTCCATCATAATACACTACAGTTCCCTTCAAGGTTCTATTTTCATTTTTCGTAGCCAGAGTTGGAAATAGTTCAACAGACTCATCAGCAGAGTAATATCTGGACAAATGTAGCAGATGCCGCCCAGCTACAAGATCATACATTTTCAAACCCATCCAATAGTAGACCACCTCAAACCAGTTAAAACAAGGGGTCATGCACGGCAAGGCATGGCAGAGGTGGGGAGCATTGTCGATAACCTGCTTCCGCTCAGCAAGCGCATGAAAAACCAGCTTTAACTGCCCATAGTCCAAGTTAAAAACAGCTTTCTCCAGATAACGTACCCCTGAGTACAAAGATACATCAAAATAAGGACCAAGAGTAATACTAATATTTTCATGACCCTGCACCATTAAAAATAGAAGTATATTGAACAAGCCCCAGATGAACATCCAGATCGGCAAGAGCCAAACCCCATGGTAAAATAAAACTGAAATTGGAGTCATCCTTCAGTTTAAACTGCACACCGATGTGGAATTAGAACTAAATTTTACTTAAGGTTCTAACTATATCAATCTGGGGTAGCCAGCTTTGCAAAGATTGTTGTCTAATTGAGTAGATTCCATTACTCTAAACCAGGCATTGCAACATTGATAACAAAACTACACAGGTAATTATCATTCCTTGATACCCAATTGAGGGAAATTTAACCAACTCAGTCTCTCTCGCAACTGTTTTTAGCACAATTGAATAAATCATCTGGCGAATATATGATCACGACTATATATGGGCTAAGAATGCAGAAGCTAAAATCTCACCTCCATGAACCAACTTAGTAGACCTTGAAGAAGTCCCAGAAGAAAAATCCTCACGCTCAACAAGCCCAACTCGGAGGCCACGGGTGGCAGCATCAAGGGCGACGCCGCAGCCGGTGGCACCGCCGCCGATAACTAGTACGTCAAGAGGATTAGCCGAACTGGCACCCATAAGAGCCGACTCCTGAACAGCTCGGCCGGGGACAACGGCAAATGGGTCGGCAATTTTATTCTTGACTACCTCGAGCGCGGAAAAATTGCCCTTGTCGCTGGAGGCAAGGTGGGGGTCACGTAGGAGAGTGTAGGATGCGCCGGCGGCCACCGCGATGGCTCCAAGCCGGCGGAGGCGAATGGAAGTGGCCATGGAATTGATGCGTGTGGTACAGTAGTGGCAGTGTATGGGAGTACTTTGGAAAGAAATATGGGAGTGAGATTTCCGATAATATTCCGTTTAAAAAAGTGCCTTGGGATTCGTAAAGTGCATCGGAAGTGGACAGGGCTGACCAGTCTCTTGTCATAATGAAATTTATTATAAAATTATATTCAGTTTTTTTATATTTTAATTTTTTAAAATTAGACTTTTTTTTTTAGAGGCAGGTAGTACTATTTTTTTAGTGCTTGGTTCACCAAAGAGCTACCAAGAGCTACGTCTATGTTTTTCTGGCTGTATCTTTTCTTATCAATCGTTATTGAACAGTTTCTATTAAATTAATAAATTTTATTTCTCAAAAAATAAAGAACTATGTCTATGTTATTAATGAATTTATGGATCCCATTCCAAAATTTTGAACCAAATGAGAAACTTATTAAAGATTTGGAAATAATTTCACAAATTGGCTAACCAAGCAAAGTGTGCACAAAGAGTTATGCCTCCGGCTGGTAACAAAAAAAGATGTTCTATATCTATAACCAACAATGAGGCCAAAACCGTTTCAAAAACAATTGAGGCCATAACTGGACCGCTAAATACTAGTTTGGTTATGGTTAGGAGTCGAATGAAAATGATTCCAGTTCGACCGGATTGGGAATGAAAGCCATCAATGAAGAAAACTCGACAACTGAAGAACTAATAATCATCCTCAATTAACCAAAATCTGCACATAGTTTTCAATTACATTACAGCGTTCAAATTGATTGTTGTGGGAGAAGAAAGATACACGACTACAACTGTATTCAAAGAGTCGATGCTAAGAAAGAGTGAAAACCTATATAACACATTATTATCACCCACCATTCAACCAAAAACAAGACTCACAAAATCTGCTTCAAAATTTTTTTAAGATTCATAAATGGTTTCCTCAACTAATACAACAAATTGCTATGCCTGGAATATGTACACCTAGCAGCATCAAACAAAAATGGAGGACATTGTGTGGCTCCGAAACCCCAAACATCGGATTCCACCTTCTTCCATCAAATCTACTGTTACGGCCAATATCCGTGGACTTAAAAACAACTTAGTGTAATAAAATCAACGAAACACGTTCTTGAGCATCAGCCGGAATATCCCTCCCAGGGACCTGAATCTTCAAAAGATTCCCATACCTGCAGAAATTCATAGTAACATTTTACACCCGAGGGATGGAACTGTTTTCAAATTCTACAAAACGATAGTAAGAAAGACTTACTCCACATTGCTAAACAGGTGCTCATGATCCGTGATGAAAGCTAACAAGGCCTGCAAGAAGAAGAGCAACAATTATCGTGGAAGGATTAGAAAGGAGACTTTGATGAGAGGAAAGACACAAAATTGCCTTGCATAGCTGCTGACAGGATAACACATTTATTACCTCAAACGGCAAGTTCAGAAGTTCATAATATGTTCTCACACGATCTAGCCTCAACCGCACCGCCTCACTGTCAATTGAAGGGATTGCAGCAAGAGCCTGCAACAGTCCAAAAAAATGCATAAGAACAAGAGCAGGCATGGAAATGGACAGGTCTTCTGAAAATTGATAATGGAATCAGTCAATGGACAAGTTTACACATGAACTTAAATTAAAGTCCATGCATTGCAGTAATCAAAGTCTAAGGTGCGAATGAGGGGTCCCATTGCCAACTTAGAAAATTTTTGCCATCTTCATTAAGAACACAAACAATAAAAACAACTTAGATCTAAAGTTCATTTCCAATGAAATCCAATAGTCACAAGGAGAAGTTTCACTTCGAAGGCCATGTCAGAAGCAGCAAATTCTGCTTGGATTTGGTATTTCCTGTTTTCAACTTTTACCAGAAGTAATCTGCAAGTAATAGGGCCATGCCCACTTCAAATGCGTAAAATAGTTTATATCTGTATTCTCATGGTATATAATAAATGCATAATCCCCAAAAGAGCATAAATAAAGAGAAAACAAGAACGAATGCATATGGCTTAAAGAGGTATAAGCATAATCACATTAAGGAAGTCAGCTTGCATGAAGCTTTTCAAAGAAAAATTAATAGAACTTACCTGTTCCAATGCAATAGAGTTGCGACATATCTGCTGAACCCCGAAAAGGTTGATAGAACTCATACCAGCCAAAGCCTAACAGGAAATATCTCAGTATTTAATCTACAATTTAAATTTAAAAGTTACAATAGATACCACATGTACAAACCTTGACAAATGCATGTGCTGCAACCCCACATATCCCGCCAAATATATACCTACGCTTTAATTCAGTAATGAAAGGAGCCATTTCTTCATCTCGGCGAGTTATCTGTGATCAAGTGGTGGAGACGCAAAGAAGAAAGTATGATAACCTTTTTGGCGAGTTATCTGTGATCATAGTATGTTCTCACTAAAGTACAAGAAATAGATTACATTTCCAACTATTTAACTAATTAGTTACATTTTTCAACTATTAAAAGTTCCCAAAGCCTACTAGGTGAAGCAGATTTCAAAGCCAAAAATTTCGTTTGGTCCACTAGAAGATAAGACTCATTCAAAACCTTGAATAACATCCTAGTGTAGTTCATAAGTGATTTAGCAACATGAATTCAATCTGCACGTTTTGTTTTATTATTTCTGAAATTTTGTGGCCAAGGACATTTAGTGAATTCTTCTATTTACAAAGAGTTTTCATAGGTTTTGTATTTGAGTCTCTTTGTTTAAGTCTTAGCTTAGTTGAATCCAGTTACAAAGTTTCTTCCTCTGTTTTGGAACTCTACACTCCATGAGGTGATTTCAGATGTTCAGTTTAACAAAGGTCGTATGAAATGGATGTCTAGTCCTGGTGTTGCGGCACTTGCAAAATTTTCAACATTCATAGATCAATAATCATAAAAACAGCAAAACTCAGAGAAACAAGTAAAACAAACAATTTATCTACTTACTACTTGACCACTCTCATAGCTAAGGCGAAATTTGCTAACAATACAGAATAAGTGTTTTCAATTCAATCAATGGACGGTATCAAAAGAAAATTATCAACATATTCAGAAATTACATTCTTGCGTGGAATCTTATGAAGATGTAATTTACGTCGATGAGATGCTGACACGTGACCAAAGAGAAAGAGACAATGGCTCTTACCTGAGATGTTAGAGATATGATGAAATCATCTGGTTCTTCTGCATCTTGGTCATCCAAATATTGTCTGCTAGTCATTTCCTGTATCAGTAAAAATGCGTGATAAACACTTATGCAACCCAATTAAAATGACTGAACATAACAAAGGTAAATCATCAAACCTGCATGTGGAAAATAGTCTGCAGAAGCATCTCTATATGCAGAACTTTAATGCAATCAATTGCTAGTTTCCTGTACTCCTCAGCAAATGATGCTAGATCCTTTGGCGAAGAACTTCTTGTTCTACTATGACCAGGAGCGTTCAGATTTTGGTTCTCTTCTACTTGATTATACACTTTCGCAGAAGTCTTCCCTAGCCTAAAAATTGTAGAAACAGATTCTCAGGGACCACGCAAAAGATTGATTGCAAGACTAGAAGGCACAGCCATTTCCCCAGACATATAACTCAAACTCGGGTACACTTCCCAGCAGAGCAATGGCAATGTAAGCAGGACATAAATCTTGTGAAATGAATGCCTCGTGACAAATCAGGATTTATATAAATTTTGAGTATCTTATATAATGAAGAAACAAACAACCATTGGTTACATCAGACACTGGAGTATCAATAATAACAGGAAAACAGGTAAAGCAAACACAAGATAGTACTTTTAAAATATATCTTATGTAACCACATCTCATGCATAAAGCTGAATTGTCTTGAAAGTTATATGATATGAATATATTCGAAGCACATGATACTGCAACACATTACCACCAAAAACATGAGAGAGCTAGCCTGTGAGGAAACAAATACCAAAAACTTGCCTTTCTATAGAGTCTGCAACATATTCTAGTGAATCACTCAAAGACGCCAACAGAATAAGCTTGTTTTCATCACGAATCAAGTTTTCCTGCAAACATTAACAGATACCAGAATGTCGCCTTAGAACTGAAATGTTGCTTAGATTTTTAACAAATAGAATTAATTGGAAAAATTGGCAATCTTATTTAACATCAATCGAGTATCTCAAGACAGCATCAAGAAGGGAAACTTAAGAATTATACACCCATCACAGGCTCCAATATAACTCAACCTGCTTGATTGGTTGCAACTTTAACAATAACTCGCTCATTTCCTTTTCAACTTCCAGTACTTCAGCATCTGAAGTATTTTTGTCGATATTAGTCTGACCAAGTGAATTCGGCAAACATGCACTGGCTGGATCAAGACGCATCAGATTTTCTATATCGTGCCTCCCAATGAGCATATAACTTTGCTTCTCAAGAACAGCCTGATGCATTATCCAATGACAAGTTTGCATGAAAAAAACCTTAGAGAAGAAAAAATCAACTCCATAAGATAATAAATGAAGAGAGCTATAGGAAGAATAAGCGTGTAATATACTATGTAAGTTTTTATTTCCCCTAAATCATTTGGTTGGTTCAAGAAAGTAAAGACAGAAAGGAAAGGAAACTGGGCATGTGAGAGTGAAATCCTGATTCTACAATGAACAAAAACACCCAAATTAACAATGTGCACATAATTGTTGAAAAAAATTACAAATTTCACTTATTTAAAACTACCATCAATAAATTCACTTCACTAGGTCACCCAAGGATTTAAGAGCAATTTAAATCCAGAGATTGACTAGAAATTGCTCTCGTCTTTTGCCACCTAGACATGAATGCTCACAAAAGGAGGAAATACTCTTCCAATCATGCAACAGTTGAACCAAGACTTCCCAAAATTATTGGAAGACTAGCACGCAAATGAAAGGACAAGCTAAACGAACACTCTTCATTATGCTATTGCCATGGCAACAAATGCTAAGAAAGTATCATCCCGGAAAAAGTTCAGTAAGGAAAAGATATGAAAACAGGAAAAGAGTACATGCCTCCATATAAGAAGTCCGACATCTTTCATATGTGCGTTCAAGAAAAGTTTGGACATAATTCATGAGATCACCAGCAAATTTAGGCATTGCTTGAGCCCAACCAAAAACCTGAAAGTGAGTTTGAATGACATTAATAGCAATTCTGACTCATAAGAAAAGGCGAATTCTTCACCACCAGCACCATAAAAAGAAAAAACAATAATTACTACAACTCTTGCATGCAAATATTCCTAAAGAAAATCTTCCGGTCAAAATCAATGGTTAGAACAGAAAATCCATGTAAAAAAGAAAAAAGAGAAAAAGGAGGCTTTACCTCTTTTGCTAAGGAATCAATAGCCAGGAGTCCTTGTAAGACTGGACGTCCCTTCTCAACAGATGGTGTGTAAGAAGCAGCTGCTTGTGCTCTTGGACGGAATGCGGCTGGACCTATAGTTAGAAGAATAACGTTTTAAATTATGAAACAAACAAGATAAATCCCACGAACAGAAACTTCATTCATGGCTCTGTAGTTTCTATGTCAAGACATCCTTTAGTGTTTCAAATAGCAGTTAGTTCATGAATTTGGATCAAATACTTTAGTTTCATCCTCGACATGTACAGAAACAGAATATCATTGATACAATCAAAGTTGCTCATCTTTATCTACCAGGTGCAATTAAGCACAGATTCATTAATATTGCTCAGTATATAAACAGAAAGGATACATATCTAACTGCATTCAACATAAATCAAGTTAGAAATCTCAAGTATGAAACACAATTCCATAGACAATTCGAATGGTTATAAAATACTACATATATACTACGTCATAGCTAACAAATATTTAGGATAGATATATTTCACAGCCATTTGAATTACTGGATTCTTTTCAGGATTGGGTGCAGATTCTCTAGCTTAATATGTAAACAAAATGATCCAATAACAAAAAACTTGATAGTTTATCGAACTTGCTTGATATTGCTTGCTGTACGCCTTTCCGATAATCAACAAACATAGTTGGCAAAAAGTGATCCTTTACAAAGTTCTCCACAAAAGCTAGCAGCCCATCATTCCTGAAAAGAATAAAGCATATGATAAGATGGTTAATAAAATGGGACTATTTTGAACCCAAAGAAATTATGCTGATTTAGTTACAGGGAAAAAAAAAATTCACAACAGAACATAGCTTACCCAAGTTGAGAATACTTTTCAGGGAGCAAGGAAGCTACTTTATCCGTGAACTACAGAAAACAAAAGAAATATACAAAGTAACTAACATCAGGCGTTAAAACAAAAAGAAACATTTATTTGGAAAGAGTAAGGGAGAGAGGCGCAGTCATAGAATACAAATAAATATAGTAGAAGAAGAAGCACGGTATGAGGAAAAACCTGCAAAACAGGCCGATACACTGAGGCTGCTAAATATAGTCCCTGCTCAGGTAATATAGCTGCAGTACCATATCCTTCTTGAAGTACATTAGGACCTCTCCTACCCCATCCTTGGCGAATAAGATCAACCCCTGGTCAAGTGATTCATAGGCATAGATGCACATAAGACCCGAGAAACTAGAAAGACAGCGATAATGCAGCACAACCGGAATCACCACAAATGTTGTAAACTCATAAACTGTATCTGACAAACCACTGTCTTGCACAAGCAATTATATTTTCCTAAACTAAGGAAACTGACGAGCAAAATAGTTTTTATTCCATTGGGGATGGATCCTAAGCAATCTAAAGATCTCCCAGGCAGGAAAGTACCACTACTCATGACGACCTTCATAGCAAAATGGAATAATCAATATTGGAGCCACGGATGGGTTAAACGCTTATGGACAAGGTTCAACAGCAAGGTAAGTTAGGAAAAGAATGAGCCCTGGGGCAGAAAGAATTGAAGCGAGAAAAAAGTGGGCCTGGTGTTTACTGCAGGCAGCAAAGCATTAATAACAAATCACATTGAAAGTTGGATCTTCATGGCTTACCAAATCTCTTAGTCCATAACTAAAAATCAAGATTTTCTTACAAGATAACAAGTTCTCTTCCAATTTAATACAACAACAAACACAACGACAGAACAAACAACTTATTTGTCTTTTAAACACTCCCGTACCCTGGTTTGGAACAGATAGTGTAGCCTCTGTGAAGCGAAACGCAAAGGTAAGACCATCTTCTGATCCATCCCTGCAAACAAGAAATTACATCAGTGGATTTAACAAGGTGCATACAAAACAGGCAACCTGCATAACCAATCCCAATCCGCGGCCAAATTTCAGAGAATCAGTCAATTTTTGCATTTTCATCCACAGAAGTACAACAATGCAAACTAAACTTGCTTCTGTACAGTATGCATAATCGGACATCATTTAATAAGAAACAACTTGTGTTGTTCATTGTCTATATACAGAATTCAGAGTTGAATTACAAAAAGTTTATATTCAGTTGCAATAGAGTAAAAGGTGCCAGCAGTTTTAATCCTAGTATCCACCCACCAGCACAGCATATCACAAACCAAATCATTAAAGTAAGCTTAACCAACTTCAATGTGTATACAAAACCATGACTTTCTCATTTTTGGATGTACTAGGTGATAATGGAAAAACTATATTGGAGAAAGCAAAAGTGGCTCGAGCTGGTATGCTGAAGTGACTCGTCTTCGAATTGAAACGACAAGCAGGAACAAGTAAAAACATAGGAAAAGATATGAAGTCAAAATTAAAGTAGCTGAGCCAGATGAAAGTTGGGAAGGTCAATACAGTATTACTTGCCTCTTATCTTTTGATGGGACCTTGCTTGCAAGTCTGGCAGTTTGGACAGCAGCATCAGCAGAAGCAGCTTCAGGAGTAGCTCGTAGGATTTCACATATGAGTTGTTGGCATTCACTCTAATGGCCAATCATGGAAATCATCAGATGCAAGTCATTCACACATATCATTAGCCAAAAAAAAAAAAGGATGCAAACATTTACAAACTTTACACCTATAAGCCAAGCACCTGTAGAACTGTCAATGAAAAGCCAATGCTGTAGCCCCCCGTGTCATGCGATGACTCAGAATCAGGGTTCCAGTTTATTTCAGCTACTATGGCCTTTGGTGTATTCAAGTCAACTTGCTGGGCGGATTTTGATTCAAGAAGTTCTCCAACAATAACATGGTTCTCTGAATCAAGATGTTAAAGGAAATATAAGTAATTAATTTAGACTTATCAAAATCAAGAAAAAGTTTGAACAGTATGCAGAACTAGTGTCATATCTAACCGAATATCCGAGTAACAGTTTCCAAAACTGAATCAAGAAGTTCTCTAGCAGCAGCCTGAGCTGTTCCAGTAGGAGACATTACAGCAGATACGGGACTGACAGCTAATAAAGCTCCAGCCAAAGAGACCCCAGTTTGATGTTTTTTCTGTTTTAGTATCTGAAAATTCTCCAACTGTCCCTTTATGTTAAAAGCTGTCATTCCATTTTGGGCAGAGTGCCCAATAGAAGGCCTTGAGGAATTAACACGCTCTACTAGTGCTTTAATTTTCGTTGTAATGATATCATGAATTGTAGGCCGTAACCTTTGACTGTTGAAAACAAAACAAAATAGAGAAATTTAGGATTCCTTAAGGGAAGGAAAGAGACATTCACAGTTAAGGCCATGACGAACCAGCAGGATAACCATTATCATCCATTCAAGGGAGGCAATCAGAAAAGATACCAACAGTTCTAGGTAAACTAGATCAGTGCATGTTCAGTTGTTCTAGGACAACATGCACAGAGATTAAAGTACAGTTAAAATTAAAATCCACAAAACTAAATTATAGGCATCCAACTATAATGAATACAAAGCCCAAAACCACAACACAAGACCCACAAATCAATATTATAATGTCAAACAAAATCAACAAAGGAAAAAAGGTAAAAAGCAAATATTAACAGGAATAAAACATCTAAAAGGGATTACGATGGAAAATGAAAACCAGTGACATGCCCCAACAAACATCATCTTAAAAACAAGGATTTATATAGTGTTCTCATTTTCATGCACTACATAGATTCATTATTCAATTCAACAGCACAAGAGATTCTTATCCAGTTGAATTTGCCAGTAACAATAGATCATCCAGCAAACGTTTGAGTGAAACTTAACTGACACAAAGTCTTCTCCATCGTGATTTCAACAGTACTCTAATTTTAATTATTCTTGCTTAATCCTGAACTATGAGTTTATCTCAAAGCTATAACCTTTCACTTCTGCTAAAAAATTAGGCATATTTTTTATTGCCAAAAAGCAGTTAACCGCAACTTGAACTAACAGGTTCTTGACAAAAAGCATCCGAACACCTACCAAATTATGGTACCAGCAGCAGCAACTTTGCCAAGCAAGCAGAGGCACTCAACCATAGTCTGCAAATACTTAACATGTGAAGGAGCATCACTCTTTCTCATTGCTTCCTACACAAACTCAAAAAAGATACTATAAGTTCATGCATAGAAGTCGATTACAATATGAAACAGATAGATTCTGCAGTTTGTACGGTATTCATACAACAAATTCATCAGGAGTGGAATTTGACAGCCAAGGCGGAATCTGACGAGAAAAAATCTTGCCATCCTTTGGAACACCATCGCCACCATTGACCTTTGACACTGTATCATCTGGTAAGTCTGAAGCACCATCCTCGTCGTGACCGTCAAACGATGAACTGCAAAGCAAGTGAGAAAATCAATCTTTTAACTTGCCACTAATTTTTCATCAAAGTATAGGAAAGAAAAGGAGTCATCTAAAGGGACAGTCAGAAAATTTAGAGGAAGAAAATACTATTCTCAAGTTTTTCGAGGTTCACCTCCCCCAAACAAAAAAAAAAGATGAAGAAAATCTTCAACAAAAATGCGAACAGCATATCAAAGTTCATCAATTCACAGAAGTTAACAGACAGAGAGGGGCCAAACTTCTGGGAAACCAAGGCATGGGCAATCTGTATTTCATTTTTCATCATGTAAATTTTCTTTTCCGCCACCCTCTTGAGATAAGCATCTTTTCAGCTCAAAATAAAAATTTGATGTATAGTTATCTCACCTTCCATCAATAGAGCTAGCTCGGAATGATCCATTTCCAAGGTCAGACGAATTAGCGTGATTATCGCCTTTAAGCAACCTAGTTCTTCTCGAGAGGGACTGAGAGTTACTAACAGAGAATGCAACAGCCGTTGTTGTAGGCAATGTATCATCCAATTCATCTATACTAGAGATAGCCGAGCTGCAATGACAGGTTATAAATTTCAGTAAGAAATTGTACCTAAGGTTATGATTTACGGGCACAAAAAAAAAAAAAAAAAAAAAAATTGGCACTGATGGAATGGAAATAACGGGATCTTTCACTCTCTCTCGTTACGAGTGCAATATATCTTTCCCTTTACTCTCCTCTATGAGTGGTCCCTTTACTCTCCTCTATGAGTGGTCAGCAGGTAATGAGTGAAGTATAGCTGATTTTTAAGCAAGAATTATGTTTTTTTGCGAAACTTTTTTTTTTGTGACTTGTGGGTGGTAAGACTTAATTTAAGAAACAATAAATGCTTTGACATGAATGCAGCCTAATCTCAAGAAGAAGCAGAACAATCAGAAAGCCATTAACCCCACATATTCCTCTCCATGGATTTCTCCAAGTTGGTTGTAAACTTCTATCCAAATGGTATCATGCAACCCAAGTTACCATAGGGATGAGCTAAAAGTTGGTCCCTACATATTCTGTAGGTTTTTTTTAATAATAATAATGTCTGAAGCAAATTCTGAATGAGATGGATAACACTTCCATGTGTTCACAAGATTTTTTTGGAGGCTTTACTAACAACAATATGAATAACAAACAGTTACCTGTATTCCCCCTTATTATAAAGATGATCATGCATATCTTCCAAAACTTTAAAAAAGAGAACTCCTCGCAATTTTGACAGCTCAGATCTGACATCTTGAAGAGCACCAACCTGAGCATATGAAAACGGATGTTTCACACAATGAAACTTCAAACACATAATGCAGCATAGGTATAGCAGAAATCAGTTACATCCATTTGAATTCACTTGGAAGACTAGTTTCAATTGACATTTATCCCAAATCCACAAGGAAGTTATTCCAATTGTCAGAAATAAACAAGTGAAGTTGGATATACATTTTGTGGATTGTTCATCTAGCTTCAACCATAGACGAGATAGTATGAGGAGAAAATGCAAAGGAGCAGCAACAGTAAATGCATTTTGAAGAAAGAGTCATAAAAGCAAGCTGAGGTTTTCAAAGCAATGTCGTCAATATGGCATTAAGAAGTCCAAAAGAATCTCAATTCATCCAACATGGCCTTTGTTCCATAATGTGTGGTCAGCTATATGGATTATATGTTGTAACCGAGCTCAGTCAAAACATCTTTTGTTCAATCAATACAACTAAAGAATGTCATTTTTAGTAGCTTCTTTCTGATTCTTTTAGGTCTTCCCCTTCCTCTCCTTTTATTCATCCTCCATGAGCAAATTTCTCAAGTACATGATTTCTTTGCTGAAAGACATGCCATTGATTATTTTTGCTTTCTAATTGACTAATTTGGTGATTAAAATCAGCTGGAAAAATGATATGACATTTCAGAGAGCTAAACTTAAACCAACCGTCTGAAGGCCCTCTCTCTCCAGCATAAGAGTTGATTGAACGTGCAACTGTACTGCAGCATAAAACTGCTTCTCGGCTATAAGCTTCTCAATACGAGCTGGAACCTTCAACATTTAAAAAGGAAAAAGAAAAACAGAAAGAGAGAGAAGATCAAAACAAATAAACATACAGAATAAAAATACTGTTTTAGCCACAGGAAAATAGGAAATGCTAATTTAGGAAAGCACCACAACACTTTATGTGAAAGTGCTTCCAACAACATGGAGGCAGCACATAACTAAATGTGAGAGCGCACAAATGAATCAATTTAGAGTCAACAGCAGTCAAGATTTATAGACCAGCAGTACTTGCTTTGGCACAACAACCAGGTGGTTAGCAGACAAGAACACCGAAATATATCATACCAAGATACATTAACAACAAAAAAGAATATGTTCCTGGATTCATCACATATCTAAAGTTCAAGCATGTATGGCCAAAGTTTGCACCTCAGATCTTAAACAAAGTGAAATAAGCCTCTTTAACCATCTATTCAGAAAGAATGGTCAAAGGTAAAAAGCACATTGTCATAGGTTCACTTTCAAGCCACATATAAACAGATTTTACCAGTGATAAACACACAAGCAGGATAACAGGTATATAAAATGCCCAATAGACAAAAGAATATGGGGGATATTGCAAACCAAATGTCAGAACAAAGATGAAAAACAAAATAGCCATACCTTAGCTATGCCCTCAAGTTGATCGAGCAGAGATATAATGTGCCGCAATGTCACGGAGCGATACCACAACTGATGTAACTGCTTATTTCGAGCACCTAGGAGTTTCTTTGCTTCAGCCAAATCATTCTTCAGAACAGCTATACTTTGAGTAGATTCGCTAAATAATCGTAAAATCTGGAGGATAACGATTGATCAATATAAGAAAGGCATAAAATATTTTCAGTGAAGCCTACTAATAGTGCTATAGGCAACAATGATCATCAGAGTTGATATTCGTAAATGAAAAGGTGGCATCAAATGTTAAAGAATACATATATGTGTGTGTGTGTGTGCGCGCGCGTGCATATATGTAGATGGATACATGATTTGAGATTCTTCTAATCATAAATTTGTAAAAGACTAAACCTAACTTTGACAGCATAAACGAGCAGCTAGACCAAGGAGTACAAGTAAAAGACTACAACGGAATACAACAACGAACATTAACAACTAAAGTGAGGTATACTTGAGGGGAAAAACAGCAATAACTTTGGAGAGACTGCAGCTCAAGCAACATCCTATTACTGCAAACAACATGGTGGTTCCGGCTAAACATGTAGTGCAGTGATATTCTTCTTTATCTCAGACTGACTAAAATCACCAGGTCATGCACACATCATTTGATGAGGCTTATGAGAGACCTACCAAAGAATTTGAATGGTAACAAACCATAATCACAAAAGAAACAAAAGAATCGAGCCAACTCATAAGATTACATTTAGAGCATTCGCCGACCTCTGATATCCAGTTAACTGATGATGGGTTTTAATTCTATTAAATAGCCTATCTTTTTCTTCTTGTTTTTTTTATTTTGAGGATACATGGCAAATTTTCATCTGTCCATCTCTTAACCATTCTTCTAACTCATAGAACATGAGATCTAACGAACTGCACAGATTCGTAATTGCAGGGCAATCATAAGAAACCAGTATGAGCTACAATCCATAGCAAGATGAATTATGAAATCCTATTTTGTTTATCCTATGAACTAAAAAAAAAACATGTAATTGTCATGTTTGCATGAAAACCTTGAGTCTAAGGCCCCTACCCTTACATAAATATGTTTCCACCGCACTAACAGTTTCTTGCCAACTTATCGAGTAGTTTCTGGACAATTTACACATTGAATGGTGCAAGAAGGCTCAAACTCAAAATTTTGAGTACTAAATATTTTTCAAGAACAGATGGCAAATACTTCTAAAAGACATAAACAAGAGAACCGAGCACATTTTTTCAAGAAATGACAACAAATTCGACTAAAGGAGATGGAAAAGAAACCTGAGAATAATTTTGGATTGCTTTGTTAAAGCCACCATGATAAGCATGCACTACTTCATCTACAACTTCCTCAATGATATCACTTTGTTCCTTTAAGAGTTGCACTTCACCTTCACGATCTTTTGAAGTCAAAATATGTACAACATGAGGCAGAGAATCAAAACGTGCAGCTGCCCAGCTCTCGTCTATTCTGGAAAGTTCCTCCCTCAAATGCTGCATTTTAACAAGCAGAAAAGTTAGAGGGGGAAACAGGATTACAATTAACAGTCAAAGTATGGTTCAAGTCTACACAAGACACAAGAGGGAGTATCTATAGAATTTTCGTCGCGACGCTACACATTGTCAGTGACACTAATAGGGTTGCTTCTTTTCAACCAACACAGCCCAACGATAAATGTCAGCAGTACATGAAAAATACATAGATTACAAAGTTTTACCAACAAAAAAAGTATAGCCAGATGAATTCTTAATCATCTACGATTCAGCAATCTAGTCTGAACAAACCGGTTGAACTTTCCCTTAAACTGCGCCATTGCCAGTTATATTCACAAACATCGTTTTCAACGTATGAACCAAATTAACCTAAACAAAGTTTACACCTCAGAAGAATCACATAACCTTCTCAACCATTGCAAAACATATACGTAGGATCAAACCAGAGAGTTTGTAGGCCATACTAAGAGACCATACTGAGTTTTTAAGCAAGACGAAGTATAAGTTATACAATTTTCCCAAGTACTGACTGTAATTTTAAGCACATTACTAAATATCCGTCCCTCTTCGAACATCTGTTTTAAAAAATAAAAATTAAAAAAAATGAAGAAATGCCACCAAACTTCCATCAGAAGCACAAAACTACAACTCCCCCACTCGAAACATCAACCTTACAAAAAAAAAACCGAAAAAAAGAAATTCAAGAGACAATTCGAAAACACAAGAATGCAGAGACTCACGGCTTTCTCCCGCGAAATCGGCAAACCATCGAAAATTCCCATCTGAATCCAATCAGCTCTGGAGAAGCAAAGAAACAACTGAAATTAGGGCAGAACAAGAGAATATTCAATCAATTCAGTTACAAAGTAAAAAAGCGTAATTAAGTATAAATGAGGAAGCCATGAGTGAGCACCTATTTTGTGTGTCTGGCAGAAAGGAAGTTGCAGAATGCGAGCTATCAGCAGAAGAAACTCGGATCTGTACAGTCTGGAATACGGAAGAAAATGGATCATAAAAGAGCAATCATTGGGTTGGAATGAATTCGAACACCAACAAAATACATTGCTCCATAAATTAATTTTGTGTTCGCGTTTTATCGAATTTTTCTGGGTTTTATATGTGAGCTCCACGAACGAGATCAGAGCTGACGCCCAAAATCTTAAATTAACAAAAATAAATATATATATATAATTAATTAAAATCATTAAATACTGGTATTAAATGGACTACGCGAAAAGTAGAGAATAAGAAACATCAACTCAAAATTGGTCTTACAAGAACTTTCCAAATACAGGCTGTAACGGTGTAATGCTACCTTTTTGGCAAAGGATTATTTAAATGAAGATCCCTGAAGTTTAAAAATGTGATAAAACGCCCCACTCTGAATATATTTCTTTTTTTTTTGAAGAGCAATTAGGATTCATGTTTAGTAGTATTAGTAGATTGATGAAGATGGAGGATTAAATTCCTAGTAAGTAATATTGTATATTTAGATTTATAGTTTTTAAAATGTTTTTTTTTTAATTTTGGAAGAGATATAATATTAAAACTACACTATTAGACAACAGACGAAGATAGACAACTCCAATCACATTATGTTGCAACCAAGGTCTATCTCTATCTTAAAGAACCTCCAATCAATACAAAATACATACCTTGAGCTACAAAATAATATTTTACTTTAGTTAATTGAAATTTGGAACTTCTGTTAAATGAAAATTTAGTCAAGTATATTTGATTTTGTCAAATGATATGCCTTTTTTATACTCAAACTAAATTTGTTCTCGTCGCACTACGCTCGATTAGTTTGAATCGAATCAATATGAATTCACTACAAATGGTCACATTGTCATATGACTTAATGAAATTTTAATAATAATTACTATGTGACACCGGAAACACGATTCATCAGCACCGCCATGTGTTTCATGGACGACGGATCGCTTGCATTGCCACCATCAGAACCCCAACCAAAGTATGATCACCGTTTGTTTGTTGGCCGTAGGATCTACACCACCGCCACCATCGGGAACCTAAAAAAAATCAGGATCAGTTCTTCTTTCTTTCGAGAGATTGGCCGTCGTCACCATTACATAGCAATTAGATTTCGAACCCAAGAAGATAATTGGATTTTGAAGGGATGGGAAAATGGCGATGACAAAAGATTAGATTGATATTTGGGGTGGGGGAAAATTTGTGGAGAAGGAAGGGATGGAGAGCGGTCGAAAAAATTAGCAGTAAAAATAGGCACAAAAAATCGACATTTTAATTGGTCAGCTAGTAAACGTCGCCGTTTAGCACGCCACATTAATTAGGTTATTTCTCTCGTCTAATAACGTATTTGGTTGGCAAAAAAAAAAAATTACTTTATTAATTCATCATTGTAGACTTGTTTTAAATTGCTGATATCATGTTAATATATTAATCAATCAGATGGCTCAATTTACAATTGATGTTATTTGAACTAATGGGCCAATCAGAATGCTCAATTTAATTTCTGACCAATCACGTTCAAGATTCTAAACTTATCAAGGGACATTTACTTATGTACAGATGATCTAGAATATGTTTCCATTTAAAACTTTATCTTTTTCTCCTAACAAATCACACTAAAAAATTTATCAAGCAGGTTGCCCCGATTCGTTGATGTTCGTAGTTCATTGGGGTCGTCATGAGCACTTTTGCTCTCATTTGGCTCTTTAATGTATGGCACAAATAACTATTTTTTAAAAATTAATAAAAATAATTAAATTAGTTATTTTTTAGTCAGCTAACTATATATATATATATATATATATATTTTAGTCAACTAACTATATTTTTTATATTAAAAATGTCCCTAAACATCCTAGGCAAACCAAAAAAAAAAAAAAATTCAATAAAATTAAAGTGTAGTTCACTAAAATTATATAAAGTTGGAAGTAAAATATTAAAATAACAAAGAACCAAGAAAAAATTTTAAAATGTGTTACAACAAGGAGTATATTTTATATAATACCTTAAAAACTAAAATTATGAACCACTCTTTTTTTTTAAAAAAAAAAAGAGTGAATCTCAAAACGGGTCATTGAACTATTAGATAATTTTAATACATGTCATCAATCAAATTTATTTGTATAACAGGTCACTCTAATAAGCAAAAAATTCATCCGAGATCATTCTGTTAATTTTGGCAGTTAAATAGTGACGGAAATCTATTTTTCACATGCTTTTGGGTTCAAGGATATTTTTGTTATTTTATTCTCTTTTAATTTTTTAATATTTTTCATTTTTTTTACGATTCTTCTTCTTATACTTCACAACTTGTATATATTAGTAGTATAATTTTTAAATTTCAAAAATTAATTTAACTTTTGTATATTAACTTCTAGATTATAAAATTTTTTAAAAAATTTAAGAAATGAAGAAGAAAAATTCAAGTTAAATTAAAGATGAAAATTAATAGTTTACCATTTTCAACTAAAAGGAAAACTAAAAAAAAAAAGCTAAGACAAGTTGTTTCTTCTAGGTTATTTAATTTTTTTCAACTCGATTGAGTTATTTAATTATTAATTTTTACGTTAACTTCAACTCGATTTAATTTTTCATTCGTATCTTAACTTCTAGATTAAAAAAAAAAACAGAGAAAAGGAATAAGGAAAAATATATAAAATTAAAATTGAAGTTAACGTGAAAATTAATAATTATATAATTCAATCGAGTTGAAAAAAATTAAAAACAACTTGTCCTAACTAATTCTTTTAGTTTAAAATGGAAAAATATTAATTTTCATGTTTACGTTAACTCGAAATTTTCTTCTTCATTTCTTAATTATTTTAAAAAAAAATTTATAATCTAGAAATTAAAATACAAAAAATAAATTAGTTTTTGAAATTTAGAAACTATACTACTACTTTACTAGTATATAAAAGTTAGGAAGTATAAGAAGAAGAATTATTAAAAAAAAATTAAAAGATTAAAAATTTAAAAATAATAAAATGACAGAAATACCCTTGAACCCAAAAACATGTGAAAAGTGGATTTCCGTCACTATTTAATGGTCAAAATTAACAGAATAATCTCCGATGAACTTTTTGCTTAGTATGGTGGACTGTTGTACAAATAAATTTGATTGATGACCTGTATTAGAATTATCTAACAGTTCAATGACCCGTTTTGAGGTTCACATTTTTTTTAAAAAAAGGGATAAACTCTTTAAAAATCTATTATGGATATTTCACTCTTAAATTTCACAAAGCATAGAATTATGGTGAAAAGTAGTGATTGGAAAATTGGCCTACTAAATAAACAAGCGCGTTTAAAAAATATGACCTTAATTTTCTAACATGTGTAAGAGTTATCAAAAAAGTTAGTCATAAGGTATTGTTCACTTTATTATTGTTATTATCTTCATTCTTCACTTTAATGGCGTATGGTTGAGACTTTTTAACACAATATAGGGTGAGATTTATGGAGATAAAATACTTATATTTTAGTTATAATTTATGCTTTTCTCTCAAATTATCGTACATGGTTTGATCATTTACATATCGATCCAGTGTGAATAATGTTATTATAAGGTTCGACACATTTCGTATCTTTTGATGCGAGTTGAATTTTACGATTGTCACGAAAAATTTTACCGCCATGCTAGAAATTGTTACGTGATACTCCAAATGTAATTTTTTTTTTTTGGTATTACATTGAATTAAAATAGTTTTATTGCAATGTGTAAAATACTAGTAATAAAACAGACAAATTAGACCCAAAATAGAACACACACAAATTATTGTCAAGCGTGTATAGAGCTAAGTATGGCAACAATAACATTTTCCCTCCTGCTCATTAGCCAAGCAACTCTTCATGGGGATTCAAAAGTGTGTTTTTGGGGTGCAGAACTCTTTCACAACAATGTTAAATAGAAGGTAATTTCTGATAGAAATATTGGAATCTCTGATGATTGGATTCCAAATCATCACAATCCAATCAATCGAAACTCCATTCTAGCCACACATACCAGTTTTCGAGTGCAAGACTTCATACACTCCATTGGTCAATGGAACGTATTCTTCCTTCAAAATATATTTCCCCTTTCCTTCATTCCACATATCACTGGAGTCTTCATAGACCCTGCTAGAGCTAATCAACTGATGGCTCCAATAGATCCACTTGAGCCATGGCTACTACACAGTCAAATCTGGATATCATATTGCTCTCAACAATCAGCAACAACCATAGCCCCAATTACAAAATCCCCCATAAATAATGGTGTGGAAATGTTTGTGGAATTTATCAGTCCAACTAAAATAGAAAACTCTGTTTAGAGAGCGGCGGGTAGAATCTTTGCAGACGACTTAAACACACGACGGGGTATTGTAAGGGGCAAAGTGGCCTTGCTGCCACGATCCTCTAAGATTCAGCCCTTTGTCGCTTCGTTTTCGTAAAGAAAAAAAAAGAAAGGAAAAAAAAAGAAAAAAAAACTCTGTTTAGAGAGCATTACATAATGCACTCTCGACACGATCAGAATTGGTAAGACGGGGAGTTTCAGTAAATCCCTTGTGCTCAAGATGCAACCAGACAGAAGATAGCTTGCACGTTCTTTTTACTTGTCCTTTATCTCAACAGATTTGGAATTTGGCACCCACCGCCTTTAATCATCTCCTCCTGCAAAATCAGACCTCAACGTTCCATAGGTTTGTTCACTGGATTCAAACAAATCCCGCTAAAGAGGACATCGACCTCTTCCTTATTATAATCTTGTACATCTTGAAAGACAGGAATGATCATCTATGGCGACAACATCTCAATTTCCCTCTAGATACTTGGAGAGTTATTTAGATGGATTCTCACATCCATAAACGCCAAGAGCAGTTCGGGATGCTGTCCAATAGAAGACCACGTAGATCTTATATCCCGCAAAATGTTTTGATGGTCTACTTTGATGGTTCTTTCCATCCTACAACCTTCAAAGCAACTGCCGCTTGAAAAATTATCTCCCCGTTTGATATGGTTCTTCAAATTGGATCAGCAGATATTCAGGCTCTCCCCCCTTATAAACGGAAACTATGACGTGTCTTCTAGCTCTTCAACAAGCTTCCAACCTTGGCATTAAAGAAGTTAAAATTCACATGGATTGTGAATTCTTAACAGATCATCTTCGAGACACTCAAATTCCAACTGAAGTAAAAGAGGTTTTACCTCTTCTAATTTCTCTTATTGATACGTTCGATTTTTGTGAACTGATTAAAGTTAATAGATCGGATGTAATAGAAGTACATAATATAACTTATCATAAGATGCGATGTACTAGTTCAAGAACTTTATTTTAATTTAATACATGTATTATTCTCGGAAAAAAAAAGAAGAAATCATAAGCAGATGACCGATCGACCCGGCTGGGAGACAAAATATAAACCCCACAGCATCATCCACGCGGCAACCCAATTTGTGTGCAACACGCTCTTCCCCCAAACCTCCCCTGTTACCCGCCTTCTTCTTCCCTCCGGCTCCACCTTCAACATACGACAATCACAACAGGCTGCAGCCTTCAGAGCACTTTATCGACGTGAAACCCTCGCCATGGATTTTTCAGGCGAAACGTCTCAGCAATCTAACCCGTACATTAATGTCAACGACACCAATCCTTTGCAATTCACTATTCATTTACCGACCTCGACCTCGAACCCTAACCCTAGCCCTAGCTCCAGCTCCAGTTTTTCAGTCCAGAGCTCGGATTTGAGCTATGCCACTACGCAGACCAATTCGGTTCCAAATCCGTATTTCCCTCTCTCCATCCCCAGAAAGCGCCGGCGAGGTCGACCACGCAACACGACGTCTCCGCTTAATCAGGTATATAGCAATTTACCTACATTTTCGAATTCCAACGGGGATGCGTCCTCGTTGGCTTCTTCGTCAGGTCAATTTTTGAATTCCCACCCTCATATGTTGAATCCCAATTTCAAGTTTAGCATCAATGGTAATAGTAATAGTAATAGTAATAGTTCAATCTCAAGAATTACGCCCCAGAATGCGAATGCTGATGTATCTGATGAGATTATTGTGATAAATAAAGAGGCCACTGCTGAGGCGTTGATTGCTTTAACGGCTGGTTTCCCGGCTGATTCTTTAACTGAAGAGGAAATTGATGCTGGAGTTGTGTCTGTAGTAGGTGGAATAGAACAGGTTAACTACATTTTAATTAGAAATCATATCATCACAAAGTGGAGGGAAAATGTGTCTAGATGGGTCTCGAAAGATATGTTTTCGAATGTGATACCTAAGCATTGTAGCAGGCTGTTGGAAACCTCCTATGAGTACCTGGTTTCACGTGGATATATTAACTTTGGGGTTGCGTCAGCAGTTAAGGAGAGGATCCCAGCTGAGCCGAGTAAGCAGAGAGTTATTGTCATTGGAGCAGGGCTTGCTGGGCTTGCTGCAGCTAGGCAGTTGTTGGCATTTGGTTTTAGAGTTACCGTCTTGGAGGGGAGGAAGCGTGCAGGTGGAAGGGTTTATACTAAGAAGATGGAGGTAGGAAATAGAAGTGCAGCCGCTGATTTGGGTGGGAGTGTGTTGACTGGTACATTAGGGAACCCACTTGGGATTTTAGCACGCCAGTTGTCACACACACTTCACAAGATTAGAGACAAGTGCCCACTTTATAGAGTGGATGGACAACCAGTTGATGCGGATTTAGATCAAAAGGTGGAAATTGCTTTTAATCGACTGTTGGATAAGGCTAGCAAGCTTAGGCAGTTAATGGGGGAAGTTTCTCAGGATGTTTCCCTTGGTGCAGCTTTGGAGACTTTTCGCCAGGTCTATGGTGACGCGGTTAACAAAGAAGAGCTGAGCTTATTTAATTGGCATCTTGCAAATCTTGAATACGCCAATGCCGGATTGCTTTCCCAACTTTCTCTCGCATTTTGGGACCAGGATGATCCATATGACATGGGTGGTGACCATTGCTTCTTGGCTGGAGGGAATGGACGATTAGTTCAAGCATTGGCTGAGAATATTCCCATTCTATATGAGAAAACAGTGCAAACCATACGTTATGGTAGCGAAGGAGTTCAGGTCGTGACTTCTGGGGGCCAGGTTTTTGATGGTGACGTGGCATTGTGCACTGTCCCCTTAGGTGTCTTGAAGAATGGATCTATAAAGTTCATTCCTGAGTTGCCTCAAAGAAAGCTGGATACCATTAAACGATTGGGGTTTGGATTGTTAAATAAGGTCGCTATGCTTTTCCCCCATGTGTTTTGGGGCACCGATCTTGATACCTTTGGGCACCTCACTGATGACAATAGCTCCAGGGGAGAGTTCTTTTTATTCTACAGCTACGCAACTGTTGCTGGTGGTGCCCTATTGATTGCGCTGGTGGCGGGAGAAGCTGCACACAAGTTTGAGACCATGCCCCCAACTGATGCTGTTACTCATGTTCTTCAAATTCTTAAAGGTACACATGTTTTATGGGTTTTTACCTTTAGATTTCTCTGTATGTAAAAGATAATTGATGATTTACACATATGGTTAGGATGTTTGATCCATTTTTATCCATATACCGCAGATTTAGATCAACCTACATTAATTTACTGAATATAGTTAGGAGTTTAGGTGCTTTTGTGGTTACATGAAAATTGTTTGATTCCTGTTGCTAGAGCGTTGGGCATGATAGGATTTCTTGTTGCACACAGGTATATATGAACCCCAAGGAATTGAGGTCCCAGAACCAATCCAGACAGTCTGTACCAGATGGGGTGCTGATCCCTTCAGCTTAGGTTCTTATTCTAACGTTGCAGTGGGGGCATCTGGGGATGATTATGACATTTTAGCAGAAAGTGTGGGGGATGGTAGGCTTTTCTTTGCCGGGGAGGCCACCAATAGGCGCTATCCAGCAACAATGCATGGGGCACTTCTTAGTGGATTCAGAGAAGCTGCAAATATTGCTCAATTCACTAGTGCCAGAGCTACCAGGTCAAAAATTGAGAAAAATCCATCAAAGAATGCACATTCATGTGCATCTCTCCTTGCAGATCTATTCAGGGAGCCAGACTTGGAATTCGGAAGCTTCTCTGTAATTTTTGGCCGGCGAAAGGCTGATCTTAAGTTGAAAGCAATTTTGAGGGTTACTTTCAGTGGATCAGGAAAGAGAAGGCATGAAGGGCTGAGACCAGATCAACCATATTCTAACAAGTTACTATTTCAGCAGCTTCAGTCTCATTTTAATCAGCAACAAGAGCTTCATGTTTATACTTTGTTGAGCAGGCAGCAAGCTCTAGAGCTTAGAGAGGTCAGAGGGGGTGATGAAATGCGGTTACACCATCTCTCAGAGAAGCTTGGAGTGAAATTGGTTGGGAGAAAAGGTCTGGGACCATTAGCGGACTCTGTCATCGCTTCCATTAAGTCTGAAAGGGCTAAATCAGGTGCGTTAACTGTTATTGCATATATTTCCTTTTCAAGGTTTAATGCTCATTCTCAAAAGCGCCTTTTGCTTACATCTATGTGGTTTAATTTTTCCCCGCTAGGCAATTCGAAGCTGAAATCAGCTACTTTGAAGCAAAAGATGATTAGGTATGAGATATTTTGGTATTAAAAGAGTTTTACTCTGCAAAATTTTCCTTAAGCATGAATGAAAATTTCTCCCCCTTGTGCTTGTAACTACTCGCAGGAAAGCTAAAATACTGCGTAAAAGAAATGGCAATGGTCCAGTGAACACACCAACAGAAGTTAAAGAAGATGGCACCTGCAACAACTCTGCTAACCCGAATCGTAGTTTGGGTTCTAAATTGCCTGGCAATGTTGTTGGCCCGAATTTGAGTCTAGATTCTGGAGCTAGTGTTTTGGCCAGCTGTAATAGCTCCACCTCAAGTACCTTAGTTGAAGTCAAAGTTGAAGGCTGTCCTAGTTTAATCAATCCCAAAGTGGATAATAGTGCCACCATTACCTTCCCATCAAATCTTGACATGTTTTCTGGGTTTGTGGATCCTATGGTGTCTAATTTACCTCCAACCTCAATCAATGGTGTTTCGGGCATGAAAAATGATGACGAGATCATCCCTGCCCCACATTCAGATGTTGGACCTATCTTTGTGGGAAGCATTGATGAGTCATCCACTCTCAATTTTGAAGCTGCGGAAAACTTGGTAAACAATTTTAGCAATTCTATGCTGGGTAATATCTACGAGGATAATATGTTTGGATTTACTCCGCCCTCAACCTCGAATTCTGGTAGTTGGTGATTCCAAAAAAGTAAAGCATGGATGGTCATCTCTTCAGGGTAAAGTTTCTAAGCATATGTCTTTTGTGTGCTGGGAATTCATCTGTTTCTTCTGGTGGGTTTGGTTACAATTGCTAATTTTTTATTCAGATGCCTCTTTTTATAATATTTGAATTTCTATATTTTATCAAATTTTTGATAGGTTTGTTTATTTAGTGATGGAATGATGTAAAGAATATCGGCAATCTTTAAGTTTTATTTACTTGTTACAAAGTGCAGCTGATATGTGGATGTCACTGAGGGCTGCTTAGCCATTGTTTTTGCTATTTCCCATACAATTCTTTCTGTGTAGTAGTGCTCACATACTCTAAGCCAAGGTCCCTTTTGACTTTGCAGGTTGAGAGAAGATTTTTGGGCCTGACTTAGTGACGTACTACAATTTGTCTCTTCATCTTTGCTGAGAAGGTGAGCTATATACCTTTCTGACAGACTGCTTTCTAGCCTTTTACTCATGTTCCTCCAAAATAGTACATTCTCCCCTAATAGAAACCTGTTATGTTTTTTTGTTGAATAGGAGGCAAAATTCGATGAATTTCCTATTCTAATTTGCCAATCTTTTCATTTGACTACTTTCCAACTTTTGACGCAGCCTTGCCAAAGTGGGAACATGTGTAATTTATTGGTGGCTGCTTCTGCATTGATATATCTACAGAAGCTCAAGTGTTTATACATTTCGGCTATGTTGCTCCAAAAGGGAACTTGCTCTGAAAGGCAACTTGCTGCACTAGCTGGAAGATACAGCAGGATCTCTCTTTACAATTTTGTCTTAACACTGCGTTGCATTGTTGTCTCGGAGTTAATTGAGTTTTTAAAGAAGAGGATATCATTATAGTTTAGGATACATTCATTATTGATCCCCTTTCATTGTAAAGAAAGCTGTATAGTGTAAATTTGACGAGTTTAGGGTACAATCTTCCAGAGGATAGCCTAGAATACATTTCTTTTTGTCATTTCAGTCAAGTCAATGCCTGTTGAAAGGTTAGTTGTGATTATTTGGCGTTGTCTTGAAAGGAATCGAGCAGGATGCAACATTTTTATCCATGGATGGAGATTATATTTTCTTTTGGCTTTGAATTTACAGATTATGCGACATAACATTTGCTTCTGTTTTTTATCCTCTCTCATTTTTCTCTTTGTTTCCTTATGCTGAAAGAGATGAATGAACCCATTCTTTTCTATTTCTTTTCGCGACAGAAACCATAGGAAATCCCCTATTTCACTTTCTCCCCCATTTTTCATAACATTCTAATAATGCAATAATTTCTATTAAATGTTCAATAAAAAAAAACCTGCCAAAAATTTTCTTTAATTTATTTTCATTTTAAATGTTTGATACAAGAAAATGCCAGAAACAAACCAGAAAGATGAACAAACCGCCAGCAGACTCTAATCTTATACATTGACATGTAAAAAAAAGCCTCTTTTCCAAAAAAAGATGAGAGGCCTCTTTTGATGCGAACTCATGCCATCATCAAGAAACCCATCCACAAGGGCATTTTACATAGAAACCAACTTAATTTCCAAAGTCCAATCAGACTAAAGCTCATGTGTTTGTAGTACCTTGAATGCTCATTTCCCCGAGCCATTCCTCCAATTTCGCTTCTTTATCAGCCTTAAACTCTTCGTATTTATGCGCCAAGGAAAGTAAGTCCTCATGGCGCAGGCTTTCCTCACCTTGCACCTGTTGTAGCTCCTCGGCAATTGGACTGGATATCGGCAATTCAACTGCCTCAGAATCAAGCATATTTGAAGTACTACCACAAGCATCAGAGGATGATGCATTGATATCAGATGTAGATGTTTCATCTATTGCTTCAAATGATTGATTAGTCGTTTCTGTCTGATTCCATTTTAGGTTGCTAGCCTTGAGTTTTGCAGAGTTTATAACACTTGATAAATAACCAGAGGACTTTTCGGAATCCTGCAGGGAGGAGCTTGAACTTCGACCCCAAACGACAGGTCCCCATGATCTAGTTCTTCCCAACTGGAAAGCTGAAGCAGTGCTATTCATTAAACCTCGTTTTGGATGTTTCTTTGAGATGATAGTTAGAGAACTATTAATGTCTCTAATCATCTCATCTGCAATGAGGAAGCCACATTCTTTCATAGAACTTATAGCTGAAATAGAATCTTCAAAATCTTCTGTATGCAAAGTCATTTCATGAGATTTTTCGACAACATTATTCTTGAGATTAATAAGATTCGGTGCTGCATTCTGGATGTGCTGCTGAATGTAGAAAAGGCCCACAGAGGGTTCATTCGCCACATATTTTATCATCTCGGCCATACATTCAGTTACCTCCACAAATCCATCCACTGTGGAAAATTCTTGCATTCTTTTGAAGGCAATTTGATCTTCATCACTGCCAACGTAAAAGGAACAATAAAGGTGTGCTTCAAATCATATCACAATGAGGTTACAGTTAAACTAAGAAAATGAAACCCAAGAAAAGATGTTACATCCAATAGATAGTAAATCAAAAGTTTCATGATCAACTCACTATTTCTTTATAGAATATCAATAAGTAACAGTTTTCCAGCATATAACCGTTGACTGTAGCCTAATGAAACAAAAGGGAAATAAATACCCCTATCCATGTATATATAGAAATTTCACGGAGCTTATAGAAACACTCTAGACCAAGCAGTGGGAAGAAAGAAAATGTGGAGAAGGCCAACAGGTTTAAAGAGTTGAAATAGCATCTTACTTGAACATAGATTAAGCATTCACCAATAAGCTTTTAGGTGCTAAATACAATCTGATGCGCAAAACCTGCAAACGCGGAAACCTTTTTTCATAAGGTAAAGTCATAAAAAAGTTCCACAATGGCAATAAATGTCAAAACTGATGCAGCACAAATGCTGGTTAGTTCAGACAGATCTTAGGTGATTCTTTAAGTTCTTAGGCAGCATAGACTGAGTACAAAGTGGAACAAAAACAGTACAAAGATTGCAGGAAAAGTGGAGTTTTCCTAAAAATCACTCTTCGAAAACCTTAGGCATCACAATCAAGGTAATGGAGAAAAAATTTGGTGCATGATATCTGTAGTGCTCAAATCAGCATCTTTTCCTCAAAAGAAAATTATTTATAATCTACAACTGAAACCAAACCTTCGAGGAATCGTATTTTAGATTCCTAATCAGCAAGAACTGAAATCAAACGGTAATACAGTTAAAACGAAAAACTCAAAAAGGAAACAGGGAATTGCAGGAGCCGGCAAAACGACAAAATTACGTGAATACTACCATAAAGAATGTTAGCTATCCAAGGCAGCTTAGTAAATTCAGCTTAATATGTCATATCATTATGATTTTATTTTATATTTTGAATGTTGGGTGGAGAAAATCATCTTAGAATACTACTCCATGTGCATCCTAGAAGCTGCAAATTTTGGCAAGAAAACAACAAATCCTCAACTTTCACAATACAAAGGTACTGAAATTCTCAAGGTATACATATATATGGTATAGTTATCCACTCAAATTTTGGAAATACTCCCAAAGATTCTGCAGGGTTCTTCTTTTACCCCAGTTTGATTATGAAGTTCTTGGACTAAAAACACAAGAGAATGTCCAGACTTCAGAAGGTAACCGAGAAGCAGCAAAAATGCCCCAAAACAACACAAAATTTACACATAAATAAATACTCCCTCCAAGTTAATCTGGACCAAAAAAAAAAAAACACACAGACACACACAGCGCTCCATACACCATACTCAATGAAGTGGAAACACAATGAAATTGGGGAACAATCCAGTAGATAAAATTCAGAGTTTAGCATAATTACTCAACCAGTCCAATGAAACAATGAAGAAAACAAAGGAACCCAATCCAAAACCCTCAACAAAAGCGAAAAGATCGCAAATTTACCAGAAAGATTTAGATAAGGAGGGAAAGACAAGACTTACCGACTGAAAAACCCAAAGGAAGAAAAGCATAATGAGAAACTGGGTAGTTAAAAAGCTAACATTCGGGTGTAATTCAACCCTAAACAGCTGACAGTCTCGCCAAAATCCAAGACGAGGATTATGACATAATAAAGACAAAAAGCGCAACCTCCTCTCAAGTCATCATAGTTTTTGAGCACAAAGGAACAAGCCGCATTAGTTATTATTATGTTCGGTCTTCTAGTCGAAGCAGAAACGATGTCGCTTTAGTGTCCTAATTAAACTTTAATTACTAAATCTAAATCGGGGGATTCTATTGAATTTTCTTACAATAAAATACTGGCATTTTTTTTTTAATAAAAAAAGAGTTGTCTTGTTTGTGTACCTAAGAAGTACATTTTTTGAAATAAAAAAATAAAAAAGTATCTCTTCATCTGAAAAAAGCAAACAATTAGAAATGGTTTTTACGTTCTCCCTTCGTCCCAAATTATGTTCCAATTTGGATTTCCACTCCCTTCGTCCCAAAATTATTTGAGGGATAGAACAGATTGCCATCATCCTAACGGGAATAAATTCATTTTAATGAGCATAAAGAAACTTATGCTTTAACTTTTCTTAAAAAGAAAAAAAGATTATCTTATCTTACATTTTGCATTTAATATCCTCTAATTGATCCTCAAAATGAGAAAGATACAAAGGATCTTGACTCTATTACATTAACTAGAGACTTCACTTTATTCTCAATACAACATTTTCTTAAAAAGAAAAAAGAAATTAATATATATATATATATATATATATATATATATAGACACACACACACACTAGAAGGGGGTGGACCGCACGAAGTGTGGTCTATATGAGAAGAGTAACCCGGATTTTAATAAGTAATGTTTGTCTCTTTTTCCATAAGACATGGAGTGCAATCAGTACAGTTTTTAGTTTTTACTTGTTATCCAAAAAAAGTAAAATTAGAAAACAACTTTTAGTTTGATTTTGGAATTTCATTTTGCACGATAAACAAGTAAAACTCGAAGTCACAAAGAAAAGGGGGCAAACAGAAGATGTAAACAAAGTGTGGAAATTCTGAAGTTATACATGCACAACCTTATCTCGAAAACCATCATATATACAAATGCAACCTTTTTTTTTTTTTTGGTTAAAAGTACCTGTTATATTATGTTAAAGGTATTAAGCTATTACATTGCATACGATTAAAAGCTAAATTATGCATATCTCGTACATCCCATCTACTTACTTTGGTGATTGTACAAAAAGTAAATGAGGAAATTAAGGTATTTAATAGTGAAAATATTTCTCAGGAATCAGATGGCATTGAAGGGGATTGCAAGTCTTGCGATAGCACTTCACAATCCGTGAAAACCTGAATCCGAGTGAGACCAAGGTTTGCCGCTTGTTGTAAAGCTAGAAGACATGTTGTAGCTTCGGTTTGGAGTGGTGTAAGGGCATTAATCCCTGTGGTTGAGACTTGCATGACCATTCCATTTGGGGATATAATTTTCCATGCTCCAGCTGCCTGGCGTGTTTGATGACTAAATGAACCATAAAAAATAATCAAAGCAATATTAGACATCCGAAATGATGATCCCTAAGTGGGCAAATGATTAGGAGAGGAAGATGTTGGATTGAGCCTTCTTTGGAATTTAAGTAGAGAACGAAAGTTCGATTGAATTAGATTCCACGAAGTGAGGGGATCCTGAACTTGATTTCTCCAGATTTTATCATTGCGGTCAAGCCAAATTCGCCACATAATGAGGAGTAGGAGATCCACACCCTGTTTGGAGGGCTGTGTTCGACACCACGCAGTGAACCATTGGAATAGGGAGTGATAGGATGAATTGAAGATGGAGCTGAATCGAGGGAAAGTAAGTGCCCAAAGTGCTTGTGACATTTCACACTTAAGGAATAAGTGTGAGCTGTCTTCTTCTGCTGTAAAGCATCGTGGGCAACTGGTTGTTATGGGAACTCCTCTTTTGTGAAGCTCAGAACGAGTGGCCAGAGCATTTAAACAAGCTCTCCAGAAAAAGGAATTTTTACTTGGGTTGGACGTTGGAATTCCATAACTTTATCCATGCAAGCTTCTCGGATTGGAAAATTGCTGGATCCGGAGTAGGCTGTGGGATTGTGGAATTTATTGCCATTTGATAACCAGTTTTGACTGTATACCGGCCATGGTCCGTATGGATCCACTCTAAACAGTCCTGTGCTTCGTGTCTTGCTGGATCAATAAAAATGCCATTGATGATTGAAATGATATGGTCCGGGAAAAAGTTCCTAAGAGTATTGACACGCCATTGAACTGTTGGAGTAATAAACCTGTTGACTAGGATGTTTGCGGTTGTTAGAACAGATTGGTTGCTAATCGGATTAGTAATTCCAGGAATCCAATTTGAAGATAGTATAGTATCCTTGCCAGATATAATCTTCCACCTCAAATTGTCTTGTAATAATTCTGCTCCCCAAAGAATGCTTCGAAAGCCCCAAGAAAGTTTCTTTGGCGTGTGCAAGGGAGGGAAAGTGTCACCGGGGCAATACTTTGCAGTGAAGAATCTAGCTAATAGTGAATTTGGTTCCATCATCATTTTCCAGGCATGTTTAGCTAACAAAGCTTGGTTGAACTCCTTGGTAGCCTTCAGACCCAATCCACCATGAAATTAGGATTTGGTGATCTTGTTCCAGGCACGCCAGTGAATCTTCTGTTTATTTGTGTCACCTTTCCATATAACATTAGCAATAATCTTATCCGCTTTTGTAAGAGTGTGCTGTGGAAGTCGAAAAACGCCCATGGGGTACACCAGCATGGATGAAAGTGTAGATTTAGCAAGCGTAACCCGTCCTGATAAGGAGAGTGACTTGGTTTTCCAAGACGCGAATTTGTTGCTAAGCCTGATAGTAAAATCCAGGAAAATAGTGGTCTTATGCTGTGAGAAATCCAAAGACATACCAAGGTATTTACTGTGAAAAGATCCCCGGGGGATATTGAGTGTATCATGAATCAAATCCTGCATCGCCGGTGGAGTATTTGCACTTATCAGAATTGAAGATTTCTGAAGATTTATCTTCTGACCCGAGTAAGTGGTATAATTTTCTAACAGACCAGCAAGTGCTTGAATCGCCGAAGGAGTACACTCAATGAAGAGGAGACTATCATCAGCATACATAAGGTGGCTTAATCGTGGAGCTTCTCGGCTGATCTTGACACCCAAACCAGGAAATGATTGAATTTCAGCACGAAGAGCTGAGGAAAGAACTTGTTGACACAGGATGAAAAGATAAGGAGATAGGGGACACCCTTGTCTTAGCCCCTTGTTCGGTTGAAAGGGAGGAAGATTTTCACCATTAAAAAGAATGGAGTAAGACACCGATGTAACACAATGCATTATCAGAGTCAATAGTCGGGGTGGAATTCCAGCTTTTGTAAGAACAACTTCAAGGAATGGCCAGGCAAAATGGTCATACGCTTTGCTCATGTCCAGCTTAATGGCAGCTAATCCAGAATCACCTTTTTTGTGACGCATCGTCTCAAGAACTTCGTGGGCCATCAAAATATTCTCACTGATATTCCGGCCAGGAACAAACCCCTTCTGATGATCATCAATGAGGGAATGCAGCACCTGTTTCAATCGGTTAGTGATCATTTTGGTAATGATTTTATATTTGACATTACAAAGGCTGATGGGGCGAAAATCATTCGGGGTCAAGGGAGAAGCATGTTTAGGTATCAAAGCTACGTCTGTGTGATTCCACTCCTGAGGAAAGGTCCCCGTACTAAAAGCCTGCAGTATGGAGGATTCCACCTCTTGGCCAATGATCGGTTTATAATTTTGGTAGAATCCAGCCGGTATACCATCAGGGCCTGGAGATTTCCACGGTGCCATCTGACAGATTGCCTGCCAGACTTCATCAGGTGTAAATGGAGCATCCAGAAGGCCAACTTGATTAGAGGTAAGGGATTCCTCGACATTACTTAAGAAAGAAGTAAAGAAAGAGGAGTCCAGAGAGGATTGGGAAGCTGAAGACTGTGACATATACATAGCTGAGAAGTGTGCCTGAAGCAAAGAAGCAAGTTGTCCAGAATCCTGAAACCAAGTCCCTTGGTCATCACACAGAGCCGTGATCCATTTGTTACCTTTTCGTCTAGCCGCCCAATTGTGGAAAAACTTTGTGTTTTTATCTCCCAGTTGTGACCAGTTAATTTTGGCCCTCTGTTGCCAGTATTGTTGTTGGAGGAAGAGCGCATCCTCAAGAGCAATCCGTTTGGTTTCTAAAGCCATGAGTAGATTAGAGTTAGTTTTGTCCGCCTCCCACTGTGTTTGAGCTTGACTAAGCTGTCCAGTTAATTTGTGAACTAAGGAGTCCAGATGGCCAAACTTGGATTTGCTCCACTGATGAAGTTGGGTTAGGGTTTTATGGAGTTTATAAGAAAGGGTGTCTTGTGAGTCAGGAATAGAAAGAGGGGGTGAGGACCAAGCTTGCGTTACCTGTGGAACTGAACTAGGACAAGCTGTCCAGAATTGCTCAAATTTAGGTTTTCTGCGTGGCCTATGTTTCTGGCGAATATCTACCAAGATAGGGCCATGGTCAGAGCTCACAATAGGAAGGTTTCGGATAATGGCATTCCTAAAGGTTTGAAACCACAGTTTGTTAACAAAATCTCTATCCAAACGTTCAAAAATAGCATCCGAACCTTGGCGTTTGTTTGTCCAAGTGTACCAGTAACCGAGATGCTTGAGCTCTTCCAAATCATTCGCAGAAAGGAAGTGTTGAATGGATCTGGTTTCCTACATGCTGACAGGACGACCTCCATGTTTGTCCTCCTGTTCAATGACTTGATTAAACTCACCTAATATAATACTAGAATAACAATAACCTTGGATGATTTCATTCAGGCTAGACCAAAATGATGTTCTCTGCTGCCTAGCAAGAGGACCATACACAAAAATGGCCATCCAGATTAAACCATTTGCCTCAGTGACCTTTGTAACAATCACATTAGCATCCTGGTAAACTACTGCTAGTGTAAGATTAGCTATCCAAAAGAGACCCAGGCCCCCACTACTGCCAATTGGGTCTACTATGCAACAATTATGAAAAACAGTGGACTGAAGCCAAGCTGACATAGTAGAGTTTGCAGCTTTAGTCTCCATCAAAAACAAAACACTTGGTTTATAATTTTTACTAAGCCTACTTAACATAGTTTTGGACGAGACATTATTCATGCCTCTACAATTCCAACATAAGATACTCATTGAAACAGAGGGGATTGATCTGGTTCAATCCCTGCAAAACCATTCAGTTGAATTGAGGTGGTTGCTTGCTGCTTGCCTTCCTCCCAGGCCATCTCCAAATCGTTGAAGAGACTTTGCACCTCCTCATGCATCTCCGTTTTGGACCTTCGCTTCTCTGGGCGATCCAGGTCAAGAAGAGAATCTTCTGAGTATCTTTTCCTGCTACCTGAGGAGTTGAATGAGGTGTCAGAATCCACAGAGTCATAAAAATCCTCATCTACAATCTTCATACACCATCCGTGAGTAGCAGGCTGGGTCTGGGAGCTTTGCTGAGTATTGTGTCTGGAATCTGGTAGGTCTGATTCAGAAACCGCCATCCGAGCTTGCATGAAAATTCGTCAAGGTCACTGTCAGTCTGGGAGCTTGCATCCAACAAAGACGGTGGAGCCGAATCAGAGGAGGAACTGCCACGGGAGCCTTTCTTCTTAAAATGTGCTCGCCCCTTAGGATTCTTCGACCTTGTAGCAGTCCTCCACCCCCAGCAGAGGACCTGGTGCTAAGTCTTGGCAACAGCCCAACTCCAAAATGCACAAAAACAAAATTACTAGTAACTTCATCATCTATTGCAATATGAGAATCATCACTAAGTTGAAAACCTGAAAAACCAGAAACCGGGGAGATGTCTCGATAAGGTGGATAATCAGATACATGCGGAATGATAAAATCCAGGACATAAGAAGGATTTTCCACCATAGCATCAGACGGAGGAGCATCTGGAATTTCGTAAAATGAATGCGGCATATAAAATTCACTAGCATCATCAGGGAAGGAATGTACAGAACCTTGATAAAACTCAGAAGAGTGAGAGGAGAGTGAGTGGAAACTGTCACCTGGGTCAGCAGAAAAGGAAGAATCTGTGTCTTCCCCAGTAGCAGGAGCTGCACGTCGTGAATAATCAGCCGCTACACCTGCATAAAGGCTGGATCTGCCATTCACCGGGATTGGGGGGCCATCATCATCAACAAAATTATCAGCATTTATTGCAGCCATAAACTGATCAGATCCCCCGGAGGAGGAATCATCATCATCGTTATGATTGGCATTGTCAGGGTCACTATCATCTTGATCCAAATCATCCGATTGATTGTCATAATCCTCCTCATTCTCAGCATCCGACTGATGAGCATCAGGGTTGTGTGGGGACCAGGGGTACCAAGGAACCGGAGTTTCCTCATCAGTCTCAGAGATGGTGAAACCATCCTGAATGTAATTATCCGGCACAGAGTCATAGAAATCAAGCATTGCCGCCATTTTGTATTCAGGCATTCGAGTACTACGCTGATTTACATTGCCTGATTTACATCTACTAACAAAGGGGGAATGAAACTGAGCTGCTCTGGCAGCGAAAAAGTTACTAAGAAAAGTGGTTAGAGCATCATCCTCCATAAAATAGCAGCGGATAAGTGGCTGACCCAATCTACCACATCTTTGACACAACTTATGCATCTGTTCAAACTTGCATTGGATCTTAGCCATTTTACCATTCCTTTTTGTGAAATAAAAAGAAGGAACCAAAGGGTCACCAGGTTTTATCCATACCTTTGCCCGGACATAGGTGATTTTGCGCAGAGACACACAGTCTTGTTTGATGGTTTCAACATCACCAACCCTTCTAGCTAGGTCCTCCAAGGAGCGGTAATTCATGGAAGTGATAGGCACCCCATGCAGGCAGACCCAGATGCTCATTTTCTCGATCTTGATACTTTCCAAGACCAGATCTTCATGATCATAGCATCGACGCAGTATTAGTAAGCCACCATTGACAGCGTATGGACCATTATCCAGGATAGCCAGCATTTCAGCACGATTCATAAACTTCAAGATGAAGAAGTTGCGGTCATAATGTAGGACACGAACTGTGACTGGTTAATTTGCAACCATATAGTCTTGCATGACTCTGTCATCAACCTCATAGTCTTCAATCAGATAACCTAATAGGTATAACTGCAAATTGTCTCGAGAGAGCAGGGTATGGTAATCCGTCAGTTGCATGTTGCTCGATCGGAGGAAAGGCCGAAAAATTTGCCTTGGATCTGGATCGATATGAGTTCGAAGGTCATGCCTTTCCTCTGAAAAGTTGGATCCCTGAATTGACATAGCAGTGACTGAATTTTCATCCATTGCATGTCTGTAATTCATTGTGAATAGGACAATATTTGACAGCAGCTAACGTCGGCAAGAAATCCGGATTGAAAGTGAAGTAAAGAAGAAAGAACAAAAGCAGAACACAACAAAAAGGAAGATAATGTAAGGATAAAGAATGTCTGTGGGGTGAAATTAATGGACAAGAATCCAAAGGTAATGCTCGGGAATGATTTCGGACTGTAGTATGAATAGAAAAGAAAAGGTAAAAACAAAAAAGGCGGAAGCCTTTATGTCTTAGATCTAGTAAATCAAAGCTTAGGGAAGTGAAAAGGATGGGAGGGGCTCAATAAAAGGTACAAAGGCTGATAAACAGCTTGACTTATAAAAACTAAAACCACTTTGGTAAATGAAGTGAATGTTGAACCTGTTTAGATTTAAAAAAATGGATGACAAGACTGGTAAATGCATGGCATCCAAATGGCAATTAATGGCCAAGTAAATGCATCGGTGTAGAAGGGAAAGATTTTTATATTATTAGAGAACCAAGGATAGTGGGATTAAAGGTTTTGTTCCAGAACCACAATTAGGAAAGAACTGAAGGTAATCTAACAAGGAAGAATTAAGGTTGAATTTGAGGATAATTTATCGTCAAGATGCTTTTCTCATAAAGAGAAAACAGGACATTCTCTCACTAAAATTTTTAGAGAGAAGGACGACTTTTCACTAGCCAGCTTGTTCACTACTAATCCATTTATGAAAAATACATTACTTCTAAAAATTTTCAAATGCAACCTTTATGTCACCCATAGGAGATCATACCCAAACTCTTCCTCTCTGTAACAAATCGTGAAATGTGGGATAGTGCACTGTTGGTAGTGCATACAACTGTTTATCTTCTCGAGCGTGAAGTGTAGAAATCGATAATCGATCGTTATGTTTATTGTTAGAACCTGTAATATTGGAGTTCTGCTCAATTGCTCACATTAATGATCATGTCCAATAGGGAGAAAATAGATCTCATTAACGAAATAACTAAGAAAAAACAGACAATGCAGTCTAACAATAGAGAGAAAATAGAGATGTAGCATATGACAGTAGTATCTACTGCAAGTTTTAGCCTGGCCTCATAAGCAGCAGGGTTTCATAGAGCAGTAACTGACATAAAAATAACAAAAGTGGGAACAATGGTTTACTTGAAACTGCTTCATGGTCATTGAAAACTTCGCATAGGAAGTTGTGAATAGAAATGCATTCTTTAAGGTTCCATTTTCTTACCAGTCCTAGAGCTCTTTTTCTACTTCAAGAAAAATATATACAAACTAAATAATTAACTAACGGTCTCAAAAAACAAAAATGGAACGATATAGAAGGTAATGTTCACAACTTCAGATAGCCAACTGATGTTACTTTCAACTATTTCAAAAGTTGAGCGAATCTTAAATCAATTTGATAGCCCTTTTCTTGGTTCCACAACGAGTGGCATTAGTGCAACAGTGGCTCTATGCATTAATTAGAGATTTCTCACGCAACTGACTATAAAAGCAAGGAAACAAGGTATAGTCAAACTTGCAAATGTGTTAAAGGTAATGAGCTCTGTTCAAGATAGTTACCCGCTCAAAAAAAACACCTATATCAACTTAATTGATCCCTGATTTAAATGTAGCTCAAACAAAATAATCAAGCCTTCAAGTTTTTTAGCAGCGAAATTCCTCACTAACTAAGACCGGTCTTTTGAATACTGAAAGTACAAAATCACAAATGTTCACGCAAACTCTATACTTTGTAATCTCAAAAAATAGGCAATAAAGCACTTAGCTAATTAGGCCATGTTTCAAAGTGATTGGTGCAAGTATGGAGCTTAAACAAACAACTTACTTACTTTGATGCCATCTGTTTTCCCAGATTGTCTGAGGCATACTTTGGAGACTTCTTCACAAACCCAATCTATTAAAATCACAAAACGGACAAAATTAACGAAAAGAAATGATCTTGAGACAACTTAGGCAAAGCAGTACATCACTTGAAGAAGTTTTCACAACTTTTTTTTGTCTAAAAAGGTGCAACTTGAATCCTTCAATCAACTGATTAGGTAATTCAAACACCTTGCAAACTATAAAAAACAAGCGTCCAAAAAATCAATGATAAGAACATGCATTACAACCTTCTATGTGTAGTATAACACTTTGAATAACTTAAAATCAAACATCTTGAACGCATTAAACATCATATAAGATTTCATTTCAATTTCTTTTTTGGTAAACCGAAAAGAAGCAATTTTCTACAATGAAGAATTAGATCAACTGTTATTTAATAGGGACAAGGAACTAACCTTTCCGTTTAATCCCTGATTGGCTCACCGCGCCGAAAGTAGAATGCGTTACTGTTGTCCTCACCCTTCAGTGAGGCCAAACAGGATAAATAAGGGGAAAAAAGACCCAAATTTAGGGATCAATTTCACGACAATAAGAAGCCTAAAGTTCCAACGTAAAGCACATCGGCGCAAACCATTAGCATAAAGGAACAATTCGAGCCATTGGACCGAAATTATGGTTATGTTGTTTAGGAGCAGTGGAGGAGAAACAAACGGCTTCATCATTCGAATTGGAGAACTGCCTCATAAGATTGTAGAAGAAAGTTTACGCCTCTGGAATAGAAGGGTCTCCACATAGGAAACGGCAACGGGAGATGGGGCGATTGAACTAATGGAGAGGAAAACGACAAAACAGAGGCAGGTCTAATAGGCGTATGACACGTAGTCAATTTGTACTGTCAACTTGCAGTTAACCTTGCCATGATTGTAGATTCTCCCTTTACATTATGTAGATATATATTTGATGAATGATGAATAGAAAATAGTAAAAGAAAGAGATAATGTTCAGTGCTGACACAGTATAGTACTGCCTTCCTAAACCTGAAGGCCAAGTGTTCAAAATATTTAACTCAGCAATGGCTTCCCGTCTGATTTCCGTCAGCCGGAGCTTCTTCTCCGGCAGTGCCTCACTGCATATTAGATTACAATTTCTCTCAACAAACCCTTATGTTAAATTTTCATTTCCCACTTTAGCTCCTTCCAAGAAAAGCTCCTGTGGCATCAAACACAAACATTGCCTTCCAGTTCCAACTGCAACTTACGAAGGTATATCAATTGGAATATGAACACGATCTTCATTTTTTTTTTCCTTCTTAATTTGGATTTCTGGTTTCCTGGAAACCGCTTTTATGATTGAATATTCCTTTCGAATTGGTTACAGAGTTTCCAGCTGAGTTAGCAGAAGAAGACTCCAAATTTGTTCCTCTTGAAGCTGATGCTCCAACCTATGGTCCTCCAGTAAGTTCTGGTTAGTTATTGGGTCTATTATGGCATGATAATGATTCAGTAGATTGAGTTCTTTTCTTTTCCTGTAATTGCTTCATTATCTTCTTCTGTGTGAACATGTTTTTCAATTTGATTTTGTAAGACTCATTAGTCAAATGGCCAATTAAGTTCCTGGTTTTGAACAGAACTATCACCTTCAGTCAACGTAGTCGGCGATGATTGATAAAGTTTACATCTTTTCCATTGATATATTCATGCTGAATCAGTATTCCTCTTGAATAAACAATTGCTTACATTTCATTGAACATTTGGGCTAAAGCTTACATTGGCTATATTGAATTTCACTATCTAATTGATCAATGTCTTTGGGTAATGCAACCTTTTCTGTTTGCAGGCTTTGTTGCTGTTAGGTTTCGAAGTGGAGGAAGCAGCCAAGGTAGTATACTGATTACTGAAATACAAGTGGTGTTCTTTCATTTTCTGCTACTGCCTGTCAAACGCTTGTTTTGTCATTCTAATGCCGACATTTCGAGATTAATGACTTTTCTTCTTCTCATTAATTTTATCTGATCGTGTGGCCATTTGGAAACAGAACATTCCTTGCATAGTTTTATTTTGTGACACTTCCACCTCTGAATATCTAAGAATCCCCACAGGTTTCTGGTACATGCACTAACACAAAACTAGTTGTTGAATTATGAAATCAAACAGGACTACAAATAAAGAGGTGTTGAATCATCACCGGAGCTACTAATGAAAAGAGGCTTATATTCTTTCGGCGTGTAACGGTTACAGTAGTTATGATTAATCTTCAGCACTAACCACTATGTGCTTTGCTCAATGCAGATACAGCAGTTGCTTAAGGAATTAGATGGAGAATTCCTCGAAGTAATTCTCCCTTCACTCTCTTGTATTGATGTCTTTCTTGAACTTTGGTTGTTTTCCTATCTTATGACATACATGACTTGAACCAGAAGATAACTTTGTTATAATTTAAGTTTAACCTGCTTTGGTATTTGATTGCAGATAATTTTTTGTACTGAAGACATGATAAGTCGCACTCTCTGGGAAGCTGTAAACACCAAGCAACCTAATCTTGAAGCTTCTAAGGTATGTTGCTAGTTTTTCCTCATGCCTAAGTCTTCTCCATTATGCTACCCAATGAGATCATGCCGGAGATATTGCTTTCCACAGTGATCAACCATGAAATGTGGGATTGCAAAGCATATCTTATCCATGTTTGATATTATTTGAGATGTATATGTGATGGATGTCAAACAGAAGAATTTTGACCATTAGATAGGCACCTACTTTCTAGATGTCTTGCCGCAGAAAATGGATCCTTGTGTCTTATGTCTGATGCTCATTGTGCAGATTGCAAAATCACTTCCAAGAGTTTGCTTCCTATCTGGTCTAAGTGGGGAGGAGATGATGATGTTTATTGATGCCTTTCCAGAAAGTGGTAATGTTATCAGTAGCCAACTTTCACCCTATCTGATACATAATATTATATTCACCAAGACTCTGATTCAACTGAAATTCAAAAAGCACAATACATTATGATCTTGCACGCTGCATGACCATGCCATACGTTTTTGCAGGGTTAAACATTAAGTTCTGTCAAGTTTTATGCTGGTTTTAGATCTTTGAAACTGCTATCTGTTAACTTCTGTCACGTTATCCGAATCACAATGCCATTGTTCTTGTACATTCTATTAAAAGAAAAGGAACAACATTGAAATTTGAACTTAAACGTGTTGCACTGTCTTGAATGTAGGATTGGAGCTTCCTGTTTTTGCTGCTCTTGTTCCAAATAGTGCCGATAAACCTCTGCGAGAGGTGATTGAAGAAATCATGGGAGATCATGAAATGATAGTAAGTCCGAGTATATGATTAATTAATTAAATTGTAAAGACATGTCTGCACTGGCTGCTTCATTCCATGTTTGATTTCCGAATTGGCTGTGCAGACTTCCCAGAAAACTGGTTAGATGATGATGCTAGTTGATGGATCTCTGGTTCACATTTGAAACTCCAGAGGCCTATCACAACATTGTGTTTCCCTTCCTGCCCAGGATGTGCATAAGCATCACAAGCTCAAATTTTTAGACCTGCTCAAAACAAAAGGAAAGATACAAAGGTGTGGGCGATTCACATCAGAGCTGAACGATTGCAGACTTACCACACCTATGTTACTTCTCACCTGTGTTTGGTTAGCACTGACCACAGGGGCACACCCAACATTTAACCGTGGAGCTTTTTGACTAATGTTCATTCAGTATCCCATTGACGCCGGAAAATATACTCTTTAGTATTTATGGTGTCGTGCGAGCACTCAGCTGTATCTCTATATCTAGCAATACTTACTTGCATGTTGAAGAAATATTATATCTACAATTTAAACTACTTTAATTTCTACACTGATATTATCAAATTGTCTGGCGTCTTACAAAATGAAGAGACTGAAGCTACAGCCTAAACAATAAAACATCAGAACAAACAACTCATAAATACTTTTAAGTTTTAAGAACTTCGAATTCTAATCAAAATTCATCCGATCTGCACTCATTCCGGTACACGTTTTCCATTCCCAAGTCTACAAGCTTCGGATGCATGAATCTACAAACAGAGTGGCCAACCAGCTTGCCCATTGACAGTGCACCTGAGATTTGACAAGAGAACATTTTCATCAACACAGACTAAGATACTCCAATCTAAGGATTCTTGTGAAAATAAGCAGTAGGAAAACTATGGAAAGTCCCCAACCAGAATAGATAAAATTACGTAAAAAGAGAGAAACCCCCACTGTGAAGGTTTCCAGAAATCGATAAACTTCCTTGGTGGTAAATGCACGTCAAAACAAAAGGAAACATCAAATGCAAAGTCCTACAACTACTGAACATTGCCATTCCTCAATAACTTGTAAGTATAAATTCGAATTCAACCATCAGATAACTGAATGGTAGACGTAACTGTGTTACAAACTTATTTGATACACTTGATAGTCCAATATGATACTAGTGGTTTCTCTCTTTACAGTCATTTTGTTTTGGAAACAGGGCAAAAGCAAAGATGGCTGTGCAGCTCATGAGTCCAGCTAACAGAAAAATTAAGCTTTTCTGAGATCATGGTTGCTGTAACGGAACCTAAAACCAGTCAATCAAGGGATTCAAAATTTTTGAATCACTTCTTATGGATCTGTCCTTAATCTAATATTGTGCTATATATGTGCCTCACTGGCAATAGAACCAATTAAACTTTCCAGCTGTGCTTAGAATTCCAGGTTAACTAACAAGAAACATCATAAAATTAGACATGTCTACTATTTACTATTCCAGTTGCATGATGTTCAATACTCACAACAAGATCACAACATATCGAATTTAACATTGTTTTTATCTATCTTTCATTCAAGCTTATAAACAAAGCCTGATCACAAACAGAATGGAATAGGGATCCATTTTTCCATGACATATCTGCTTATTGAATTTGACACGGAAAACTGTTTACCTTTGTTGCAATACGAAATGAAAGCAAACAAATTTAACATCAATCTACAAGGAAATGAACACACCTACATTCAAACAAAAACAATCAAAATCCAAATCGTTACTCAGAGTCACAGGAAGACAGGCCATGGTAGTACAAATGCACCTTCTAAGCAACTCACTCGAAATCTGTCTCTTCAAAGGAAGAATCAATAACCACAACACCATCCAAGAAGTACTGTCACTCATCATCCTCATCACTTTCATCGCTGAAATAACCTCTCCTCTTCTCTTTCTTATGCTTCTTAACTCCTTCATCCGCTCTCAGTAACCTATCCTCAGCCTCCTTATCAACTACTGATGCCCAATCATCAGCTTCAAAAAACCCCATTTCTTCCTCTTCGTCTTCCAGAACCTCTTCCCCTCCCCTTCCCTCCCTACGGCCCGCTCCTGTACCACCATCACCGACTTCTCTCCGCCCTCTCTTCGAAGGAGCCGGTCTTTCCCTGGGCCCCAAGGAATTCTTCGGACACTCATACGACAAATGCCCTTCTTCACCACACTCATAACACCGGCTCTTGTCCTTGTACACTTTCCTCCGGATGAACTCCGCGGCCCTTCCGTTATCAGAAGCTATCGATGCGGTCAGGATTCTTCCGTTGCATTTAACTTGGTTCATCCCTTCCACCGCTTTCTTGGCGTCTTCACGAGACACGAACAAAATAAACGCCACGCCCTTACTTTTGCGGGTAATCCGATCCTTGAGAACCGTGACCTTGGCGATCTTCCCGAATCTGGAGAAGAGTGTGTGGAGATCGGAATTCGTCAAGGTGTAGTCTAGGTTGCTAACGTAAACGGTGGATTTAGAAGGAGCTAAGCCTCCGCTTCCGCGCTTGCTGTCGCCGGAGGTTGAGGAGGATTCCGGTGCCGCTGGTGCAGTGGAGCTGTAGCGGCAGTAGAACATGTCGTCGTCGTCGTCGTCATCGTCGTTCTGGGCGCTTCGCTTTTTCTTCTGCGACATCGTTTCCGGTTAATGTTGTTGTTGTCTACCGTTTAGAGAAAAGGTGGTCTTATTGATCCGTATCTCACTCCGACGCAGGCCCATTTCGCAGTGTCATTTTGTAATTACGTTTTCACCCTCAGGAAAATACTATTCTTCACACTATCCCCCTCAACAAGTGTACATATTCGTAATTTCGAAGAATTGTACATCTTCTCCATTTCAAGAGCAGAAGTCATGGTGCACATAATAAGTTTGGTAGCGTCATGGGAGTCATTGCGTGTCTATTAGGTAGTGCTTCCATTTTTACAATCGAAGTGTGGCTTGAATATCAGCGTTGATAGTGACCAGAAGTAGAAGGCGAGGGTTTTTGCTCAGCGCTTGGTTTCATGAATTTGTCGCAACTTTATTTATTCAATCAATGAAAGGTTAGTGTTGAACTCTTGATTGTTGAAGCTTATGGTTTTTGGTCATTTGTTTTGAAGGATCAGTTCAACAACGGTTTACAAACTTAAGGGACACTTCTGAGTTGTGAGAGTTGGGTTTGGCGTGTTAAAATATAGGAACAACGTAAACACAGAGTTCTTCCAAATAGAGCTCATCCTGTAAAAGCTATTGATACAAGTAATAGGCAGTTATCGCTCAGAAGGGTGCTAATAATGATCGAACAAAATCGAAAGTGAATGGATCTCATAGTAATGAAGCACCAAACATCTGATCAAGGAATAAACCAGCCAATAAGAGACCCAAATGCTCCTATATTGGTTCGTACATGGAAGATTCTTTTTTTCAGTTTTAAGGTTATCCATTTCTAGCTTACTTGAAAAATGTCTTAAAAATTAGATCGGCTCCCATTTATTTACAAAGACCATTGCAGAGAGACCATCATCTCTGAATCACATTGAAGAAACCAAATTCTTCGGCTCGGCAGAATTTTCAGCAAGCGAGCTCTTGGTCCACCTCTTCAACATCTCCAAAGCAGCTTTTGGTTGATCCATGGGAACCATGTGTCCAGCATCATGCACCTATGAACCGTAAAAGAGACAGTGAGTGACAAAGAACTGGTTTGCTGAAAATGGACGGACTACACAAAACAAGGTGAAATGCCAAAGACATATAAGTGAAATACACCATAAGCACAAAATACACAACGAATGCACATTTCTCAATAAATGAGAGAAAAACCTTGAGAAAACTCAGAGGCCCATGCGACTTCAATAACCCAGCCTCAGAATTATCAACCACAAAGGGAACTTCGGAAGATCCTTGAAACTCCTTTTGACCACTCCATTCCATGGCATGAACCCATCTCGAATTACCTAGTCATTCATTCATCACAGTGGAATATCCGAATTTAGATTCTAACAACATAAATTACAAGGTCAAAATATTTAAACACACTTTTAAAGTAAAGCTTACCAAGCCAATTGCAGATAAGATCATATTCTCCAGCATATACAAGTAACTTTACTCCGTCCTCAAGAAGACCAGGAATGCCTACTTCAAGATTTCTCATCCAGTCAACAAGCATGGCCTGATACACACTGGTGCTACAAGAGACAAAATCTATATCCCCGACTCCCAGAGAATCTCTAACATCCTTCTGGTTCAGAAGTTTCTCCATGCTCGAAAAGTCATAGCAGAGGCTACCCTCACATTTCTTTCTGATGTCGTAATACTGAAATTTGCAACATAAATGACCAAAAGCTCCATTTATAGAATTCTTTCTCAAGCGTAAGACAAATTTATTTTGCCTAAGAGATGCTAGGGAAATAATTTTTTCCTTTTAAAAAAACACATACAGCATAGTAGTTATCGTTGCTGTAACTGTTACAGTGTAAGATAAGCCAGCAAAAAAGAACTTTGCTTACATTTATACTTCCAGCTCGGGACATGACAGCAGAGAATATGCCATTACAAACCAAATAGGAGGCCATGCAAGATATTGTACCATCAGTACCTGTAACGAAACCCTTAAGCTGAGAAATGATATTATATATGGCACATTCTTTAAGCTTTCATGTTGGATGGATATGAGCAAAAGAGATACACAAAAGTAACATTACCACAAAGCTTGATTGCTGCCTCACACACTGGAAGCACCTTATTAATACGATCATGATCAGATTTTGAAATGATACCCATGTCAAGTGCGTAATCTGTGTAAGCTCCATACTGAATTTCTGGATCAGTAAGCCCATTCCCAATGGCAAATCCCTGTATGAAAGCTTGATGTAAGATCAAATGACACCGACCCATCTCTTAAATTCACAAAAGGTAAGCAATACCTTCAGATTAATGTGGATTCCTTCCTTAGCTTTGTTTCCCTGGTGAACCCTAGCTGCAAAAGCAGGAATGTAGTGCCCAGCATATGATTCCCCAGTTATGAAGAAGTCATTCTTTGCAAGCTCCGGATGCTCGGTAAAGAAAGCCTACAAAATGCCAGCTCCTATGTGAGCATAAAAGAGCAATACATCTACCTTATGACTATTTTCAAAACATGCTTTACAGAGAACAAAAGGATCAAAAATTGTGCTCCGTATGGTTTGCATTCAAGTTGACCACATGCAAAAAACAAATACACTCTTTACTTCTTTTCCAGAAACAAAGGAAGATCAAATCTCTATATATTTTCTGATTATACTCGCCCAATATTGCCACTAAAAGTGGAAAGAATACCCTTTATCATTCATTGAAGAAAAAAAGAGGTGTCATGTCCAATCAACGAATTAATAAGTTCAAAAGACACATAACAGTCATCAAGGAAAGAAGAAAAAGAATAATTCCAAATATGCATAGGAAATGAAATTGAGAGAACTGAAACCTGTAAGAAGTCGTATAAATCATCGCTGACTCCCTTTTCATTATGGCGAATGTCATGCTTATCAGTGCTGTAGCTGAAGCCCGTCCCAATGGGCTGGTCCACATACAAAAGATTCGAGACCTGCAGAAAAAAATGAGCATGGTGTCAAAGCTCTTCCCCTCTTAATAAGAAAACATTAACCAAAAATCCTTGCAACAAAGGAATGAACACTTTCCAGATATGGATAGCAAAACTCTGCGCCAAAATGTAACAATCCAAGTATGGATATCATTGAAAAGCACGGCTCCCTCTTACACGCTATTTGTTTCCATATGAAAAACCACCTGTTCATTTAGCCTCATCATCTATTTTACTTTCAAAAGTACACTATTATTTATACTTTTAGGCTTAGCTCCATCAAGCACCATTTTTCTACAGAAATGAAAGCTAATCCTGAATACAGTCAAATCATATTTTAATTTTATTCAAGGGACAAAACTACATTTACACACCCTCCAGTACAGATGTAGTTAAAGATTTGAATGACGCGCACAACTTCACATGACGCTCCTATTTTCAACTCCGTTACCCAATCTAGGAAATTCAATTCCCTTTTTTACTTTTAAAGGAACTTGCAACCTTGTAAAGACGGCAAAAAAGGACATATAAAATTACCTTGTCCCAGCCGTATTCATTCCAGACAAGAGACATGTTCTTGGTGATTTTGAAAGGCCCATTTTCATAGAAGAGAGCCAGCTCACTGCTGCAGCCCGGACCTCCAGTCAACCAGATAACAACAGGATCATCCTTGCTGTTGCGCGATTCAAAGAAAAAGTAGAACATCCTACAGAAACCCAGCGGTGCCGGTTTAATATAGTCATGAGTGAGATCGCAATATGAGCCAGAAAAAGCTAAGACGCAATCATTGAGAGAAAACTCGAATTCATATTCCTTCACTTTGCAAACAACGAACAACTTATACTACAGTTCACTGTTCAAGGGCAGAAAGAAATTTGACCAACAAAATGGCCCACAGCTTCAAAAATAATAATAATCATAACAATTTAAAAATCGCTCAAGAAATTTCCCTAAAAACACCTTGAGAAGTAAAGTTCGCAATCTCATCCATCGTGGAATGGAGACATTTGAACGAAGAGAAAGCCAATTACAGAATAGCTAAATCACATCTAATCTTATACTATTCATCGTACACAACAAACTGTAAAACAGAACAACATCTAAGGCTCACAAAAACGAGATAGAGTTTACAAATTCAAAAAACTTGTATGCTGAATAAATAACCAACAGCTAAATTAATCAAATAACAGAAGCAAAGAACAAACCTCGCAGCATGCGAGTGCTCAATCTTGTAATAACCAGCATGGTGTCCAAGGTCCTCAACGGAAACACCATCGCCGATGAAATTGGGGAACCTCAACGGCTTCTCGACAAGTCTTTTACCATCGGAAGGCGAAGAAGACAGACGATCGGGTTCCTGAATATTGATGTGGTCTTTGGGGAACAAATTGAGCTCGTGGATCAACTTCTCGGCATGCGCTGACGGAAATTGGGCTTGAGGATGTAGCTGAAGGGAAGCATCGGAAGGGAAACAGAAGACAGCTAGGACGAAAACCACAAGAAGAGAGAGAAAACGCAAAACCTCCATTTCTTTTTGGATTGATGATTTTTTGGAGATAGGAAGAAGAGAAATGGAGGTTTCTTATAGATGAAGGGTTTTGAGAGGGGGTGTAAGTGCGTGACTGTGTGAGAGAGAAAATGGGAAAAAGGGAAAGAAACTGCTCACGAATATCGAGAGCGCATCAACGGTGAGAATATAGCGGAGGTTTGAAGAAACGGAATGTTAGTTGGAAGGAAGACTGGACAGTGGGAAAGGGTTTTTTTGCCAACCGACTGACCCGACCCGATTCCCCCCCAGAAGTGCTGAATCAGTGAAACTTTTACTGATAATAATATAGATATCTGGCGTCTTTCGGCGGGAAGAATGAGAAAATATCGGGGATTTTGGTGTTGATTTTTTGTTATGACGGTGTCCAACTGTAATTACAAAACAAAAGAGGAAAATGCATTTTTGTCTTAAAGATTATGACAAAGGAAATTCATGTAATCTACCATTCTTATATTAATGTATTTTGTTCATTCTACGGTCGTTATCTTTTCCGAGGGATCTTAAAAGTATTTGTTCGGTCTAAATTTTTACTTTTAATTCAATTTATAATAAAAATAAAAATTCAAACTAAGATAATAATTTTGAGAATCGCATAATCCAGAACTTGTGATAAAAATAATGTAAAAATTCATTTAGAGAAATATGTATGTATGTAAAATTGGTTTTGGAATTTTAGTCAGAATATATTAACGGAATTGGTTTTTTTTTCTCTTCTTTTCCCCTGTAAGAATCAAGGGAGTAAACAAGTGTCTGAATACATGAGTCATCACACTACAACCTTCTCGTATTTTTCTCATACATAAACGCACAACACCAATCAAATCACATTTTTTTTATTTATATATAAAAAGAAAATACATTCATTCAGTCGACAAGAAGATACGTCACATTGTTGCGTGAAATTCCGACTCATTTGCGTCACAAAAGGCATCTTGTGAGTGGTGATTGTCAAGGAATCTTAAATTAGCTTGGTTGCAAAGCAACAGCTGATCAAGGAAGATTTCAAAGCGTAAACAATAGACTAGTTGCAGAAGCAACCTAAATTTAGAAAAACTTATCCACATTGTTAGTATTTCTGTTAAAGTTTCCCGACCTCTCTCACATGAATAACCATTCCAACTTGCTTTCTTCTTTATTTCGTTTTCCTCACATTCTAGGATAATTTCTTTCAGAAAAGAACATTTTCATGGGCTTATTCAATTTGCTAATATGGAAGGAGAACTACATTTAGACCAACAAGAGTATTTTTAGGAACGTAACACTTTGTTTTAACTCAACCATCTACTCGCTCCGTTCCGAAATTATTATCCAATTTGAGTTTTCATTTTTAGTACAATTGAATAATAATTTGAGTTTCCAATTTGTAATAAAAATAAAAACTCACATGAGATAATAATTTTGAGACCGACGAAGTAACCAAACACATCAGCTCTAACACTTGCAACGTCCAACAGTTCGCCCACTTTTAGGGACATCGGCAGCAAGATGTGGCATTCAATACAATAGCAGCTGTCGTAACACGATTTAGCTTTGCTAATCAACATTATGGACCATCTTTTCAATAATGCCTACACATTCATCTCTCCCGATGATAAAGTATACATGTGATCCTCTAGAAGCTGCACTAATACAAATTGTGTGCATTTGAAGCTCTAAAAGATCAACAATGATAGGGGTTTCCTATAAATAATTGATACTATGATAAATTCAGGAAAAGTCAATTGTCTTGCTTTTCCCTTCCGAAGCTAATCATGGGTTATCCAAAGAAGAAACTACCCAGATAAGTGAACTAATTGGCAGCATTATGTCTAGTCAAAAAGCCCCTCATCGAGCCATATGTCGACTAAAAAGTCTACCATTTCCTGCAAAAATTCCAAATATCAATCCAATTTACATTAGCACAGTAAGAAAAAGAAGCACTTTGGGTCATTTAGTATGAAAATTGTGACACTGTAATTAACAATACATCTAAAAGATAACATAGTGTTATGCTTACAGATAATGGAATCCGTTCATGAAATGGCTCATTTGTGGACAACAGATCTTCATATGTCGTTGACCAGCTGCAATGCAAAATATATTATCAAATTTCTCTACAAACTGTCAAACTTAATTCAAAAGCAACATCTCAGGAATCAGGACAGCACTACAACCAACAAGAAGAGCTGATAGTTATTTATGCGAACACCTGAAGAAATAGCAGATACTGTTGCTTTAGATAATCCCAAGTTTTACGCAGGAAGATGATTCTTCACATTGCACAGGTCATTAATGGTCTATTACACCAAGTTTGAAAACAGATTGAAAAATGTACCACACCTATTTCCATCATGATGAACAGACACAGGCATCATTGCCATCAATGTATCATGATTGTGACAACAGGTACGGTAATTAATCAGATTATCTATTTCATCACAGTTCTAACAAATCTCATCATGCCACACATTTAAAGTACATCTCCTATGTCCAAAATAAATACATATTTTAAGATGCAGCACATGCATGCATACATGCATTCTGCTCTGATTAATTTCATTGTTTCTGGTGCTAAGGTGGAAAACTTTATCTTTACAGAAACTAAGTTCCATCTTTCCATACAATGAATCAAAGCCGAAACCCATTAAAATGCATCACATTAGAATTAACACATAAGCTAGTATCTCTAAGGTTAACTTTCATTTTTATGTTATGTAGAGCCACACTAATCCGCTTAGATACAGCATCCATGGTACAATACCACCGGTGTAACAAGAAATCAGTACAACATTGTATTTCCTTATTTGAACTAATCAACTGTGGCCAAATTTTTGCCTGTAACAATCAATCATCAGGGTCTCAGGGAAGCTTAGAGAAAATCTTCAATGAAAATTACAGCCTGTATGCTAGATAGTTGGTGGCACACTGCAGATCTGCACCCCTTGCAGATAGCCTGGCCATTGAAATTTCAATTTCACAGGATAAGATGACCCAGAGGAACATAGAACTATCTCATAAGTTGGGCTCTGGATTCACCAGAAACACTCAATAGTCAATCCCAATGAACCCGTCCCGTGTGCAACATATAAAGTAATTTCAGCATAAACATTAAAAAAAATAAAATAAAAAATTCCAGTTATCATGACAGAGAAACAACGATAAAATCCATTGCATTCATAGTATACCTTATAATTGGATCCTTCTCTACCCTTTTTGCTTTCTGATGCAGATCTCCTGTCCATTTTTTTCTGTTCTCATGCCATGCATTTGCAGCTGCAAACGAGTTTTGTGTCAAATTTTCCCAATTTTGCTAATGCATTCCAGTCAGTGAAATGGTTCAAAACTTGTTTAACAACTAATCTGCAAAAATGATTTCCTATTTGCTACAAAAATCAGAGCAGAGAGAAGGTAATAATGCAGTGCAACAAACAACTGCCATTGTCCCAAAATGTGAGGAATGGACGATCTCAATGTAATGGTCAATCAAAAGTAAAAAACACATAAGCAGAAATATGGAGGAGCTCATAACTACGTTCCTAGTTCCTACAGTAATAATAATCGCTGGGATAAGAGTTTAAGAGTTTGAATCCATCTTTTTTTAATATATATATATATATATATATATATATAGTTCCTTCAAAACTCAATATTGCTAAGATATCAATTCTTGAACAAGCAAAGGGGGTCTCCCTCTCAGTCAGCTATACAATTATGTGAGCGAAAAAAGTCACTGATTCAGAGGTAAAGAACAGAACAAACATTTAGATCTTGATAATTTAGTTACTGGGGCCAACCATAGCCATTACACATAAACTTTCAAGAAACTGGAGATTCATTAGAAAACGCACAACAAAATTCACCAAAACAAAAACAATATGGAAAAATTTAATCTGAATCGCGAGAATCAAAGACCTTTCAGATCCAGCAGTAACAAGTATAAAAATCACATCTTAATGCCTGGAGAAGGATCAATTGACTTACCATGATTAACATATACAGGAGCATTTGGGTTGTTCTCTACAGGCTTTTTAGAGTCATTATTAGTTACAAATCCTTCAAAGGATTTCTTCTCAAGGAAAAGGCAACTTCCGGCATCGACTTCCATCTTCTCGAAATTTATAAACCATTCCCTTTATACAAAGGACAGAGTTTCGAAATTAATCTGCGATCCAGTCCCAAAAGACAAAGATCGCAGAGCCTCTAGGTTTGGAAGTAAGCCTCACTCTGCATCAAAAAGAGAACACAAATGAGACGCGCCCAAAGGATTAAAAGAGATTTCAGAATGCGCATATTATAGACCATTATAGAGCTTTAATTGCTAATCATAAACCACTCGTATCCAGCCTGGACTGACCAAACTGCGGATTTCTAATTTTTACACCACATTTAATGTACTCTGCCCCAGTGAACGGCGAAAATAAAGACATTTAGTTAATTGACATATGACACGAGTGGCGCACAAAACGTTTACATGATTATTCACAAATTTTCTAGTGAAGAACGGAAACATCAAACAATATCTTCTTGATGGTTATTTAGATATGGGAAGGTAAAAATCTTTAACAGTCACAAAACTGGAGAAAACAATGTTTACAAATGGAGCAGTACAACTTGGCATAATAAAAAGCATGAGAAGGCAACGCATCAAAGTTAACAAATAAGACACCTGCCCGAATCTTAAGATAGCAAAGCAACGAACAGGTATACCAGCAACAAAATCAATGAAAAGATTACAAACCACAGTTCAGCTAATATGATCGAGGTAAGCACAAAGATATTCTGGTCCACAAACAGTTGTAGACCTATCTCTATGCATTCTGATCCTTCCCCCTTGAGAGGAAGGACACATAAAACCATGATTGATAAAGAGACCCTCTTCAAGACACCTAAACAGATGATGATCATTCATATTTAATTAAAAAAAAAAAAAAGAAGCTAATAAACAAAATTTTAATCAATCTTGGTCAGACATCCCAGTATACGCTGTCGTAATGAGCTTGCTTTGATGGTGTGACCATAAAAGTCAACTGGCATCAATCATATTGCCTCTTCTGAAGACAAACAAAGATAAAGGCAATATTCAATGTTTCTACTGTCGGGAAATGACTACATCAACAGAAGAAATTGGAGTGACAAGATTCTAAAACTTCAGAAAACTGACATTTAATCATTTGAGAATCTTTATTCTCATGATCAAATCACATATCAACACATTATCACACGAACAGCAATAATCAATACAACACTTCCAAAAACACTAAAGCAATGTAGTTATTTCATCTGCACATTGAAACATATATAAACTAATGCATCACAATGATGACCAAAATAAAAAAATAAAAATTCAAACACAATACACATAAAACCCAAAAAATTAACACAAAGAAAAACTAAAATTAAAAGAGAAATGAATAAAGAAACAGGAAATACAAAAAAGGAAGACAGAGAAGGAAGGGAAAAAAAAAAAACGTACCTGGGTTGGGCTGGAAGTTTCAAAGTGCCCAAACGAGAGAGAGGAGAGAAGAAGGAAAGTTTTAAATTGGTGGGAGAAGGGGTATTTATAGGAGGATGGGGGATTTGGCCTTGCAACTTGCTTTTTTCCTCAGCAGCATAGATTTTGACGGGATTTGTCATTTTTTGCCTCTCTGTAAAACTATTTTCCTTTTGTTTTATTTTGTTTTTTTTCCTTTTTATCTTTTTCTATTTTGATTTTCTCTATATTCGCTTTCGATGCTGATGTGGCGGGCCCACATTTGAGTTGATAAGACGAAAATGCCTGGTTGATTGACCCTAATACCCTTCACCAACCCATACAGATTTCCGAAGATTGCGTTGTCTGGGGGTTCTTTTTGGTAATTAAGGGTAGGAAAAAGATGATTCAGTACAAAGTTTCCCAATCGTGCGGTGAAAATGAGGCGCACCCATGAGGTTCACGAGTTTGGGGGGAAACCAGGAAATCTAGCCGCTCGTTTTGTAAAGTGTCGGCGGAGGTACGGAATGGATCAATCATTCAACAACTTGTAATAATAATTGCAACCAAAATAAATGCCTTTTTATGTTTCATGATTTGACTATGGTATGGAGTATGTTAAAGTTTGATTGAAAGGACTTGATTCTCTAATCTCAAGATACTCCCATAAGTGTCTTTGTGATAATAATTTTAATTAATTAATTAATATGATTATAGTGTCACGGTCTAACTATTTTCTTAGTTAAAACCGTGCGACACTAGCATTCTTGACCATTAACGATGAATGCTAGTCTAACCCTCAACACCCTCAAAAATCTTGAAAATGACTAAGTTAGAAAGTTGGAGACTTAGAGGAAAAAAAGAAAGAAAGAAAGAGGACTCAAAAGAAACTTGGGAGAACTTGAGAACTAGAATTTAACACCTTGAATTCTTCACGCTTTACAATGGGGGCCTTGGGTACTTATAGTTGGCAACCCTAAGCCCTTAAAGTTCTAGATAATTTACATGAAGTATTAAAATTCCTAAATCTAGAGAATTCCTACAACTTCTTCTACTATTCTATAATGTTCTAGAAATCTCCACAACATTCCAGATAATAACACATGATTCTACTCATATTTCTTAATATTCTACAAACCCCTAGATGGTTTTAGAACATTCTAGAATTTTCCGGTTATTGGGCTTGACCAAATACTTCTAAATGGGCCCAAGACCACTAAAGTTACTGGGGCAAATTTACTTAATAATTTGGGTCGTGCCACTCTCTCCCACCTGAATGGAGCATCGTCCTTGATGACCTGTGTCCCAACTTGTCATCTTCACGGAAGCTTTAAGCTATGACGGCGAGTCTACTACGAGACGGACAATCACGAACCAAATGAGATCCTCCACATAGAAAGCAACCCTCAAATTTTCTGGGTTTCTCCACTTTTGAATTCTCTTTGTTGGAGGCGATATTTGCTCCTTCAAATAATTTCTGATAGGAGGTCATATTATTTTCTCCACCTATATGACTAAAAAATTTCTTACTTGTGCCTTTATGGTTACTATTGTTCTGAAACTCCACAAGAGATTCTGCGACTCGCATAGCTTGTTGAACATCTCGAACATCCCTCCGTTGTAGCTCTAGTTTAGCCCAACGATTAAGGCCGTCATTAAACGTAAACAAAGCTTCTTTGGGTAAGAGAATAGGAATTTCGAGCATGAGATCAGAGAACTCTTACACATATTCCCTGATGTGGCCCTCCTTGTGGTGTAAGCAACGAAGTTTAGCTCGAGCTTCGTTTTCAGCATCAACTGGGAGGAATTGTTTCTTAAATTCCTCCTTAAATCCTTCCCAAGTGGTGAAGACCGGTCCTCCTTCACCAATCGATTTCATCATACGTTTCCACCATGATAGAGCACTATATTTTAAATAACAAGAGGTTTAATAGAGTCTTACCGAGTCGTTCGTGAAGCCCATATCGCCAAAGTACCTCTCAAGTCCGTAGAGAAAACTCTCTACATTCCTTGCCTTGCGGCTACCAATATAAACATCTGGTTTTGGGACATCGACCAATGGAGCTGGCGCTCCAACTCCGGTCGTGTCTTGAGCACATGGAGTATCTACTCGTACCTTGAGTTGCTCTATTTGAGCCCGATAACTCTCAAACTCACCCTCGAGTTTGAGCACATCACTTTGGAGCATGGTGACCTTGACTGCATTTTCCTGGCAAGCCTTAATGACCCTCTCAAATACCTTGTTGAGTGCCCTAAGCATCTCTTCACGCATCTGTTGCATGATATCTAGCAATTCACCCTTGAATTGCTCCATGCATTCCTTAGAGATAACTTCCACCGTGGAAGCATGCTCTTTCTAGCGATCACAATGGCCGGCCACGGCCAACTCCACCTTGGCAAGTCGTTTCTCAAAGTTGGCCATCGGCTTACGAGTAGCGGACTTCTTCTTGTGGGTTCCCCTTCAAGAATAAGTCCTCTCTGGCTCACAAGAAACGTGATCACCACCCTCAACCTCCACACCTTGAACAACCTCCAATGGACTAGACATGATGCACAAAATTTAATAATAAGCGGAAGCGTATGTATCAAGCCGAAGCTCTGATACCAACTGTCACAGGCTAACTATTTTCTTCATTAAAATCATGCAACACTAGCATTCTAGACCACTAACGATGAATGTTACCTTAGCATAACCCTTAACACCCTCAAAAATCTTGAAAAGGACTAAGTTGGAAAGTTAGAGGTTTAGAGGAAAGAAAGGAAGAAAGAAAGAAGACTCAAAAGAAACTTAGGAGAACTTGAGAACTAGAATTCAACAACTTGAATTCTTCATGCTTTATAAGGGGGGGCCTTGGGTATTGATAGTTGGTAACCCTAAGCCCTTAAAGTTCTAGATAATGCTATATAAAGTATTAAAAGCCCTAAATCTAGAGAATTCCTACAACTTCCTCCACTATTATAATGTTCTAGAAATCTCCACAACATTTCAGATAATAACACATGATTCTACTCATATTCCCTAATATTCTACAAACCTCTAGATGGTTTTAGGACATTCTAGAATTTTCCGGCTATTGAGCTTGACCCAATACTTCTAAATGGGCCCAAGTCCACCAAAGTTATTGGGCCAAATTTACTTAATATTTGGGTTGTGTCAATAGTAATAATGACTGAGATAAGTATGTTTATATATTTTATCTTTAGGACTCACTCCGTACGGAAATAATTATCCAATTTGGATTTTCAGTTTAGTAAAAATTGAACTAAAAATAAAATTTTAAACCAGACAATAATTTTGAAACATAAAGAATATACAAAATTATTGTTCCAATAATTTCTGGTTCCATATGAATAGATCTCTATGAGATAGTATAAAACTTATTCAACATTGTAGAAGTTAAACCCCTGTTTGATAAAATTTAATTTGGATCTAAAGTTTGACGTCTGAAGACTGAACTGTAAGTATTGAATTATTTAAGTTTGTCTTGTTTGATAAAAGTCAAAATCTGAAAACTAAAAAAAAATTGTCTGACATCTAAAATTTGCACACGGAAATCGGAAGTAATTAAGATTTTGACTTATAATTTTGTCTAAAAAATAAATGACATGTATGAAACTGTGATAAAAAAAAATAATAGTGTTGTTATGAATTCATGTAATAAGAATATTATTTTTGATTGTGTAATTATTTTATACTTAATAATAGCAAATTCTTATGGTAAATGTATAATTATCATGGAGTTCATTCATATTTTAAATTTTTATATTAAAATAAATGCCAACATATAAAAATAAAAATAATCAATATAAAACAAACACCAAGATTAATAATATGAAAAAAATAGAAGAAATAAAAATATATAAATGTAAAAAAATAAACAAGTATGAAGAGAAAAAAAAAATGTCTCAAAAATTCACTTTATATAAGCATATCACTTATTCTTAAATTTGATATTCTTAAATTCATATTTGTACTTGTTTTTCACACCCACTTAATTCATTAAGATGTCTTACTTTTAGTTACCAAATATATTTAATTTTTTAAATTCTTAATGAGTTGTTATGCGATCACCTTATCAAATTGTGTCAATCAAGCAAGAAATTAGTGTGCTTTGTTTATCAAACAACTGTCTAAATTGTGAAAATTTAATTAAAGGAGAGGATTATGAGATTAATCATTTGAAAATGCTTGTTTTATAAATGTTGTTGGTCCGTTGATAACACAACCGACCTTAGCTCAGTTGGTAGAGCGGAGGACTGTAGTAGGTGCTGTAATCCTTAGGTCGCTGGTTCGAATCCGGCAGGTCGGAATTTTTGTCTTTTTTTTTTTTTTCGGCGTCCTTCCTGTTTCGCACTCTTTATGTTCACCTTCATTTCTTGGAGAAAATTTTGCGCTACCATCTACCCTGAAGCAATTGCATCCCGAAATTCAAAAACTTCAAATTCATTGCAATCAAAAGTCTTACAAGCAACCAAATTTTTGGACTGCATCCAATCCAAACGTCAACTAAAATCCTACTTCGATTCTAAAACGAAGCAACACGCATATATCACAAGACTGATTCTATAGAGATAGCAAATTTCATAAAACAACCTAGGACACCAACAAATTAAGACATCTGAAAAGCAGCAGGGTTGATCCATCATCCATCCTCCTAGAGACTTCAGTTTAAGAGGTCTGCGTCAACACAGCAGAAACCATGGAGTTCATCCCACACATGTTGTAACCTCGGCAAAGCCGGTAGTACCCGTGTTCTCCCCACCGTTTCCCCCAAGAATTCTTGATGATCCAGTACGGTTTGTGGCCAAGTCTGAGAATCGAATACCCCCTCGACCCATAACCCACAAGCAGAACACCATGGTTGATGTACTTCTTGCCGCAAATCAGAGGACAAGACACTCCACCAATGTAGGTTTGCATGAACACTGCATTCAATCCAACTGCCAGTAAAATTGAATAAGTCAGTAAAATTGCAATATGAACAATCAACTGAAAACTGATAGGGAAGGATCTTACTTGCAAGTGGACCATTGCGGACTAAATTGACAGCAATTTGAGACTCGTCGACCGGGATGGTGGTGAAATTGCGGACTCTGACAGCAATTTTTTCAGGCTTAAATTTGCATTCTCCTTTCTTCCCAGTATAAGGATAGGTAGCTTCTTCTTCTATCCCGCCTGCCTCTATTAAATAGTTGTAAGCGTTTGTCATTAGTCCCCCATGGCACCCGGCATCGCACGAGTCTTTTTCCCGTATATCACACTTTTTAACATCCAGAACAACCCAAATCATGGAAACCCAATCAGTACTCGTCAGCTGAACCAAAGGAAATCATTCATTCTTGAGGAAACAGGAGAGGACAAACCACTAACCTGGTGATCACAATCAACAAGCTGCTGCTCACTTAAGTTGAGAAGCTTCCCTGTTGCAATAAAATGAGCTCCTTCAACGGCTCCAGTAGTGCTAAAAGCCCAACATGATCCACAACGCCCCTGTAAATCATGCATCATTTGTACAAATGCAAGGGATAATTATTTACCACTAATCCAACTTAAACTCCTGCAATCCTTAAAATTTCGACAGAAGCTTCTCATGCATCCTTAAGAAAATTAACCCCTATTGACTGGAAAAAGATTTTGGGAGAAAAATCTTTGCTAGAAATTGAAAATGAAAATACAAACTGGACAATCATTTCGGAGACATTGCTAATTGTAAATTGGGAAATTCTGGTTTCAGCAAATGAATGAGCCAAAATAATTTGAATTGAAAAAACTGATTACCAAATAAGGAAGCTAACTTTTAACGGAAGTACCACGAATTAAAGTTATATTTAATTACCTGTGTTTTGACATCAGTCACAGCACCTTTATCTCTCCAATCGAAATCTTCAGGCAATTCACTCGCATCATCTTCCGTTGCAGCAATATTACCACTGCCAAAAGCGTGACCACCCAAGTGGGTCCCAGCAGCACTGCCACCTTTAACGCCCAGGTACATACTCTCGAACTCAACCTCGGTGAGATCGGAGAACTGGGTGACGCCGTGGACGGCGGTGGGATCCATGGCCTGATGCTCCGCCGCCTTGATAAGGTTCTTAGAAAACACCCTTAATCGGTGGAGGTACTCCTGGTGGGTAGAGTAGCTTTTCCCGTACTCTTGGATGAAGGACTTGAATTTAAGCTCGGTGACTGTGCCTAAAAGATTCGAAAGAGGAGAAGATGGGAGGATATTATGAGTGTCTGTGACTTGGCGTATCAATGGGTTCTGTTCTTCCTGCAGATTTCCATGTGAGGGAACTCCTAATAAGCAAGTAGTTTGGAGGACTGCAAAAAAAACAAATGCCCATGATAGAATCAGCCCTCCGATTGCTTTCATCTTTTTTTTTTTTTTTTTTTTGAGAATTGGTGGTTTTATCCTGCTCTCTGTCTCCTGGTTTTGGGGGTGGTTTGAGGGAGGTAGAAATGGTGTGTGGAGCGGTTATTTATTATGGTGGAAGAGCAGGGGGAGCTGAAGGTGGTGGAGAGAACGATTGAAGGAACGGAGATGAAGCTAACTTTACAAATTTGCCCTTTCATATTATTTTCTTCATTCCTTTTATATGAAACTATTTAATAATTTTAATGTGCGTTTTTATTTTACGAAACTACAAAAGAATCATTTTTACATTATTATGTTTATTAAGTTTAAGAAATGAGGAGAAAAAACAAATAGCATGATGGGGTATTTTGGGCATTCGAACGAATCCTGCATGCAAAGGCTGTTCATGTTATAGAAGGACGCGTGGAGCAAATAAGATGATAGCTCAGCTTTGCATCCCACGTGTCCGGCCACATTACTAGTACCTTGGTCAGATTATTAGAAGCCGCGGTTACATTCCTTGGTCATCATTACTAGTAGCATCAAGGGCATTCCCATATTCAGTGACTCCAACTTGCCTTAATGACCAGAAAAACCCACCCAATGGAAACATTTGTTGGTTTCGAAATAATGCACCTCAATTTCCCAAAGGTTAGGAAACCTCATCAGTCACCTCCCCGCAAGTAAAACGCGGAATAGAAAGGGATACCAAATGAAGACAGCAGAATCAGTTACACATACATGCCACCACTTTCTCATCCTCCATACACTCTCTGGTAGCACCACTTTGCAACAGAAACTCTTCACCAGTAAACTTTCTAGATTCTTTAGGTTGGACAATGACGGTGGGATAGACTCCATATCACCACAAACAGCTAGATATCTCAAATCAACCAGCTGTTCTATTCCATTTTCAAAGGAGGCACCCACATTGATGGATTCAAAATCCAATACCCTCAGACGCCTGTAGTTGACAGGAATGAAGGAGAGATTATAGCGGCATCTTGCATACATATCACAAGGGGCAAAGAATAAGAGAGATCGGACAAATGGTCCCCAAGACTTTGACATGACAAAATGTTCTCGGATTCACACAAAAGAAGAATAAGGTTCATCATCAGCAGTTATTGACATGAAGAAATTTTCATGTTTAGCTGTCATCAGGCAGAAATCAAGTACCACATCATCAAGTCGACATGCTTTTCACCTTACATTTGATCTTCTGTTTGCCACCCTCACAAGGCTTCTACCCACTAGTTCATTTAAGTATTCCTCCGCAAGTCCCTCCGAGCTTTGAGACCCCAATTTTCGAATGAATCCTTCCGCAATCTCCAAGCTGGAATGTCATTGTCATCTTCCAAGTGCTGCAAAATATAGCAAGCAGGCTTTCAGATGGTCAGGTAAATGATAGTAACTGAGTTGTAATATATTCTGACATTGAGCTTCTGGATCATTTACAACCCGTGAGGTTATGTTGTTGGCAATTTGATTCCACATATCTAGGCTCTGTCCGCAAGTACTATTTAGAAGACCAGCTACTGCACTGATAGCCAGGAGCAAAGGCATCACAATCTGCTGCTGGGGAAAATTGTGAACTCCTTCACTACTTACAGTACAGAAATCTACAAGTTTCATCTCGATGTGCCTTATCTCTTCCAACAGATGATCCAGCCATAGACGTTGGCAAGCACGCTTATTTTCAGTCAACACTGAGTCGATAGCACGTTCCGTTTGATATGCCACGTCCACAGTCCGTGTAAGAAGATCAGCATGCTCCTGTTTCTCTATGCCCTCCTCAAAAACATCCAGAAATGTAGGTTTGATGAGATTGAAATCCGCACAAGATGGCTGCGATTAGGTAACTTGCATCCGCTATGGAGACAAGCTTAAGGCTAAGCAGGTCATTTGTCTTTTGAATGAGAAGTTCAATGCATGAAGCACAGACCGGGAACTCTGGAGCAGGAGGATCCATTTTCCACTGCTCAGCTTTTAGGTTTTTAAGCATTTGTTCAGAGTTGATTTGCATCAGTAGAATTAACCAGTAATGTTACAAACAATATTTAACAACGCCAGTAAGGATTTCTGTGAGTTGAACCATCATATCCTCCTTCCAATCTTGCGCTGAGAAGCCAATCCAGAGAATTCAGAATCCTTATCAAGTTTTTTTTTTTTTTTTTTAATCTGGGATTCAGAATAGTTCACATATTTCAGACCCTTCTCTAGTGAGGCGTTCCAGTCATAAGCTGCTGCCGTAGGCTCAAGTTCATGAAAGAGTCCATGGAATGTGGAGGAAACATCATCACCAATATTACTGATGAGGGAAGTCTGAGTTTATAGTTGGATCGTGGATGGCGGTACAAGTTTAACTTGAACAAACAAAATTCTTTTTTCTAAAGCAGAAGAGGGAAAAACCATACAGAATTGGCAAAAATTACATAAAATGAAAACACAAGATAAATGCAATTCCTCTACATACAAATCCAGAATTCCAAGCTCATGCCTTCCAGGGAAAGACACAGACATCAGCCTTACTAATGACAGTAGAGTTTGCACATCAAAAACTGCAAATCTTCACCAACTTAACTGACTGGAGGTGATCCCTCCAAAAATGCCCACCTAACCTAAATAAGATCACAACTGTTAATTTATATACGTCATCTACTAAGCTTTGGCTGGAATAGAATTAAACTTAACCTGAAATTCTTCAACAGGAATGAATAACAATCACTTACTTGTGAAACAGCACATCCAAAAATCGATATGTCCTTCCGTCCTTATGCGCCTGAAGAATGTGAATTGGTGATTACAATCTGGAGCCCTTCAATTCCTTCTTCGTCGATTCTTTTTACAGACTCTTCAACAGAAATTCCACAATGTTGAACTTCAATCTTCTCTAATGTTGAGATGTAGACAAAATCTGAAGGGATCTCCTCGAGCTTCACGCAATTTCGAACAATGAGCTGCTGAAGCTGAGGTAGCAAATTATCAACGGAAGCATCCCAATGGACAATATTTAGTGTCTCCAGTTTCAAGTACTTGAGATTGAGAAACTCCCCTTCTTCCATTGTCCAGGTTGACCCTTCAAATGCTTTAGAACCCAATTTCAGAACTTCCAAGTTCGGCAATCTTCCAATCACTGACATTTGGCTCCACGGCAGCCGGAAGTTTGATAACATCAACTTCTTTATGCCGGAAGGAAAGTTCAACTCGCCAGCATTGAGGACCTTTCCGTGGTATGACATATTCAGTGACTCCAACTTGCATAGTGAGCTGAATGCAGGAAATGGAGAGAAGCCTGGCGAACCACCTAATGGTTTTAAAATAATGCACCTCAATTTTCGAATGTTCGGAAACCTCATCATCATCTCATCAGTTACCTCCCCACATGTAAGACATGGAAAAGAAAGTGATACCAGACTAAGCAACTGAGAAGAATCTCCATCTTCGGCCCGTCCCCAAGTAAAGATAGCACACTTAGTTACATATATATGTCTCAGCTTTCTCATCCTCCATAAGGTCTCTGGTAACACAACTTTCCTCTTTAGACTCTTCACAAGTAAACTTTCGAGATTCTCTAGGTTGGACAGCGAGGCTGGGATAGATTCCATATCACCACAAACAGCCAGATATCTCAGATCAACGAGCAGTTCAATTCCATTTTCGAATGAGGCGCCAATGTTGATGGATTCCAAATCCAACACCCTGAGACGTCTATAGTTGATGGGAATGAAGGAGACATCATAAGGGCATCTTGGGTATATATCAGAAGTGGCAAAGAATAATAGAGATCGAACAAATGGACCAGATGACTTTGATACAGCAAAGTGTTCTCGGTTCACACAGAAACACAGCCGATATTCATTGTATGTTGTGTCGTTGGAAGTAATGAAAAGCTCAAGCGGGACATCAGGGTCTAAATCAGTAAAAGAAGAATAAGGTTCATCATCAGCAGTTATCTGCAGCAAGAAATTGTCATCTTTAGCTCTCAGCAAGCACAAATCCCGTACCACATCATGCACTCGACAAGCTTTCACCTTACCGTTCAATTTTCTTTTTGCCGCTATGACAAGATTTCTACCGACTAGGTCCATCAAGTATTCCTCAGCAAGATCCTCCAAGCTTTTAGACCCCAATTTGCTAATGAATCCTTCCGCGATCCATAACCATTGCAATCTCCAAACTGGAATTTCACTGTCCTCTCGAAATGCACCAAAATAAAGCAAACAAGCTTTCAAATGATCAGGTAAATGATTGTAGCTGAGCTCTAATATATTCCTGCATTGATCTTCTGGATCATTAACCAGCCGTGAGCTTACGTTGTTTGCAATTTGTTTCCACATATCTCGGCTCCTTCCGCAAGTCCTATTAAGAAGACCAGCTATTGCACTGATTGCCAGAGGCAATCCCTTGCAATTTATAGCAATTCGTCGACCAACTTCCAACAGCTCCAGAGGACACTCCTCTTCCTGAAAAATCTTCAACTTTAGCAAATCCCAGCTTTCTTCCTCAGAGAGTGGACGGAGAGGATGAGGATCACTAATGCTTGAAACCACGTTCTCCAGACGACTCGTTATCAAAATTCTGCTACCGTATTGGTCATTTGGAAATGAGAGCCGCAAATCATCCCATGCCTTCGTACTCCACATGTCATCCATGACTATCAGATACCTTTTTCCCTTCAACGCTTTACGCAATAAGTTTTCCAGATCATTATCATCCTTCTCGTTGATGTCATCTGTGATAGAGATAATGTGTCCCAGGAGATTAAGCAACAAGTCTCTCTTATTATATCTTTGAGATACACAGCTCCAAGCGCAAACTGGGAAGTGAGACGTCACCATTTTATCTCGGAACACATTATTCGCCAAGGTGGTTTTTCCAATTCCTGGCATTCCGACAATTGAGATGATACCCAGCTGCTTTTCATTTGAGGTGAGTCGATCAATGATCTTCTTTTTATGATCATCGAGTCCAACCATAACTTCTTCAGTTGCAGTTAGTGTGGTGGCAACCTGTGACATAATAGGCATCGCCATCAGCTGCTGGGAGACTCCTTCTCCACTGAAAGTGTTGTTCCCGTCATAATCTGCAAGCTGCATCTTTATATGCCTAGTCTCTTCCAACAGATGATCCAGCCATAACAAATGTTGCCAAGCTTCCTTCTTCTCATTCAACACTGAGCCGATGGCATGTTCCACCTGATATGCAATGTCTACAAGCAGCGTAAGAAGATCACCATGCTTCTGAATCTCGATGCCCTGCTCAAAAATCTCCCGAAATGTAGATATCATGAAAGCCAACTCTGCAGAGATGGCTGCCATTTGGAGAAATGCATATGAAATGGAGTCAAGGTTACGATTAAGCAGATCTCTCGTACTTTGTACGTGCAATTCAATGAAGCACAAACCAGGAATCTTAGGGGCACAAAATTTTGGAATTTGGAACAACCCTCTCCGTTTCACCAAATGCAAAACCCTTTCGAACAAATCAAGAAGCCGAAAATCCACGTCCTTGACTCCTTCTTCTGTGAGACTTTTATCAACAGAAAGTGTGTTACAGACAGATATTACTCCGGAAGCCACAACATCAATGTCCGTCAAGATCGGCTTCTCATCCTCTTTATTAATTACTACATCTATCAAGAAAAGGAGTCCCTTCTGAATACTTGCTAATTTGTGCTTCAGGGGGAGAAGCATCAGACTTGCAAATCTAGGCTTCAATAACTCCAAAAGGAGCTGATTTGCCCTTATTAGCAGCATGTGTACAAGAGTATTGAGAAGGAAAATGCTGACCTTGATGTAAATAACACCAGGAAGAGATGAGGACTGATAGAGAGATTCCACCTGATCAGGAACTCCTTCAATGAGCTTCAAGATCCCAGGAGATTCACCTTTTGGCCCATCTGCATAGATGGCATGACACAAATTCTGGAGAGATCTACACCCCTGACGCAGGACCTTGACATGGTTTTCCTTAGAAATTGTAAGGGTACCGTTACTGTTGAAGAAAATCTCAGTCTTAAGAGACCAAATCCTAGCCAGCGAAATCGCATATCGAGTTTTACGTGCTTCTGCATTTTGTTCTCTAATTTCTACTAGAGATCCGGCCCCCATAAGCACATTCTTGATTCCAACTCGTAAAGTCCTACACAATTCCTCTTCCATCATGCTCTGGCGTGTAAGTAGGAACAGCAATTCGTTGCGCACAAGTTCAAATTCATATCTGACACCAATTATATAACTGATAAAAGAAGAAAAGAATCTTTCCTGATGATGATGATCACATTCTCTGGAGACATCTAGAATAATGTCCTCCAGCAGCTCTGGAGTCGGAAGATCCATTTCTAACTGAGCCTCTACCAGGTACATAGAAATACTTTCAAGCTGGCTGTGAGGATTCAAGCAGCAAAAGAAATAACAGTTGGCAGCGTCGAGAAGGATTGCTCCCAAGTGAACCACCACCATATTCTCTTTTTTCCAAGGATACCATTTCTGGTAATTACCACAATAACTTGTATTGGTGGTGAGAAGCCAATCCAGAGAATTCAGAACCCGTTTCAGGATTCTTTTAAGGGGTGCACGATCATTCAGGTATTCCACACCCTTCTCTAGAGACAAACGAAAAGGATTCCAGTCGTAAGCTGCAGCCGTAGGCTCAAGTTGATGAGCGAGTGGTAGTTCGAGACTTCTATTGAAAATTTTACCACTCCCACTGATCTCTGACCTCAGAGGAGTAATCTTTTCACTCAAAGGGGTGACAATGCCATGGAGTTTTGAGTCCAACACGCTGTCATCAATTTTCTCCAAGTCGAACGATTCAGCAGTGGCATTCTTCTGGTGATCAAGATCACCATCATTGTTGAATCTGTCAATCACAGAATGCTGAAGATATCTCTTGATTTCTTTTGCAGAAGCTGCAAGATTGTTGAAGAAGGCAGCATCCCCATGATTTACTCTTCGTTTATAAAATCCTCGTGGCCTTGTGTTTTCATGGCTCCTCTTCAGCTCAAAGTAACCCAAAAAGGTTGACAGAAATCTCAGATCCCCGAAAGCACCTTGAACCTTGTACTTTGTGGTTATAGAGATACTCTGGCCAGCTATTCGCCGGAATATTATCTCCTCCGCCCTGTCGATAGTGCCAACAAAATCAAACCACTCTTGAGACATCTTCCACAACCAAAACCAAGAGAACAAGCTCTCAATTATTCAGGGGGGAGGCTGCAGAAAAGGGAAGAGATCATAGAAAGAACTAAAAGGCAAAGGTTTTCAAGTTCCATGTAGTTTTGCCTGCCAGTTTTGCTCCCACTTTATAAGTCACTTTCCTTGTCGGATGCTTTTACTTTTGTACAGATCAATCTGCGTCCACTCACCGATAGATAAACACTGTAACCAAACTTTTCACTGATTGAACCAATTATACACACAGCTCCAGTAGATTTGCGCATAATAAATATTCTTTTGTTGTCTGTGTAATAATTAGTTATTGTTCTAACCCTTTTTTCGAAGATTGATAATTTTAGTCTGCATGCCCAAAAAAGTTTAATTTATGAAGGTAGATAATATCTTCTTCGTCCCGAAATGATAGTTTGGTTTGAATTTTTATTTTTAATACAAAAATAAAAAAAATCTAAATTGGACAATCATTTTTAGAACAAAGTCAGTATAATTTTTGAAAACTCCACCAGGCAATAAACTCGTGACGGTGAATCGTTATTTGACATGTAAACTATCATGCATATGTATAATTACACATACTTTGAGAACATAATGTTTATATTTTGGCTGGGAGCCTGGGACTACAAAAAGAATATAAATAATGTTTACCGTAATCATTGAAATATTTAACAAGGACTTTTTCTGAAGTCGAAATCAAATAGCCGTTCCAAAATGTAGTGGAAACTTGCAAAGAATATCGTCTCCTACCAAAATGGTGTGAACGATAATACAGCATTATCTTCTTCTTCTTCTTCTTCTTCAAACAATATTATCATCAATCATACAAGGTAAAAATTACACAATGCAAACACAAGTTTAATGCAATTGCTACATACTGATCCGAAATCCAGAGAATCGCATCCCCATTCCCCATCAAGAGTAAAATAGAGACATACTTGCAGACTACGACAGAGACATCATCAGGCTGGTAAGTTCAGTAGACTTTGAACATTGAAACTGAACACCTTCACAAACTCAATTGCTTGAACCAATTCTTCAAGAAACCACACCTAAATTATCAAAACAAAAAAGTGAGTTCGTATTTTCTAATATTGAGTGAATCTATTCACTAGCATATGAGTTTATTAGTCATCCCAAATGAATAAGAATTACTTACTTGGGAAACAACACATCCACGGATCCATATGACATTTCTTCATTACGCTCCTACAGAATGTGAGTTGGTGATTACAATTTGGAGCCCCTCCATACCTTCCTCGATTCTTTTAACAGACTCTTCAACAGAAATTGCACATTGTTGAACCTCAATCTTCTGTAGCATCGGGATGTAGACAAAGTCAGACGGGACCTGCTCAAGCTTCGGGCAATTTCGCACAACAAGCTGCTCAAGCTTTGGCAACAAAATATCAATGGAGGCATCCCATTGGACAATATTTAGTGCGTTCAATCTCAAATATTTGAGATTGAGAAACTCCCCTTCTTCCATTGTCCAGCTTGGACCTTCAAATGCTTCAGATTCCAATTTCAGGACTTCCAGGTTCTGCAATCTTCCTATCACTGAGATTTGACTCCATGGCAGGCGGAAGTTTGATAACGTTAACTTCTTTATACGAGAAGGAACGCTCAATTTACTAGCATCAAGGTCCTTGCCATAGTATGATACATTCAGGGACTCCAATTTACATAACGACTCGAATGCAGGAAATGTAGAAGAACTCGTTGGAACACCTCTAGAGTTTAAAACCATGCACTTCAATTTTCGAAGGTTGGAAAACCTCATCATCATCTCATCAGTTGCCTCCCCACATGTAAAACATGGAAAAGAAAGAGATACCAAGCTAAGTGCCTCACAGTCGGAGGAATTTTTATCTTCGGTCAACCCCCAAGAAAAGATAGCACAATTAGTTACACGTATATGCCTCAACTTTCTCATCCTCCATATGGTCTCTGGTAACACAACTTTACTCTTCAAACTCTTCACAAGTAAACTTTCTAGATTTTCAAGGTTGGACAAAGATGGCGGGATGGACTCCATATCACTACAAACAGCTAGATATCTCAAATCAAAGAGCAGGTCTATTCCATTTTCAAAAGATGCACCAATATTGATGGATTCCAAATCTAACACCCTAAGATGGCTATAGTTAGCAGGAATAAAAGAGACATCATAAGGGCATCTAGGGTACATATCAGAAGTGGCAAAAAAATGTAGAGACCGGACAAATGGACCAGAAGGTTTCGACACAACAAAGTGTTCTCGATTCACACAAAAACAAAGTCGATACTCCTTGTAAGTTCTAGCCTCTGAAGTGATGAAAATATCAAGTGGAACATTATGGTCGACACCATTAAAAGAAGATTAAGGTTCATCATCAACAGAAATGTACAGCAAAAAATTGTCTTCTTTAGCTCTTAACAGACACAAATCACGTACCACATGATGAACTCGACATGTTTTTACCTTTCCATTTGATCTTCTTTTAGCCACTATGACAAGGCTTGCACCAATTAGATCCATTAAGTATTCCTCAGCAAGATCCTCCAAGCTCTTTGACTCTGATTTACGTACAAATCCTTCTGCGATCCACAACCACTGCAATCTCCAAACTGGAATGTCATCGTCCTCAAGAAATGCTCCAAAATAAAGTAAACAAGCTTTCAAATGATCAGGTAAATGATAGTAGCTGACCTCCAATATGTTCTTGCATTGATCTTCTGGATCATTTACAACCCGCGAGCTTACACTGTCAGCAATTTGATTCCACATATCTTGGCTCTTTCCACAAGTCCTACTAAGAAGACCAGCTATTGCATTGATTGCCAGAGGCAATCCTTTGCAATTTATTGCTATCTGTCGACCAACTTCTAACAGCTCCAGAGGACACTCTTCTTCCTGAAAAATCGTTAATTTTAGCAAATCCCAGCTTTCTTCCTCAGAGAGTGGACGGAGAGAATGAGGATAACTAATGTTGGAAACCACATTCTCGAGACGACTTGTTATCAAAATTCTGCTACCATTTGAGTCATCTGGAAATGAGAGCTGCAAATCATCCCATGCCCTTGTGCTCCACATGTCATCCATGACTATAAGGTACCTTTTTCCCTTCAACTGTTTGTACAAGAGTTCAGCTAGATCATTATCACTCTTCTCAATGATGATATCCGTGATAGAGATAATGTTACTCAAGATATCAAGCAACAAATCTCTCTTTTTATATCTTTGAGAAACACAGCTCCAAGCACGGACATCGAAGTGATACATAATAGTTTGATTGCAAAACACATTAGTTACTAAGGTGGTCTTTCCAATTCCCGGCATTCCAACAACTGAGACAGTATCTCGTTGTTTTCCCCTAGTAAGTCGATCAATTATCTCATTCTTATGATCATTAAGTCCAACCATAACTTCCTTAACCGTTGTTGTGACAGCTTTTGACGCAATAGGCATCATCATATGCTGTTGTGCTAGATTGGGGGTTCCTTCATTACTGTTACTCTCGTTATTCTCATCAAGATTTGCAATCTGAATCTTGATATGCCTAATCTCTTCAAACAGATGATCCAGCCATATAAAGTGTTCCCACTCATGATTATTTTCATTCAACACTAAGCCAATGGCGTGTTCTGTCTGATATGCCACTTCTACAAGTCGCATAAGAATATTATCCTGCTCTTCAATGCCTTCCTCAAAAACATCCCGAAATGTAGATATGATGACATCCAAATCTGCACAAATGGCTTTGATTTTGTGAGTTGCATATGCAGTGGAGTAATGGTTACGGTTAAGCAGATCTCTCGTGTTTTGAATGAGAAGTTCGATAAAGCACAAACCCGGAATCTTTGGGGCACTAAATTTTGGCAATTGGAAACACCCTCTGAGTTTTACCAAATGCAGGACCTTTTCTAACAAATTAAAAAGGCGAACGTCCATTTCCTTGACTCCTTCTTGTGTAAGACTGTCATCAAGAGAAAATGTGTTACAGACATATAGTGCCCCGGCGGCCACAACTTCACTATCTGTTAAGATTGACTTCTCATCCTCATTATCAGTTACTACATCAACCAAAAAAAGGAGTCCCTTCTGAAGACTTGCAACTTTGTGCTTCAGAGGATGCAGAAGACTAGCAAATGTGTGATCCAATAACTCCAAAAGTAGCTCATTTGCCCTTATTAGCATCATGTGCACAAGAGATTTGAGAAGGAACATGCTGACCTTGATGTTAATATCACCAGGAAGAGAAGACTGATAGAGAGATTCCACCAGATCCGGAACTCCTTCGATGACATTCAAGATCGCAGGAGACTTCTTCTCTTTTTTAATATGGAAATCACGGGATATTTCTTGGAGAAATCTACACCCCAGACGTAGTGCCTGAATATGACTATCCTTGGGGGGTATGAGGAGAGTCCCGCCACTTTTGATGAAAATCTCAGCCTTCAGAGACCAGATCTTGGCCAACAAAATTGCATAGCGAGTTAGGCGTGCCGTTGTCTTTCTAAATTTTAGAGGTCCGGCCTCCATAACTACAAATTTAAGACCAACTACTAAAATCCTACGCACATCCTCCTGCACCTCTTTCCTCGTGTCCTGGTCAGAAATCTTGATGAGACAGGTAAAGAGGGACAAGACTTCATTGTGGAGATGTTCAAGTTCTTTTCCGACACCAATCACATAATAGACAAAAGAAGATATAAATCTTTCCTGACGATGATCATAGTGTCCTAAAGAACCTAGAATAGCGTCTAGGAACTCTGGAGTCGGTGGATCCATTTCCAAGTGTGCAGCTACTATGCTCCGAGGCATCATCTCTGCGCTGTCTTCACAGGGTTCCAAGCGGTAGCAGCAATAACGTTTAGCAGCATAGAGAAGGAATCCTCCGAACTGAGGCATCATATTCTCTTTCCATTGGGACCAATTTTTGCAATCAGCCCTACTACAACTTCCTTCAGTGAGAAGCCAATCCAGAGAATGCAGCACCAGTATCATATCTCTTCTATGAGATTCAATATAGCACACATCTTCCATACCCTTTTCCAGCCAGAAACGAAAAGGGTTCCAGTCATAAGCTGCTGCTGTGGCAGCAAGTTTATACATGGGATCGAAATAAAAATGGAAGGTTGGTAAACAGTTTGGATCTGTGGCCACAAAGGATTAATCATCTCTTTTATCAAACGGGCGACAATGTGAAGCCATTTGTCCAGAGATTGAATCAGGTCCCCAACACTTGTCCATAAGTTGAACAATGTAGCTCCCAAGTTCGGTTGATCAGTGGGGTGATCATCGTTGAATCTCGTAATCACAGAATGCTGCAGGTATCGTTCTATTTCCTTTGCCGCCGTTCTGACATTGTTGAACACGGCTACATCCTCTACTTTTTTTTTGCTATCAATAAGTCCTTGCAAGTGAGTTTTATAATCAATAATTGATGATGGTGGTGATGGTGCTTTGGTATGGCGCCTCTGCAGTTCAAAGTAACCGATAAATGTAGACAGAAATCTCAGATCCTGGAAAGCTACACGGACGGCGCTCTCTGAGCTTTCACAATCATTCCGGCCAGCTATTTGCCGGAAAATTAACTCCTCCGCCCTAACGATGGTGCGAGTAAAATCAATCCATTCTTGAGACATACTCCCGCACCAGGATTAAGATTCCCTAATTAATCATATCTATTCAAAACACATAGTAATTCTTTGAGTAAGAATTTGGTGATAAGAATACCCAACTGAGTTAATAATACAACTAACATTCTAAGTCAAAACGCTTAGCGGACTAACCTGCATCGGTTTCATTGATGAAAATTGCAGCAGTATGCCCTGCCTGATGATAATTTGGGGGAAGTGGAGCTCTACTGGGAGCCTCAACAAAGGTGATCATAAGAGAATCAAGTGATGATGGAGGGTTAATTTTGGACCAGAAAATTTTAGGGTTCTTGAGCTAAGAAGAATCAACGGTCAATCTCATTATTTCTCTCTCCAAAATGATCATTAATAGAAATACTTACCCAGAGGGAACTCTCAGAAAAAAAAAAAAAAAGAAATCAGGTTTACAAAGAACCAAAGATAAACAAAGACAGTCCCTGCACTTTTAAACTATATGTACAGTCGGCCAATATTTTAGTACTTAATAACAATGAAGTCCAAAACTATCTATCTATCAACAGTGAGCTAAAAATTCACCAGAATCTCTTGCAAGGTTGTACATTCCCGACAAGCTTGAACCAGTAAGGAGATCCATCATGCCTAGCAGGCTAGCTTGTACAACAAAATTCAACTGCTACTGTGAAAGGGGGGAGGTTCAAGGTGGAATGATCATATATGTGTTTCTGGAATGTGACAGCAAAGTTGACAAACTTGTACAAATCAAAAGAACAGTAGTGTGATTCAGCAGAGATCCTTTCATTTTTCTTCGAGCAATATTATCCAGCCACTACAAAATTAGCTAGAATTTATACAAACATGCAAAGCTTCCTAAATGCAATTACATACGGGTCCAAATTCCTAACCGCAATCTAATAACTTCCTGAGTCATACACAGTCGACATAGGGCTGGTAAGTTTAATAGACTTTGCACATTGAAACTGAAAACCTTCATGAACTCAACTGCGTGGACCTCTCTTCAAGAAATCCCACCTACAATCAAAATAAAAAGTCAGTTTATAGTTGCTAATATTGGTTTCATCGGCTAAGCTTTGCCAGGAATAGAATTAAAAATTGACTGAATCTATCATCCCTAGCATATGAGTTCTTAATCAACTGGAATGTATATTAGAGTTTCTTACTTACTCGTGAAACAGCACATGACATTTTTTCCTTATGCTCTTGGAAAATGTGAGTAGCTTATCACAATTTGGAGCCCCTCAATTTCGTCCCCAATTCTTTTAACAGACTCTTCAACAGAAACTGCACACTGTTGAACCTCAATCTTCTCCAATGTTGAGATGTACACAACCTCAGATGGGATCTCCTTAAGCTTAGGGCAATTTCGGACTACAAGCTGCTCAAGCTGGGGGAACAAATCATCAATGGAGGCATCCCAATGGACGACATTCAGTGTGTCTAATCTCAAGTATTTAAGATTCAGAAACTCCCTTTCCTCCATTGTCCAGCTTGATCCTTCAAATGCTTTAGAACCCAATTTCAGGACTTCCAAGTTCTGTAATCTCCCAATCACTGAGATTTGACTCCATGGCAGCTGGAAGTTTGATAATGTTAACTTCTTTATATGGGAAGGAAAGCTCAATTCATTAGCATCGAGGACCTTGCCGTAGTATGATATATTCAGCGACTCCAATTTACATAACGACTTGAATGCAAGAAATGGAGAAGAACCCATAGAAATATCTCCTGGTTTTAAAACCATGCACTTCAGTATTCGAAGGTTGGGAAACCTCATCATCGTCTCATCAGTTACCTCCCCCCATTTGAAACATGGAAAAGAAAGTGATACCAGGCTAAGTAACTGCGAGGAGTTTTCATTTTCAGCCAACCCCCATGTGAAGACAGCACAATTAGTTACACATATATGCGTCAGCTTTCTCATCCTCCATATGGTTTCTGGCAGCACAACTTTACTCTTCAAACTCTTCACAAGTAAACTTTCCAGGTTTTGAAGGTTGGACAAGATGGCGGGATAGACTCCAAATCACCACAAACGGCAAGATACCTCAAATCAACAAGCAGTTCAATTCCATTTTCAAAGGACACACCTATATTGATGGATTCCAAATCTAACACCCTGAGACGTCTGTAGTTCACAGGAATGAAGGAGACATCATAAGGGCATCTTGGGTACATATCAGAAGGGGCAAAGACTAGTAGAGAGCGGACAAATGGTCCAGAAGGCTTCGACACAACAAAGTGCTCTCGATTTACACAAAAACACAGTCGATACTCCTCATATGTTCTTTCATTTGAAGAAGTGAAAAGGTCAAGTGGGACATTAGGGTCTAAATCAGTAAAAAAAGAATAAGGTTCATCAGCAGCAGTTATTGACAGCAAAAAGTTGTCATCTTCAGCTCTCAACAGACACAAATCACGTACCACATCATGAACTCGACAAGCTTTCACCTTCCCATCTGATCTTCTTTCTGCTACTATGACGAGACTTCTACCAACAAGATCCATCAAATATTCTTCAGCAAGATCCTCAACGCTTTTTGACTCCGATTTAGGTACAAATCCTTCTGCGACCCATAACCACAGCAATCTCGAAACTGGAATGTCCTTGTCCTCACGAAATGCTCCGAAATAGAGCAAGCAGGCTTTCAGATGGTCAGGTAAATGATAGTAGCTGAGTTCTAATATATTTTTGCACTGAGCTTCAGGATCATTAACCACTAGCGAGCTTACTTTGTCAGCAATTTGATTCCACAGGTCTGGTCTCTTTCTGCAAGACTTCTTGAGAAGACCAGCTATTGCACTGATTGCAAGCGGCAATCCCTTGCAATTTCTTGAAATTTGCCAGCCAACTTCCAATAACTCCGAAGGACAGTCATTCTTTTGAAAAATCTTTAGTTTTAGCAAATCCCAGCTTTCCTCCTCAGAGAGTGGACTAAGAGGATGAGGATCACTAATTTTTGAAACCACATTTTTGAGACGGCTCGTTATCAAAATTCTGCTCCCATTTGAGTCATCTGGAAATGAGAGACGCAAATCATCCCACGCCTCTATGCTCCACATGTCATCCATGACTATTAAGTACCTTTTTCCCTTCAACTGTTTATACAAAAGGTCTTCTAGATCTCCATCATTCTTCTCATTGATGTTATCTGTGAGAGAGATAATGTGTCTCAAGGTATCAAGCAACAAGTCTCTCTTTTTATATCTTTGCGAAACACAGCTCCAAGCACGAACGTGGAAGTGATACATAATAGTTTGATCACAGAACACATTGTTTGCCAAGGTGGTCTTTCCGATTCCTGGCATTCCAACTATTGAGATAATCTCTCGTTGTTGTTTACCTCTAGTAAGCTGATCAATTATCTCGTTTTTATGATCATTGAGTCCAACCATAACTTCTGCATTAGTAGTTGCGGTGCCAACCTGTAACATTTCAGGCATCACCATCTGCTGCTGGGGAAAGTTGTGCAGTGCACTACAGTAAGTGTTGTTCCCATCTGAATCTGCAAGCTGGATCTTGATATGCTTTGTCTCTTCCAGCAGATGATCCAGCCACACAAGATGTTGCCAAGCATCCTTATTTTCATTCAACACTGAGCCAATGGCATGTTCTGCCTGATACGCCACGTCTACAAGCTGGCTTAAAAGATCGCGGTGCTCTTGTTTCTCGATGCCCTCCTTAGAAACATCCTGAAATTTAGATACTATGGAAACCAAATTCGTGGAGATGGCTCCAATTTGGTGAGACGCATATGCTAAGGAGTCATTTTTACAGCTAAGCAGATCTTGCACATTCTGCACAAGATATTGAATGAAGCAGAAACCAGGAATCTTGGGGGCACTGAACTTAGGTATTTGGAAGACTCCTCTGAGTTTTGTCAAGTGCAGAACCTTTTCGAACAGATCAAGAAGTAGAACATCCATATCCTTGACTCCTCCTTCATCGAGCGTGTTATCAAGAGGAAATGTGTTACATACAGATATTACTCCAGCAGCCACGACTTCAATATCTGCCAGGATGGGCTTCTCATCCTCTTTATTAGTCACTAAATCTATTAAGAAAAGGAGCCCCTTCTGAAGACTTGCAAATTTGTGCTTCAAGGGGAGCATCATACTTGCAAAGTTGTTATTCAATAACTTTAACAGGAGCTCATTTGCCCTTACTAGCATCATGTGTACAAGAGACTTGAAAAGGAAAATGCTGACCTTGATGCTAATATCACCCGGAAGAGAAGACCGATAGAGAGATTCCACCTGATCAGGAACTCCTTCAATGGCCTTCAAGATCGTAGGAGATTGTGAATCTTTTCTAATATAAAAGTCATGAGATATTTCTTGCAGAAATCTACATCCTTCGCGTAGGGCCTGGACATGGTTGTCCTTAGAAAGTGTGAGGAGAGTCCCATCACTTTGGATGAAAATCTCAGCCTTAAGAGACCAAATCTTAGCCAACAAAATTGCATAGCGAGTTTGACGTGCTGTTGCCCTCCTATACTTTAGAGATCTGACCTCCATCACCACATCTTTAATACCAAAAACTAAAATGCTGCTCACATCCTCCTCCATCGTGTCTTGGTCTGGAATCTTGATTAGACATGTAAGTAGGAACCACAATTCCTTGCGAATAAGTTCAAATTCATCTTGGAGACCAATCATATAATCAACAAGAGACGATATAAATCTCTCCTGATGATGATTATCGTAGTGTCCTAAGGAACGTAGAATGATTTCCAGGAACTCTGGAGCAGGAGGATCCATTTTCAAGTGCGCCTCTAATAGGCTCCCAGCCATCTGTTCTACACTGCTTTTGCTTGATTGTTGCAAGCAGCAATAGCAATAATATTTAGCAGCGTCAAGAAGGATTCCTCCGAATTCAGCCATCATACTCTCCTTCCAAGGAGACCATTTTTGGTCATTACCACTGATACTAGCAGTGAGAAGCCAATCCAGAGAATTCAGAATCCTTATCAAGGTTTTTCTCTGGGATTCAGAATAGTTCACAAATTTAAGACTCTTCTCTAGCGAGAAACGGAAAGGGTTCCAGTCATAAGCTGCTGCTGAAGGCTCAAGTTCATCATGAAGGAGTCCACTGTGACAAAAGAAGAAGGACAGGTAGATGTAAGTACCATGGATCTCTGACCTCAAAGGAGCTATCTTTGCACTCAAAGGGGTGACAATGTGAAGCAATTTGGTGTCCAGAGAACGAAGCAGATCCATATTAGTTCTCCACAAGTTGACCAATTTAGCAGTCAACGTCCCATGATCAGGATCATCATCGTCACTGTTGAATCTGTCAATCACCTCATGCTGAAGATATCTTTGTATCTGCTTTGCTGCAGCTGCAACATTGTTGAACACGACCGCATCCGCCTCATTTAATCTTTTCCGCTCACCACCCATTGATGTTGGTGACGGTGGTTTTGTGTGACTCCTCTTCAGCTCAAAGTAGCCGATAAATGTGGACAGAAATCTGAGATCCAGGAATGCACTATGAACCTTGTCGCTTGTGGTTTCAGAGATACTCTGGTCAGATATTTGCCGGAATATTAAGTCCTCAGCCGTGTCGATATCGCGAACAAAATCAATCCAATCTTGAGACATCTTCACCACCCAAAAAGAGAGAAAGGCTTTCAATTTCAGGGACAGCTAAAGGGAAAGAAAGAAAGAGAACAATGTGAATGGAAAGGAAGGAAGGTCAAACTACATCTACATGCACAACACAACCAAACCTTCATTAAGAAGAGAAAAGAATAAAAAAAATAGGAAGCAATCAGGCATGGCAGATAACGGAAACTTCAAAGCACATGATTCACGGGGTCAGGATTTGCGTATCAGTCCGATTGGGTTTAATACTACTAAATTTCAAGATTCTACAACAACAGCAATAAAAGTCCAAAAGCGTTGTTCTAAGAATTAACAAGCATCCCTTTTCTTGGATTTCAAACACCAATGTGGAATTACCAGCAGCTTCTTGCTTGTCTACTGTTTTCGAGCAACGGGATCGGATAGTACTGTGATATCAACGCATGTCGGCATGTGCTTTGTCATCGGATGCTCCTGAAGGGAACCCATTCTTTATAGCGCATTGCATCATTTCTTTTGCGCATAGTCTCAAACAGTTTGTGGCTGTGCCACTTTTTAACCTTTACTTTCCATCCCATGATGTGGGCTAGCTGCTTTTTAGATTGAACAGCATCCAGTTAATTAAAAGCTTTTCCAGTTTTCCATGATCAAATAATACACCCAGTTCATGAGCTTCACTTTTACTGTAAGATTAACGCAGCAGTACCTTTTTTTAAAATGCCAGGTTTTCAAGTGATGATGAATTGATGATTGATGAGATCATCAGCTCGCTGCAATTGATGATGATGTGCCACTTTGAGCAGAATAACTAAACTCAAGCCACCTCACAGAAAATGAAGTTCCAACTTCTGGGTTTTTTTATTTGCTTTTATAACAAAGAATTCCAAACCGACACATTCACACATATTAGTTCACTCTGAGGAATATTGAATCCTGAGTTAATTTGGCTGAAAAGTCTAAGCTCGTGCTGGCGGGAGACAACAAATTGGAGAATCCCACGTTGTTGCTAACTTGGAGTGTGATGTAAATTAATGTGTGGGTTAGTTAAATTTGGTTAAACTAATAAATAATACCAAAACATTTCGTCAACTCCACTTTTGGTTACCGTAATGTTGGAATTTGTGGCCTGTTGGCTTCCTAAAAGTGTAGTGTTAAACCTTATTCGCTGCTTCATCAACAAAATTGGGGAGAAAATTAACAAACCCACACTGCTTGATCTAGATGGCAGTTGTACAAAATTAGAAAAGATAAGCAGCAGTAGTAAAAAATTAGTTTTAATAGAATTATTAGTAAAGATGTAAAACTTATGTTGAAGGATAATATGGGTACTTGGAAAAAAAATCGACTCTCAGTTTATCAATTCCCTATTACTAAACTCGCGTCAAATTCATTAGAAATGATTTGTTGAATGATAGTCTTTCATAAAATCATCCCAATCCAGTTAATTAGTCTACACAATAATGGTGTCAAAATTTAGGCAAATTTACATTGGTAATTAAAAAAAAAAGAAAAAGTTTAAATTTGCATCCTGTACTGCTCCAAAGTCTTCAAACCATGCACAGTTTTATAGCACGAGAGATGAATTATCCTTCTGTTTTTAAGAGAATTTTTTTTTTCAAGGGGAAAAAAAACAGAGAGAGAATCCATAATATCGTAGAATCCATTGCACATTATTAGTATCTCGTTTCGAAGTTATACAACTTCTACGTAAAAATGTAAAAGATACTATCTTCGTCTCTTAATATAAAATTTAGTGATTCTTATTTTAAGATAGAAATGGATACATTTTTTTTTACCTATAAAAATTCCATCAAAACATCTGAATTCTTTTATAAATTACAGAGTATATTCATTTAAATAGAGAGAAAAAATTTACTCTGCAATCTTTTTTCTTAAATTGGGTAATTATAAAATTTTTTGTCTGAATTTAATTGAGGCACTTAACTTTACGTGGCTCTTTTCTCTTGTATAGTTGTATTCCAACCTTTGATTTAGGAGTAATTATATCGTACAACATAATTCACAATGTTTGATGAACTGGTTTATTATTTACACACGTTCCTATAATTTTGGTTTTTATCACTCCCTTATCTCTTCAATCAGATTCTTTTTATTTATTTAAAATTCATAACTAATCAAATCCAAACAAACTACAATTCAAATTGTATCCAAATTTTACGGTAACAAACAATACAATCCTAACAAGAAACAAATTCAATCACAACTAGAGTCATATAATAAAAATAAAATTACACACTACCACATAAAAATACTTAATAAACTGTAAACAAATAATACAAATAATAATGTTCATGACTTAAAGTGTAAATATATAAAACAAAACATATTAAATTTCATGATAGCCATATTAAAAATTCATGACAATTCTGTGTTGCATACAATAAAAATTCATGGTAATATTTATAAGTATCATGATTAATGATTTCAATAATCATGAAATTAATTTATAATATTCGTAACAAATATGCACAATGTTTATACTTTATAATACGGTATTATACAACATTCATACATCGCAAATGTAATATTCAAGATAAATATGCACAAAATTCATACATTCGTAATAAATAATACTATTTTTCTCCTAAGATGTTCAAACTTATATAACGAAAAAAAAAATTATGAATGCGAAATGCGTTTTTCATGGTGTATTAATCTAAAGTTCATAACTAATAGCATATTGTAATAATAATAAAATAATATTCATGATCATATTATGCTATATTCATGAAAATTTTCAAATAATGTTCATAATTACATTCACAATTTGTAATATGTTCATGACCCTATTATGTTCATGATAAATATAGTCAGTATTCATACATCACAAATGTCATATTCATGATAAGTTTACATCATATTCATACATTCAATAAAATAAGAACAAGAATCAGACTTGTGTGTTCAATATGAAACCTATTTAAAGAAAAGTTCATGAATGAATAATATAGACAAGCGTGTTCATGATATTAAAAATTATTCTTTAATATACAAGTAGACGTTCATCGAAAACTCTATTGTTTTCAAACTTTTTAAATGTAAACTCAACAGTACTAGAATCATATGGAGAAATTTCATTTTCATGAACGGATGTTAATTGAAGTTATTGGGGACAATACATCATCTTCAATGCGTATCAATTGAAGTTGTGCCAAATCATCATCGTTGGTTTCATGCGTGAAAATTGCAATCTATCTTGGTGAATCCATTGTTAGTGTTTTCGTTTAAGTGCTCGTCACTGCCACCTCCTTGATAGACTTCTAAAATATCATCGTTCATAGTAAACGACATCAAAAGGATTTGATTCAAATCAAAACTCAGTATTACAATTCTTAATATTTTTTTTAAGCTGAATGAAAGATAATTTGCATATAATTTTTAATTTCTGCTTTATTTTATAGATGAAAAGTTAAGTAAACCGCCAAATAGTGTTGATAAGATACTAGATTTTCAGTTTTGATTTTTTAGATACGAGATCAATAAGGGAACAAAAATCAATTATATTGATGTGCACGGTTGTTATAATAAAAATTAATTGAAATTTAACTTATTTTTTAAAGCATGTAATACAATTCCTAAAATAAGTTTATCATTTATTGTGAACATAGTTTATCATATAAATTGCCTTGATTTAGGGTCGTATTAACTATAATTCTCATATTTACGAAGTCAAAAGAAGCTTACGTGGTTCATATTATATTCAAAATCCAAAACGTGACATATCAATTGTACGATCCTAAAATTAAAAATCTCAGTTCTAATCCTTAACGCACAGCCACCCAGCCCCACTTTCTGCTAAAAATATGCTTTGATCTAAAATCTGTAATTTTTACCAAAATTATCCAAAAGAATATTTCCCTTTCCACTTTCGTAATAATATGCTATCGTATTAGGCCATCGGTGCCCTACTAAGTCGGATACGAATTGGTCTGAAGAAGTAGTAGTAATATTTAGACAAATTTTTTAGTTTACGATTATGGTAATAAAATCAGTAGTACATTTTCGAAGTGTAAATTAAAATGATGATTCACATTTTCCAAAAAAAACCTTTTGCATAATAATAATGCTAAAAATACCAAAATTTGCAGAACCAACCAACAAATGCCACGTTATGAATTTGATGATGAGTAACGCCAAAAGAAAAGCACTAAAGTGTAAAACTGGGTTAAAAAAAAAAAGTGTAGTGAGAGAAGAACAGAGTTTCCTTTTCTCTGTCGTTTTTCCTTTTCCCCTCACTCTCCTTGTGAGGATCTTCCCAAAATTTACTGAAATTTTCACAGCGCTTTGGATATTTGAGAGCCCTTTTATCCGTTTGGAACGTCCCTACTGTTTTCTTTATCTGTTTTTGTTTTAACATTGCTAAATACCTCCCTCCCCTGTTCCACTGGAACCAACGTGTGAACTGAAACATAGCTAGAATCAGGGAGAAATGGGGATTATCTATGAAGATGTTGTTGTGATAAAGGAAGCAGAAAGTCCAGGGGATCAAACTAAGATCAGTGTGAATTGTCCGGACAAAACTGGGCTGGGTTGTGATCTCTGTCGGATAATCTTGCTCTTTGGACTCAGCATTGTCAGAGGAGGTACAGTCTTTGTTTATACTGCTTCTCTTCTTGGCTATCTTTCATATGAATTGTTAATATTCCTGCGTAAACGAATGATGGGTTGGGATTATTTCTGAAAGTTTAGGTCTTTTTTCCTCAAAGTTTTCGCTTTTGTTATTAAGAATTCCATAAGGATTTGAAGGATTTGGTTGAGAAATTATAGACATTTATTTCAAAAAATTCATTTGGGAGTCTAATTTTTTGAATTTTCCTCAACCTTTTTCATTGATTCGTAGACACTTAGACCCCTGTTCGCATGTACGGAAATATATCTTTCTTTTGGTGGTTTCCTTGGATTCTTCTATCCTGATGTAAGTAGATGGCTTGGCTTACGGGCAAAGTTAGGGCTGATTCTTATCCAATGTTTCTCTGGACTATCTGCTGATCAGTACATTATTGATACTTAAGTATACTCCAAGATGTGCTCATGCTGAACCTTCAATTAATGTACATCTGATGGTAATTTGGGAGTTTGATGTTTACAGTTTAGTTTGATCGAGGATGTATCTCCATTTACGGCAATTCAAATTTGTCATTGATCATAGCTTTTGCCTTAAACAGGAGGACTGGAATTTAAATTTTACATCTTTATTTTTTGTTATTTGCTGTGAAACAGATGTCCAAACAGATGGCAAATGGTGTTACTTAGTTTTCTGGGTAGTTGGTAAGCCAACAACGAGATGGAATTTACTGAAGAAGAGACTTCTAGAGGTATGCCCAACATGTACGGCTGCAGCATCTGGAATTTATTATTACAGGCCAGAATTTCAAGATCCTCGGCCTCCAGATGTATTCCTCTTGAAGTTTTGGTGTTCCTATGACCGCAAAGGCCTTTTACATGGTACTAAATATTGATCGTTTACAAATATTAGAGTACAAGTATCAGCATTTAAATAGTAGATTCTATATCTAGTAATATAAAACATGGTCTAGTAATCATCTGATCCCGTTATGTGATTGCGTCTTTAGTGGTTTCTTCTTTTTAGTTATCCTCTAGAAGAATCATGGCCTTCATATTATATAGGCACATTAAAAAAAAAGAAGAAAATATTAAAAAAGAAACTATTACAGTTTTCAAATAGAGCAGCTTAGCTCTCTTAGCTACCTAGTATGTCATACAGAGTTCGGTAGCAAGGTGGGACATATGAAGAAGTTTACCTGTGTCTTATCTCTTGTATATAACATGATATAAGTTAGTTGATTATTCTCCAGATGTAACCCAGGCTCTTTATGAGCTAGAGCTCACAATCAAAAGAGTCAAGATATCCACTGCCCCAGATGGAAGAGTCATGGACCTTTTCTTTGTAACGGACACCAGGTTGTTCTCTTGTCACATTCTTAATGTACTTTGGACTTCACCTCCTTAATTCTGTTTTGATACTTTGATCCTTTCCTGAAAATGGGGATAAAGAGTACTAAGTTATTAAGCATTAAACATAACATCTATAAAAGGCACATCCTCAATCTCTGTATTTGAAGGAGGAAATGCTTAAACAAGAAGATATATTTTTCCTTATTATGGAAATGTTATGGGTAGAACTGGTTCTCCTTTTTCGAAATGGTGAAAGTTTGATATAGTCTTGGAAGCTGAGTTGGACATGATAAAATCTCAGCTTCAACTTTGAAAAGCAGAAGACAACAGTTAGGCAGCTATACTGTCAGCTTTGTACTTTTCAGCAGTCAGTCTTTGGGTGATAGCTGTTAATTTAGTGACTTATTGACAATGGTTGGGTTATGTGAGCTATCATGTATGCGCATCCCCATGTTTAGTTAAAACATCATGTGATCACTGTTATATTAGTTAGATCTGTTTTGGTGTTGGCCAATTATAAAAGACAGTTAAACATGCTGATCACCTGCTATGTCTATGGTCAATTATAAAAGACAGTTGAACATGCTGATCATCTGCTATGTCTCTTCGATAACGACTGTTACCAAATTGTATCTGACTAAACTGATGAAACAGTTGTGATTACTATATTGCAGTCTTGAAATTTTTGCTTTGTGTAGATCATCTATGGAATCGAATTAAGCTGTTTAGGCTTCTGTGAACTGTGAACATCTTAGCTGAATGTATTTAGATTCATTTAATGCCATGGTATTTCTCTCAAGTTCTGTTTTGGTAACTCCTTGAATAAAGCAACCCTGTACTCTTTGAAGTTTAACAAGATGTCAATAGGTTGGGCTTAAGATCTTTTAGTATTAAAGCACACAAATTTCCTGAAATTCTATTGACTTTAGTCGTGAATGTCTTCCGCACCAGGATACATGCATATCTGTGCGTGCTACGAGCACATTTAGTCTGTTGGCATCACATGAAAGAAATGAGAGGAACAGGAATTGATGGACAAAGTGAATTTAGCATTATGGCAGTAACCTAATGATGAAACTTGCCATTGAGATGGAAATAAAATTCAAAAAAAGAGAGAACTTTTCAAGAGCTTCATATCACTTACATGTCGAATGTACATTTTTGGAATCTGTTTTAGATCAATGTGGAGATTTTGTTTGGACTCCAAGTTCTGAACCATGAAGTCAAAACAGTAGTTCTTTTGTCTTAGTTGAGATGTCAATACTAATATATTCAAGTCAAAATACAGCCTTAGTATTTCTCGCTTCATCATTTATTTATTTGATGAACAACTATTATTCTTAAAATTTGAGGTGCTGTTGTGAATTGACTCTGATATTACTGAAGTCTAGGATCCTGGTTGCTCCAGAATTAATACATTTCCATACTCCGGAGGATAAATTCCTCATTCTAGTAGCTTGTTATGCAATTTGGAGACGAGTCTCTGACTGCCCTCTTATTTTTACATGCACCATTTATATAGTCGTATGAGTCAGAGTAGTTGATTACGGGGCTGGATGTCGTTACTTTTGATATTGAAGTTTATCTCTACCTTTTGCTAAATGTTTACATCTCTTCAAAATCAGGGAACTTCTTCATACCGAAAAGAGGCGGAATGAGGCAATTGATCATCTGAAATCTGCGTTAGGAGATGCAATGGTCAATTGTGAAATTGAACCAGCCATTCCTGAGCTCACTGCATGCTCTCAATCTTTTCTTCCACCTTCAGTCACTGAAGATATGTTTAAGCTGGAGATGCCTGAAGTTCTTGCATCCAGTTCTGTTTCTATTGAGGTGGACAATTTCCTCAGCCCATCCCATACCCTTGTTCGAGTCTTTTGTCAAGATCACAAGGGTATAGTCTATGACATCATGAGGACACTAAAAGATTATAACATTCAGGTACCATTGTTACTATCCATAATACATAGAGAATAACTGTCACTTTCTGAATGATAAATACAAGAAAAATTTTAATTTGACCGGGTGCTTTTCATGTGCTGTCAGATATCTTACGGCCGCTTCTTTGCAAGCCCGAAAAGAAACTGTGAGGTGGACGTATTCATTATGCAAGCTGATGGGAAGAAGATAATTGATCCACACAAGCAGAATGCTCTATGTTCCCGGTTGAGGATGGAGCTTATTCATCCACTTAGAGTGGAGGTGATAAACCGTGGTCCTGATACTGAGCTCCTGGTAGCTAATCCTGTGGAGTTATCTGGAAGAGGACGCCCTATGGTTTTCTATGATATAACCTTAGCCCTCAAGATTCTGAACCTGCGCATTTTTTCGGTACTACATCCATATTTTCTTCTGGTCCATTTGTTGCTTAGTTTCTTTTCCATGAGATCATCGACGTAACTTCGCCCCCATTCATTTCTTTCAGGTGGAGATAGGAAGACACAGAATCCACGACCGCGAGTGGGAAGTATACAGAGTACTCCTGGATGAATGGGACGGATGCTCTTTGCGGAGGAATGAGATAAAAGAGTGTGTTCGGAGGAAGTTGATGGTCTGGGAATGAAGATGGCCAGCTACATATATTTTACAGTCTAAACCCCTGATATGATATAATTGTACAGCATTACACCCCCTCCTCATCTTACATTTTGGTTCACAGTTGTACTCACTGGCTCACTACCATAATTGTAAATTGTCAATGTAAAAGAAAATATAGTAAATATTACTACCAGCTTTCATCTCATAGAACTTGCCTCCCTTACACTCAAGCGAGGCTCTTTGTATGACTCTGCGCGAAAAGTTTTTTTTTGGGTTAAAAGTACCTGTTTCATTACGGTAAAGGTACTAATTTATTACATTACATACGGTTAAAAGCTAGATTATGCATATCTAGTACATCTCGTCTGCTTACTTTAGTAATTGTACAAAAAGTAAATGACGAAATTAAAGTATTTAATAATGAAAGGATTTCTCGAGAATCGGATGGCATTAAAGGGGATTGCAAATTTTGCGACAGAACTTCACAATCAGTGAAAACCTGAAACCGGATGCGTGAAATGTTAAGAGATTGATAAAATCCCAATCTAATACGATCATAGGAACGAGAAATGAGATTTTTTTGGTTGATGTGAATACCAATAGGGATGCCAACCAACCAATATTGCCATTTCTTCATTAGTTTGGTTGATGTCATATTGTCTTAGCAACCAATATTGAAGATTTTTTGGTCATTCTAAACAAATCTAGCAAAAACAGGAAGCTATTGAAAAAGAGAAGCAAACTCGTTTAGATGATGTGTGGTGGCAGAATTAGGCAATTTCCACGTGGTGAGCTGCATGTGGTCAGTTTGAATGGTCGTTAGCGGTTTACTATTTGTGTTTCTCTTACAGTGGAACCCACTCTTTCTCCAATGCCATGGGAGATACCAACGAATCTTCCCTCCATCTCTCATCTTTTTTGCGTCCTTCTTTCTTCTTCTTCTTCCCTCCAAATAGAGAGATCTCAGACATCCCACTTCCTTCAAGGTTTTCCAATTCAGCTAAGAACCGGGGAGCCCTTTTGTAAATATTTAGGAGCTTTTGTGATTGATTGATTTATTCATCTGGGGTGGGTTTTGAATCGTTTGATACTGAGAATTGGGTGGAAGAGAATGAGAGTTCTGAAATCACAGTTTGAGCTAACTGAAATTCGCAGCTCATGGCACTCAGTGAACCAGATACCCATCTCTTCCTTTGCCTATCTTCGCAAGTCCAGGTCTGCAGCTTCTGCTCTCTCTGCGGCACTTCGTCGAACACGACGTGGGCGAGGGAGGATTGCGTCGACCACCAATCCGGCAGCGTCGGTCCGGTCGCCGGAAATCAGGAGGCCGCTTGATAGGTCCGGTCCTGGGAATGGGTTGTCATTTGTTCCTTCGAATCCGCCTTCTACTTCGACTTCTGGGGATGAGGCGGTTTCCGATATGGACCTGTTCCTTGAATTAGTGCCGTTGAGGATGAGGAGCGAACTCTTCAGCCATCAGGAGATCGGAGAGTTGATTGAGGTGGTCTTGGATTTGGGCAGAAAGCCTCTAGCTCGTTTCCCTTCCGGAGATTGGGTTATGTCGGAACAACCTGTGAAGTTGGAGGATCTGCAACATGCTATCTCAAAGGTTCCTTTTTCTGGCCTCTGGATTTTGTGTTATATTTTCTAAATTTGACAAATAAATTTGGAATTTTCAGAGTCTAGATGCACAGAGACACTTCAGTAATGAATTCGAAAATTAAACTTGACTCGCAGAGTTAAACCACAAGCTTTTTGGACTTTTAAGGGTTAATAACAAACCAAGATGTCAATTTATTGCATTGAACTAGTAAAACATACTCGTATATAATCTGAAGTTCTGAACAATTGACATAATTCCTGTCACATTGATGATATAAACAGAGTGGTGCATACATGCAAAACTTGTTTAGTCTGTTGAATTTCATTGATTAGCTTTCTATCTTCAGATTGGTGATTTTTCGGATGACAACCGGTCTGGTATCGATCGCTCCCTGCATCGCATTAGTGCTATCCGAAACCGTAAAATGCAAGTAATAGGTCTTACTTGCAGAGTTGGTCGATCGGTATCTGGAAGTGCTGAAATGATTCGAGATTTGGTTGAAGAGGGAGGTTCCATATTGGTTATAGGCCCCCCGGGAGTGGGCAAAACAACCTTAATCAGGTATTGCTGCATGGTATAGAATTTCACTATAAACCGAAGTACTATGATTTATAACCTGTGCAAGTGCCGCATATTTTCTGTAATCTTGGCATTCTAATATTAGTCTGCTTTCCACATCCTTAGCTATGACAAGTAGCTTGAAGATTCTCATGATCACAAGAACTGAAGTAAAATTGGTTAAGTTTGACGGTCTCAATAGATCAGATCATGTGTCCAAACTTCTCATCCCAGGAGGAAAACAATTCATCACACTTCCAATCTTGCAGGGAAATAGCAAGAATACTGGCAGATGACCAGAACAAACGTGTAGTTATTGTTGATACATCAAATGAGATTGGTGGTGATGGCGATGTTCCTCATTCTGGAATTGGACGTGCCAGAAGGATGCAAGTCCCAAATGTTAACATGCAGCATAATGTGAGTGATGCAAGGCTTGGGGACTTCAATCTTGTATTATAAACCCATAATTCTGATTAACCAAAAAAAACCCATTATTCAGCCCTTTGTTGTTTTTTCTTCTAATTCTGTAGAGTTTCTGAACCTGAATAAAAAAAATAGGTGATGATTGAGGCAGTAGAAAATCACATGCCACAAACCATTATAATTGATGAAATTGGAACTGAGCTTGAAGCTCTGGCTGCAAGTACAATTGCCCAGAGAGGAGTCCAGCTTGTTGCAACAGCACATGGAGTGACTATCGAGAGTATAATAAAGAATCCGTCGCTGCAAATTCTTGTAGGTGGCATTGAGGTAATAAGGGAACTCTACTTAATAATTTTCATCCTCAGGTTTTCAGTTGTTTTACGTGTAGTTATGTATGTTTAGGACAATTTCATTTTGATTTGCTTTGTAGCTATTTTGCTTCACATTTTTTATTTTTCTTATTGTGATGGTCATGAGATATAATTTGCTAACGTTGAACACCCTCCAGATTGTCGCTATCTTAAAATTTGCTGATCAATGATTAATATGAATTTATTGTTTGATAACAGAGTGTGACTCTAGGCGATGAGGAAGCGAGGAAAAGGAAAGTCCAGAAAACAATTCTTGAGAGGAAAGGGCCTCCTACATTTACGTGTGCAGTAGAGATGATATCAAGAACAGAGTGCAGGGTTCATCACAGACTGGATGCAACAGTAGATGCCATACTTGCTGGTACCATCTGATTCTGTTGTAGATTTTTTAACTTGCACATCAAAGTTTATGACGTCCTAGTCAGTTTCTCGAATTCATGACGATTGGGTTTGATCTGTAGGGAAGTCTCCTCTCTTTGAACTACGCCGTTCAGATGAAGATTGTGATTCTTTAAAATCGTCCGCAAGCTCTGAAAAGGATTTAGTAGAGGACTCCAAGTTGATAAATGATCAAGATGAAAAAGTTGAATCAGATTCTGGAGACGAAGTCGGAGATTATCTACGAATGTACAGGAAAGTGGACAGTTACAGATATCTTAATAAAAGAGATTCTCCTGTCCGTATATACACTTTCAAGGTACGTTCCCAGGCTTGAGCCCTTGATTTATTTAGTCGTACTATCAAATATTGTTCTGGTAAAGTATCAAAGGCGCAATGAATAGTTTTGGTCGTTTGAAATAGTTATCAGTCCTTGATTTCAAATCTAAGTCCTAAATCATGTTATATGAGAATTTCACAGGTAATATTAGTTCATAGACTAAAGTTCTAGGGGAGGCTATTTGGATAAAGAACATTAAATCATCTTTCTGTCTTGTAGATCCAGGAAACTGATCTGCTTCAGGTAGCAGCTGTAATGGGTCTTGTTGATGAAATAGATGTCACTGGCGACATTGGTGCGGCCGATGCTATTTTAGCCTCTAGTTCTGAAATGAAGCAGAATCCTTGGATCCGCGGTATTGCCAAGTTCCACAAGATACCCATATTTGTTATTAAGGTGAGCTTAGGGTGCCTTTCTCTTACTTTCTCCTTCCGAGGTCTATAATATCATATACTCATACAATTTATTTTCATCATTGGTGTGGATTTACAGTCAAATACAATGGCTCAAATTGTGAAGGCTATCCGTATGATCCTTCGAATGGATTCTTTTAGTTCTAAAACAAATGAACTGGTCAATGACTCTCTAGATATTGAAATTGAAGATGATGCTCCAAAAAGAAAACCATCACTGGAGGAAATCGATGCATTGGAGGTGTGACTGTTTTCTTTTATTATCAGTTTCAAGTATGTCTTGCCAGATTTCATTTCCTTTCACACAGTTGCCTGCTTGACTGATCTGTTCCTTTTGTTCTGGCAGGAGGTGCGACTTGCAATCGAGTACATTGTGATACCAGGTGGTGAACCTGTAGAACTTCTTCCAAGGCGCTCTGAGATTGTTGCGCTACAATTGGAGCTTGTGCAAAGTTATCAGTTGTCTGCTGAGAACTCAGGAACAGAGTTAAACCCAAGGTTACAAATTCTTCCTCAAAAGCTAAATAAGAGTACTTCAAAATCCTCCAAATCTCCTGCAAAAGACACCAACTTTAATTACTTAACCGACAGTGGAGCCTCTGGTCTTACACGGCTTCCATTTCTGCCTGAATAAATTCAGCAAAGTCTGCTGGACATATCCGATCGGGTTGTGTGAATAAATTCAACTAAAATTTCAACCCTGGTTGATAAATGAATGTATCCCACGCATACTCTTGTACAGTCATGTAAATTATGTATCCTCTCCAGCATTGTAACCTTACTAGAAGTGTATCTTTTAAGGGGGAGAAGATTAGGGGCAACCATCTTCCTCTTTTAGGTATACTTTGAACCACCAGTTCACTGATTTTATTCACGAGGTAGGTCAACATTCTGCTGTAATTTGTAAAAAAAATTGTTGTAATTATTCTATCAAATTCACCCAAGGAAAGAAAAATGCTATTGAACTCCTCAGCTGGCTTATTTATGACAGTATCTACAAATGATGAATATTACTCTACACAACCAGGGTGATGATCAAATTTACTGGGCTCATCTGTAAGGTTAAGTAAACATGGACTCCTTTCAAACAATTGCAAAGAATAAATTTTTTACACCAGAAAAAGAAAAAGAATATGCATTAATAAATCTGATATCAAAGAATTATTTTATTTTATTTTTTTTACTGAAAAAGAAAAAGAACAAAATTGGCCTTAATATCTCTGATATTTGCCCCTTCATTTTTCGGACAAAACCTTTCTCACTTTTCTTTCTCAGAAGCTAACGCCTGACAGCAAAAGCAAAACTTCCCAAATCGCCAGTAGCTATGGATTCAGGACCTTCAAACTCTGACCCAAAACCACGAAAAAAGAGAAGAATCGATTGCCACGATGAACAATTTCCTTCCTCAGCTCCTCCAAATGAAGAGGCAAAATCGTTGTTGATCCCTAACTTTCCTGATGAACTCTTAGTTGAAATCCTTTCGAGACTACCCGCCAGATCCTTGGGGAAGTTCAAATGTGTGTCAAAATCATGGCTTTCTTTATTCTCAACTCCACAATTCATCAAAGCCCATCTCGCGATTGCTTCTGGATTGGATGATTATAGCCACCGCAGTCTCATCTTTACTGTCCTTCCCCCAAATACTAGCGCCCACCTCAAGCGATGTTCTGCTGCCATCTCCACCGGCATTCTGGAGGTAACTGACATTGATTATCCAATGAAAAGTCCTGATAAGTCGTTTTGGACCGTGGGTGCTTGCAATGGATTAGTTTGTGTCACCGTTGATGAAAAATATCTGTTTCTGTGGAATCCTTGTACTAAGAAATTTAAGAACTTGCCTGATATTGATGTGGAATTGAAGCATGGTTTTTATATGATGTATGGGTTTGGTTATGATGAGTTGCATGATGATTATAAGGTGGTGAGAATATTTTGTAGTTTCGTTGGAGTTGCATTTGAGACCGAAGTTAATTTGTACAGTCTGAAGAATAATTCTTGGAGCAGGATTGGAGATTTTAAAGGCGGTATTCCATTGATGGATTCGGCACATTATGTCAATGGAAATCTCCATTGGGCTGCCAGCACTGGCCTTGTGTGGAATATTGTTAGCCTTGATTTGGCAAAACTGACATATGGTGAAATGGAGCGACCTAGTTTTGAAGACTGTTTGGATTATTGGGCGATAGGAGTGCTGGGGGGCTGCCTTTCTGTGCTTTATGAGTTTGCGCAAAAGGGTGTGGATGTGTGGGTTATGAAGGTATATGGAGATAAAGACTCTTGGACTAAAATTGTTACTGTTCCTTATTTGGATTATCCTGATAAACTTGGATGCTCTTGGCCTGTTTGCTTGTTAAAGAATGGTGAGATATTGTTAGTCATCCATTCAGTATTGGTACTTTATTGTCCAAAGAGTAAGAAGTTCAGGTGGTATCCTCAGATAAATGGACTTGAAGAAGTGAGTATGTTTGTTGAGAGTTTGATTTCTCCTGATCTCCATGATGGAGAACAGAGTACACTCCGGTTGCTTGGATAGAGGAAGTAAGTAACTGATTCTCTGTTCTCTATGCATTTCTTTTCACAATTCAACATTTATTTCAATACTGCTACACAATTTTTGTATGGTGTGTATCTTATTGGTTCTGATTGTTGGTTCAATAGTTCAAAGTCATTACAGCGATTCTCGTCTTTTAGATACAAGATTTAGTTAGGTGGCCAACTAGTGGGTGTTTATCTCATTCTTGCGTTCTCTCTTATCATTTCATCCCCTGACTTTGTGACTGCAAAAGTTTATGATCACTACAATATTACTTACGATTACAAAAACGTAACTGTTAATTGATACCTTGGCGAATTTTTCTTGTTCTCGTTCTGAAACAATGAAAAAGTTGGAAAGTAAGTTCTGAAAGCAGTCTTCCTTTTATTACAAAATGATTACTGTAGATACTTAGGGACTGAAATTGCCTTCTTTATTGAGGTGTAAAAATACTTGCTTTGAATTATTTTTTGTCTTTTGACTAAGTTGTTCCTCCTGCACACGAGATGGAACTTTGCACTGTCAGTGCATGTTTGGTTCTGGAGTTTTAGTACAATTTGCATCTATGTTTTTGTAGTAATTGCGGAGACATTGGAGAAAAGCTTAAGACATACTTAGGTGATACTTGTTCCAAAGATGAATACTAGCAACTCGTAACGCTTTGATTTAGAAAATGCCTCATACTAGCAAGCCTTTGACCTTCTAGTTGTAACAAATTCTGCTTTGTCATCTGATAATTCTTTTTCGGAAGATTTTCCTATGACAAAATGGATGATGGTTTTCAAACTATTTGTGGTGTTTTAAGCATTATGATCATGAATTTACATTGAGTTTATCTACATCTACTGCCATTTTGCTTGCTTGTTTAGGAAACCGGTAGCTATTGTTGTATGCACAGTTGCACACTGTTTTAGCGCCCCAATTTCTTAGTTTGTGTAAATCAAGGAGAAAAGCGCGTGATGGAGTATGACCTTTGCATTAGAAATTCTCAAAAGAATTAGTTGTTAGTAGCTGTTAATCTAAAGGCCCCAAAAGGCCTGAAGTTTCAAGGATTGCTCAAAAAAAAAGACACCATTTCCCTGTTGGTTTCTTAGAAGATGCAATATGCCTATATAGTTAAATTGTTGAAAAGTGCAACTGGGTATCATACACCTTTTATTTGCTTCTCTTTACTTTGGTTCTTGCCATAGTGGTTTGACCACTACTTCAAATTTTGGGTTAAGCAATTGGATGGCTCGGATCAAATTTTACCACAAAACGTTTCGTGTTCTCAAGCTTTCATCTGTTGTGTAGTGCTGTCCTGAACAAAGTCCCTTTCTAAGTTTTTCAATTCACCTTTCTCTTTTAACTTGTTCTATAGGCATTGGAAAGATATGGTAACCATCCGAGGAGTATGTTTTTATGTGATTTTGATTGAAGATGGTTGATTATTCATGCAGTTGGAATTGATGATCGAAGAACAGATATTGTCAGAAGGTGAAGGATTGTAGCTCTTCTAGACAATTTGCTCGAGGAAGGCTGTGACTTTCCAAACTGGATCATTAGGGGAAAATCCTAATCGAAGTGCTCCCCCAAAAAAACAATATATGTATGTATGTATATATATATATATACATATATATATATATATTGTATGTTGCCCTTTTTTTGTGTTATTTGTTTTTTTTTCCTCCTCGGTGGACAATGTTGACTCAATTTAGGTTCTATCAACGAAATGACCTGCCCTCTGCGAACGATCTGTCTATAATACAAAACTGTCAAAATGTTGCTTTGAAATATTTCTTACAAATATGTGGTGATATCGCATTTCATTGAACAGCACTGTTAATGAATCTTTGAAAATGATTTCTTTAACAAAGAGGGCAAAAAATACAAGAAAACAAAAATATCCCTACACTTTGAAGTTGTATTTAAAAGTTTGAACCACTACTAATCACTTAAACAACTTTCAGCTCAATATAAGTACATATAAACTTTTACAATCGAGTGTTGTAACTTTCCAAAGAAGCTCCTCCTCCTCTCTAAAAAACTCCTATTCAAAATTTTTTCCTCCTCTCATCCACCATGCTCAAATCATTTACTTTGCTTTTTAGTTTTAGTTTTTGTTTTTTCCGCATGTGGAAGTTTCGCTCTTCTTTTATGGGGTATTGCTCTTCCGTATGAAAGTTTTAGTTCATGTCATTTGGGAGAACTTTTTTTCTTTAGATGTATTTTTGGTAGGCTTTCTTCAATAGATCTGATCTAGAAGAAGAAGATCCACAGTTCCTTGAAGAAATTGAAGATGAATATGAGGTTAAATGATTTTGCAAATGAACGATCTAATAGATCTGAGACTTCTAGCCATATAGATCTGAATTGTCGATTTAGATATAGAGTTTTAGTAACTTCTTAGCGATGTTTAGATTTCATTTGTAAAAATATATTATTATTCTCTTTGTATTTCTTGAGCTCTTGGAACTTTCTTACTCTGTTATTAGAAATGTTGTTACAATTTAGTCAGTTTAACTTAGCCTAGGATTGAACACAGTGTTGGAATTGCCCATCTCTTTTATGTGGCTAGATATAACGCGTAAGACGAATTGTAATATCTCAAAGGTAGTTTTTTATAGCTCAACACACTGTGATTGTACTTGTTTTTTTTTTTTTTCCTTATATATGATTATCGCTTTTGACAAAAAAAAGTTATTGTAACTTTCCATCTTCAATAAGGTTACTCGTTTTAGTATCTGAGTGTTATAAATTTGTAACTACAAAAGTTAAGGAGTTCAAATCCCAAAAAGCGTAATAAACATTTTTTAAAATAAAGAAAATATATAATTGGAATCGCCCTACTATTTTTTTCATATATACTATGCATCAGATTTTAGTTACAGATTTTGTTCAAATCTTTACTAATTTATAATAACAAGAACAGTAAAAGTAGATAAAGAATAGCAAAATTGAGCTAAGGCCATATTCATAAGAGATGAATAGTAATATAAGGATTTAAAATTCAATAAGTAAAAAGAAAAAAAAAACTAGTTTTATAGTATTATATATGGGTAATACACAAGAACCCACTCATGGTTTGGGGAACGACACGAAAACCCTCTTATGGTTTCAAAAGTGCCACTTGTGATTTTATCTCTGTAGAATTAGAGTTTTGCTCTCTCCTCAGTGAGAGTACAACCCTCCCCCTTTCAGGAGGGAGTTAGTTTTTTCAAAAATTTTCAAAAATTTTCAAAAAAATTCGAAACTTTTCAAAAATTTCAAAATCTTTCACCGAAAACATGAATTTTTTTTAATCTATCATATAGGTTTTACTAGTTTGTACTGTTTTTGAAAAAGGAATGGCATGAATGACTTATTAATCTGGTCGGTACAATAGCACTTTCACAAATTTTAGTCCAACATATCATTGAAGGCCATAAACTATTATTTTGCCCTTCTAAATTTCCATCTCTCCTTAATACTTTATTCCCAGCATTTACTAACATTCAGGAACTCTGCCCACCTCTATTGGTTATCGGTGCGGAATTCTCGAAGCCGGTGTAATAGTGTGGAAGTATGGAAGGTGAAATCTTGAAAATATTCAAAACTTTCTCTCTCTGAAAATGAAAGTAGCAGGGTGAAAATTGGGGCAGAAGATATAAGAAAAGGGACTGAAGAGGGTGGTCGTAGTCTCATCGGAAAAGTTTTTGGGGAGAAAAAGGTCAACTACTATGGCATAAAAAATGCTTTGGAACGACCATGAGGCCACAAAGGACTTGTTAGGGTGGATAAATTGCAGGCTAATACATTCCAATTCGTCTTCTCAAATCTAGTAGAAAGGGATATGGTGATGAGGCAAAGGCCTTGGTCGTTTGATGGCCATTGCTTAGTCCTGGAAAGGTAGGAGGAAAACATGGATTACGATGCGGAAAGCTTCAATTTTTCGCCGATTTGGGTCCAGATCTGGAACGTACCCCTTCACTGGATCTCAAAGGAGACGGGTCGGAAGCTGGGAGCCATTCTTGGAAACGTTCACGATGTTCTGATTCCAGATGTGGGAGGGACAGAATATCGGCACATAAAAGTCTTGGTGGAGATGGATCTAAGGAGGCAATTGGAAAGAGGTACGCTCCTGGAATATAACGAAAAAGAGGTACGAGTGCTTTTCAAATATGAAAATTTGCCAAGTTTTTGTCATTACTGCGGTAAGATAGGTCATGTAGAGAAAGGATGTGGGAAGAGAGCAGAAGATTTAGAGAATAATTGTTTACAAGAAAGAGAATTTGGGGCGTGGTTGCGGGTGGGATATTAGAAAGATGAGCCTAGAGAAACACAATTAGATGCTGGGAGAAAAAGGGGAAGGAAACGAGTGATGGGGGTATAATGTATGCTCAGGGTACTAAAAGCGGGATGGAGGAAATAGGGGTGGGTAATGAGAATTTAAAAGAAGGAACCAGCTTGAAGAATGGGGGTTTTGTTTCTGTTACTGGGGAATCAAGTGAATGTACTAAGAGTGGGGAGCAAAAGCTGGATAACAAGAATCAGGTTAAAGAACAGGATGGTGAGAAAAAGGGTGAAGGAAGTGGATTGAAAACGTGGGCATCGGTGGTATCGAGTAATGTAACAAAGACTTGGAAGGACGTTCAAGGAATCACTGAGCGCCCAAGTGAGTCCTGAAGAAGGCTCCTTTAATGGGATGCAAATGTTAGCAAATTTGGAGGAAAGGGCTCAGAGAGCTGGAGTGGTACCTAATTTCTGTGAAGGGAGGGGAGACTGGGGAGATAATGATGAGGAGATGGAACAGAATGATACTGAGGATGTCATGTCTGATGAAAATGAGCCTTTTCTTGACTTCAATGTGCAAAATGAAAGACGGGTCTTGGGGGATGTTACGAATGTGGAATTTCACAGGAGAAGAGATGTAGAGGAAATGGGGGGAAGGAAAAAAGGACTGTGGAAGAAACAAGCAAGAATGGGTACAAAGAATTAGAATGAAACAAAAAAGGGGAAAGAAGTGATGATAGGGTTGATGGCTGGTAAAAGGATCAGAGGATGTGCAACTGAAGGGGAAACCCAGAAGAACCCCCAACAGAAAAAGGTCAAGGCCAAATGATATAAAGGATGATCTGGGGGGTGCTACTACTGCCATAAGGAGTGAAAAAACAGTGATATATTGAATGGGGTGGGGGTAGCCAGCCTTGAATGGCCCCAAAGTCTCCAATGAGAGTCATCTCGTGGAATTGTAGAGGAATTGGCAGTCCCTATACAGTTTCACAACTAAAAGAGTCATGTCGGCTCTATAAACCTGATTTGGTTTTCCTTTGTGAAACCAAAAGAAAGAGTGGCTTTGTGGATACAGTGGGACGGAGTTTAGGGTTTAGAAATCGATGGTATGTGGTGGATCCCGTGGGGCATAAAGCAGGGTTGGTTTTAGGCTGGAAGGAGGAGGTAATTATTTATAATATTTCAGTTTAACCATTTTCGATTGAAGTGGAATTTGAGACAAAGGAAACTAAGGGTAGGATGTGGGGGGGTGTTTGTATATGCTAGTACGGATGGGGGGAGAGGGTTAAACAATGGGAGGAGTTGGAAGGGAAACAGAGCAAGTGGGGTGATAGATGGTTCAAGGGGGGGGATTTTAATGATATCAGGGAACAGGGGGAGAAGTTAGGGGGAAGGTTGAGAAGTACTAGTAGTATTGAAGGATTCAGAAATTTTATTTCTCAAATGAACATAGGGGAAATTGGGTTTAAGGGTAGAAGCTGGACATGGGCCAATAATAGGATGGGGGGAAGGCTATATTAAAGAAAGATTGGACCGATTTTTTGGGTCAATGACGTGGATGCTAGAAAATGAGAAAACTCAAGTCTGTCATGTAGAGAGAATTTCCTCAGACCACTGTCTGCTGTTACTAGACACTACACCTGACAAGAAATGGAGAAAGACCCGTTTTTATTTTGATAAGAGGTGGATCAAGAAGGAGGGAGTTACTGAAGTTGTTAAGAATGCTTAGGAGGAGGAAGTGGAAGGCTCTCCAATGCATAAGCTCTCTGTGAAAATAAAAAAGTGCAGAGTTGAGTTACTAAAATGGAATAGAAGACAGGAGTCTAATGCTGCGAAAAAGATTAAAGAGATTGGTCTTGAGGTGGAGAAACTGAAGCTCTTACAAGGAGATAGGGATTGGGTGAGATGGAAGACACTATCTGAACAATTAGAAAAAGCCTATGAGGAGGAGGAAGCTTACTGGGCTCAAAAAAGTCGAACTACATGGCTAAAAGAAGGGGATAAGAACACTAAGTTCTTTCATGCATCCACAGTTCAAAGAATGCAAAGAAATACAATAGAAAGACTTCAAAGTGAGGATGGCTATGGTGTGAAGGGGAAGAAGGAGTTGTGGAAGAGGTGGAAAAATTTTATAAAAATCTCTTCACGTCGGAGGATACTTTTGGGTGGGAGCAGTCATTAGAAGATATACCAAACACTATTACACCGGAGATGAATTCGACACTGATCCGGCCTGTAAAGGAGGAAGAGATCAAGAATGCTCTATTCAGTATGCACCCAACGAAAGCACCTGGCCTTGATGGTATGACCCCCTTATTTTACCAATCTTTCTGGTCAATTGTCAAGGTAGATGTTTGTAATGATGTGAAAAGTTTTTTAGATCAAATTGCATGCTGACAGCCTTTAACCATACCCTTATATCCCTTATCCCCAAAATAGATAACCCAACAAAAATTGTGCATTACCGACCTATAAGTCTATGTTCTTTCATTTATAAAGTGATTTCAAAAATTCTTGCTAATAGACTAAAACCACTTTTGCCTTTTTGCGTTAGCGACAACCAATCTGCCTTTTTGGCTGAGGCAAATTTTAGATAATGTTGCCATTGCGCATGAGTATATCCACTACTTCAATAACCTAAGAACAAAAAAAGAGGAATATATAGCTATTAAATTAGATATGGCTAAGCCGTATGATAGGGTAGAATGGAGATTTCTTGCAAATATGCTCATAAAAATGGGGTTTGATCTCTTGTTTGTGGGGTGGATTCTAGAATGTATACGGACTACGTCTTTCTCTTTCAATGTCAATGGGGTAACCAAGGGATATCTAAAACCATCTCGAGAGATTAGGCAAGGGGACCCACTGTCCCCGTATCTCTTTTTGATATGTTCAGAAGCATTCTCAAATTTCATCAATAGGGCAGTGAGGCGAGGAGATTTTAAGGGAGTTAAAATAAACAAGTTTGGTCCTGAAATTACCCACTTATTTTTTGCGGATGATGCATTATTATTTTGCAAAGCTAATGTATGTCAAATTCAATGCTTGAAAAGCATCTTGTCTGAATATGGAATGTGTTCTGGATAGAAAGTGAATTGGGATAAGTCTTTGGTGATTTTTAGCAAAAATGTATCTGTGGCTAAAATGAATTTGATATGTGCAGAGCTAAATGGCATTAGTGTATACGTGAAATCAAAATATTTAGGACTCCCACTGGTTATTGGAAGATCAAAATCAGAGGTCTTTCGGTATGTCACAGAAGCTGCCACCAACAAAATTAGAAGCTGGAAGTGCAAGTTCTTGTCTACGGCTGGCTAGGAGATTATGCTTAAATCAGTGGTACATGCTATGCTCCTTTATGCTATGTCTTGCTATAAACTAACAGCTAATCTTTGTAGTAAGATTGAAAGCAAATGGCAGCATTTTGGTGGGGAGATGGGGAAAATAAACGGAGAATGCATTGGGGTTCCTGGGAGAAAGTAGATGTGGAAAAGGAAAGAGGAGGGCTAGGGTTTAGGAATCTAAGCTCTGTAAATGAAGCCTTGCTGGCCAAACAAGTCTGGAGGTTGATCTCAGAACCTAACACTCTGATGTCTAAGGTTATGAAGGAGAAATACTTCCCCAATTGTACCATTTTCCAGGCTCAACAAAAAGGTACGGATTCATGGCTGTGGAAGGGGTGGCTAGAGGTAAGTAAAGGGCTACATCAAGGTATAAGATGGAGGATTGGAGATGGCAATTCAGTAAACATATGGTCAGACAAGTGGCTTCCAGATGGCTGTAATGTAGGGGTAGAGAAGAAATGATGAGAATCAGCACTTAACTACAGTGGGGTAACTTATTGATCCAGTCGCTAAAGAGTGGAAAGCTGAATTGTTGGGCACTGTACTACTGCCAGAAGAGGTGGAGCAAGTACTGAAAATGCCACTTAGTAAGCTGGGAAATCAAGATATCCAAGTATGGGGTGCTGAACAAAATGGCAGATTTTCTGTAACTTCTGCAATCAAGGAGATTGAAAAACACAAAGCAGCTCAGAGAAGACAGGGGGAATCCAGCTATGGAAGCGAGGTGATGAAAAAGGTATGGTCTCGAACTTGGAAACTTGCAATTCAAAATAAGCTAAAGCACTTTGTGTGGAAGCTATTTAAGGGTTGGGTACCAGTTAATTCTGTACTTAAAAAGAGGGGGTGAAAGTAGAAGAAATATGTTGCAGGTGTGGTATGGGGAATGAAAGTATAGAACATATGCTTTTTACTTGTGAATATGCCAAGTTATTTTGGGAGCTTTCCCCTGTCAAATGGGATGGCTTGCAGGATAGATCTGGTAACTTTCCAGATTGGTGGAAATCTTTGATAATGATTGATAAGGGGGGGAACTGAAATCAAGAGTGGAAATTATTGTATATTTGTTGTGGTCCTTGTGGAAAACTAGAATTACGTGGGTTTTTAATAATCAGAGAGTGGAAGCTTTGGAGGGGGTGCAAAGGGCTATGAAGAATTGGGATGAATATAAACAGTTGCAGGAGAAGAAGGAGGAGGCAGGGAAAGAAAGGATGAGGAACAGCCTCAGGGGTGGAAAAAACCTAATCAAAGAGCTGTTAGAATCAATGTTAGTTCCTTAATGGCTGCTGGGAAGAAGGAAGCAGGTTTGGGTTGGGTTTTCAGAGATGAAAGGGGTGAGTTTGTGGCTGCAAAATCAATACTGTTAAAAACGGCCCTGAATGCCTTTGCAGCTGAACTGGAAGCAGTTAGATTGGCAATGATGGAAGCACAGCTGAAAAGAATGAAGAATATAGAAGTCCAATTAGATGACAAGACTATGGTTGCTTGGTTGCAGGGAATAATTTTGCCTGCTTCAGATGTGATAGCTATAGTCAAAGACATCTTTTGGCTGAAATCCTTATTTGATAGTTGTAAATTTTTGTATATCCGGAAAGAATGGAACTCATCGTGTCACAATGTAGCCAAATTAGCAATTTCTAACAATTGTTCACAAATGTGGGATGGTAATGTCCCTTTGTGGTTAGACGAGTCGTTTAAGGCGGATTGTATTACTACATTGTAAATGCTCCTTTGGTTTTTTTATGCCATGAAATGAATATCGCTTTAGAGAAAAAAAGTTTTAAAAGCACATGAAAACCTTCTCATAATTTTTCAAAACATGTAAAATGGATGGAAAAGGTTAATGGTGACGGAGGGTGTACATGACGCGCGCGTAGGGGAGAGGGGGCTTTCTCTTTTATGGTTACAAACTTTTGTACACCTAAAAAGCCCTTGGGTAACTTTCCAGATTTTAATAGGTTCTTTTCCCTTTATAATCATTCAATTTTCTTTTTCCTTTTCTTTTTTTTTTTTTGAGTTCTATATGTTACATTTTTTACATGTTGAATTTACAAAACAACATCATTTTCTGATTAGTTTGCCTTACTTAAATTCCATAATAGGGAAAAATTTTAAAAACTGCAAAAATACATTTTCTTTTTTGGTAAAAACACATTTTATAATTAACCAATTCCAAAAAAATATAAAATATCATGTATAAACATTATTTAAAGACATTAACAAATTTATTTTTCTTAAGTATCATCACCATCCGTGGGTTACAACAATAAGAACTACCCCAAAGAAAAAGACACCTTACAACTTGGAAACTATTACAGCAAACAAAAAAAAAAATTGAAAAAGAGGAAAGGCATGCCTAAATTCA